ATCAATGGATTATTAATTAAGTTTTCCTTCTACTTACTCAAAAGTTCCTCCACTCAAGTTGGTCTTGTGATGAATATCATTCCAAGTTATTTGGTTTGAAAGGCCTGTAGTATTTGACGTACCAATGGTAAACACCAAGCGAGCATCAAAGGCTCTCCTCAGAAGCTGTAACACCTCTCTTCCTTCACGCGTGTCGGGAAGATATGCCTGGCGAGTCGTGCCTCCAAACCGCTGCCCGGGGTGAGGATGTTCCTTTCCTTGAACTCCTGACTGAAAGCTGTATTCGATGACTATCGTGCCGTGACCTTCAAAGCGAAAGATAAGTTTGTTAAATTTGTTGTCTTCGTAAACGAGACAAGCTGTACTATCTGCAAACGCAAAAGAATTGAAATGTTAACGGAAATTATTCGTAACCCAGGGATTTATCTTTAGGGAGTAAATTGAAAAAGATTTTGTTAAATACCAGTTCCTTCAGCTACTACTCCCTCTCCCGAGACACTGATGAGAGGCTGAGCAAGATGTTCAAGGCACACGGCAAAAGATATAAATTGAACTTGTTGCCGGTTACTTTTAGCCGTGTTTATTCTCGATTTACAACATTCGACTGATTCATCTACTGAAAAAAATGTATTCGTGGTCTGTCAGCTTTGGTTTATGAATCCATCTCATTGCTCTGAAGTTTTCTATCAAGAGATTTATAAGCAAATTTCCATTACCTTCAAATCAGAGGATTTCAGCTATCTTTCTACGGCATTGAAATTAGTAAAATCAGAGTTAAATTTTAGCGATTTACCGTCACCATAAACCTCAATAATGTCTCATTCGAGAGATGTCGAAATTATCGTCGATTTAAAACTGAGCCATTCTCATACAAATACATACGTAGAAAGGGAACTGAGTATCATAGTCATAAAATCATTACCCCAATAGTTTGTTAGTATATTTAACGTAGTCATCTTATTCACATCTCTGGATTAAGACAATACATTGCATCACAATATTTAGGACTAGATACCTCATATTTGTAGTTCTTCATAGTTCACTTTTTTCACGCTACCACTGAGCCGAACAATTATGCTTCAAAAAGTGTGATATTCAGCTATCTTAAAAGCAAGTGGTGAGGTGTGGTTGTTTATCTACCTTCATATCCTGGAACACTGAAACGATCAACACGATATCGCATCTCTCCAGGAGGCTGGTTTCCTTGAAGGACACCTTGCGGTTCTTGGCACACTGGGCATTTATTGCTTGCATTCAAAGCTTGTTTAAGGCAGTCCGAACAGAAGGTGTGTCTGCACTTCAATTTCCGTGGTTTCGTTAAAGTATCAAGACAGATGGGACAGGGATCTAATAGCGAAGATAAACGAGAAATGCTTTTAGATTTGTCTGGGAATACTAAAGGTCCTCTCGTTTCCACACCTTAACACACAAAGACCTTTAAAGTTAAATTTTCATGTTGCGTTAGTTCTTAATGAAAAACTCATACATTGCAATTCAGTTAAACTAATAGCATCACTGTGTTTATCTCTCTGGTTTATATCCTACCACATTTGGGTACAACTGGCAAGATTCTGCTGAGAAGACACGTTTTGACAAACAACCTTACTATTCCTTAGTCAGTGATTCTATCTAAATGTATCTTTTATACAACATTCAGCTCCACTCAGCCTACCCGCTTTGCCTTTCTTACCATCTTCTTTATCGTCCGTCTGAGCTTTATTTTCCCCAGGGGGAAGGGAAAACCCCATCTCCTTTTCTTCAGAATTAAAATCTGTAGATTTCTTAACAGCGCCACTGTAAGAAAGGTTTGGAAGCGATGAACCACCAGAAGCCGTGGCATCCAGCGGGTGATAAAAATTGGTTTCGAAATTACGGCTTCCAGATACATCTCTAGACTTTGCTAATGCACCATTAGCCTCGGAACTCTTGTCCTTGTTTTTGCCACGATTTCGTCTATACGTTTGCGTGTATAAATCAGTACCTTCAGCACCAGTTGGACTCGAGTGGAAAGATCCACGTCCGTCGTCTCCCGTGTGGCCATATCGAGAGATGAACCCTTTCCTGAATGCTTGAAAAGAGGCATCATCCATGTTCACGAATCTGACGTCAGTGATTGTTTTCTTCTTAGGATCTCCTTGTCGAATAAATTCGTCGACGACATCAAACATCACCTCAGCACAGGCGTCTTTGGGCATGCCATTAGTGCCAGATCCGATCGCTGGTAAAGCAATGGAAGTCAATTTCTCTTCTTGTGCGATTCTCAAACTGTTAAAACAGGCTCGGCGGAGAACTTCTTTACTCTGGGTTAATCCTATTCTTCGATACTCTGGCCCTACGGCATGAACGACCAACTTACACGGTAAATCTCCTGATTTAGTTGACACTGCTTGACCTTCCTTCAAAGATCTGCGCTTCTTAATAATCTTGTTCGATTCTTGGCTAATTAATTTTCCACCTTTGTCAAGAATGGCCTTAGCGAGACCCCCATCGTGTCGAAGAGATTCATTGGAGGCGTTAACAATAGCATCAACCTTTTCGGTGGTAAGGTCTCCTCGAGAGACTGAAACTTTGACCCTCCCTATAAAGCCACAAAGAAAAAATGTATGATAGGTTACTGTTTTTTCTCTCTCATGCAATATCAACTGAAAACTAATTTTCAAAACAACCCTAGGTGAAATCACCTCTAGAAGCTGACAAAGCAAGCAACTAGTAAAGAGTCTTTTGAATAAATGTTTTTAGTGAAAATGAGCACACATGTACGGAATGTAACAGGTGATTTAGTGTTAACAACTGGGTTGAAAACGTAAATTAACCACCGTAAAGGGTAAAATAGCTGACGTTTCGAGCGTTAGCCCTTCGTCAGAGCGATTATGTACGGAATGTAGGTTGTTTCACTTATCCTATAAGTGCTCTTTGCATGGATACGCAGAGCAAAATAGAAAATACCGTAATAATTCGATTTAGCGCCCTGGACGCTTGTTGGAAATAGGGCGCTTATTTCTTTTCTGGGAAACAGCAGAATGTGCGAAACAAAGCTTTGATGTCTATCTAAAGATGAGCAGTAGAAGAAACTGTACAGTAAATATTCACATGGTTAAGATAGGGAATGTACATTTTATTCTAGCAGTGCTATCGTTGAAAAAGAATTGGGGGCGCTTATTGGAATGAGGGTCCTTACGCAGTAGGGCGCTATTAGAAAGAGGCACTTAGTGAACAAGAGTGCTAAATCGAGTCACAACAGTATGTAAATTTTGCATTCCTTTTCTAGCCTTGAGTACTCACCTACGTAGGCTTCCAGTACATCTTTAATTCGGCTGACCTTGGCAAACTCTGATGGATTGGCGTCCTTTGCCCCTTCGCCGCCATTCCTTAGATCGCCAGGAGGCTTCCCCTTTTCGGATTGCTTCTCTATTTCTACTTCCTCGTTTTGAAGATATCGCAAGGCTTCTTCTAAATCATGTTGCCTCCCGAACACTTCCCAGTGTTTTTTATCCTTGCATACCTCCACCAACACCGGAAATTTCCTACCCATTTCATGAATCTTCTTTCGGGAAATGGTTACATTTTTGTCATTCCTTAGCGAGAAACGCTCCATCTTCATAACTTGAGTTATTTGCTGATACATTTCGATGAACCGGTCGCACGCCTTCTCGTATCCTTCACCTGTACATTTGTTTGCGGGGTTAAGGGTAATTTTTCCTTCTTTCGCCTCTCTTGGTACCTCTACGTGGTATTCGACCTCGATATCGTTAAGTTCAGCTTTGTGCACCCTCACAAATACTTTTATGAGCTTTGGATCGACCTCAAAATCATGAATTTTAACGGTTGCTATTGGGGCCATGTGATCAGTTTGCGTTGCGTCTGTTTCCTCGTCACAAGGGTCTTTTTCCCGCGTGTTCTTTGCCTTCATTATGGCATTGGTTCTCCCAACCTCCTCCTCAGTGTATTCTTTATAACACACGGCCTCTCCACTTCTTAAATTCTGAGGTTCTGAGAGTTTCCTCTTCATCTCGTTGTATTCTGCTATTCCACCATATTGACTTATAGCTTGCTGAAGATACCCACGTGACATTTCCACTTGTTTCAGGGTTCCTGACATCATGAAAGTGTCACTAACATGGAGCCACTTGATCCCAGTTTTGTCAGCAATTTCCTTTAGGACAACTTCTGTATGCTGACGGGTAAGAAATTCGACGGTTGCTAGGCAAATCTCTGCAGATACCAGCTCAAACACCTGAATCAGTAACAAGATGCCTACTAAAAATCTCAACAAGAAGACTACGAGTCAGAATCTCATGAATAGCCATAAAGGTCGAATATTATCGTCCAATTAGGGTATAGACCTAGTAGCCACGTAAAGATAAAACAGCGGCTACAAATACTTTAAAAAACAACTGAAACAGCAACGTAAATCAATCGGAATAAAATTTTAGGCGAGACAAATAATTAAGAGATCATTGACATGAAGATATAGTTCCACATTAATTGTTGCCCGCATAAAGCTTGAACATTTACAATAATTTTTTGTTATTATAATTACAACAAAACAAAAACAATCTTATAAGGGGTAAAATATAGATTGATTACTTTAGTTTCGTTACAAAGCTGAAGAAAGAACTGTTATTTTGAAGTAGGTACCTCCTCATCAACCGTGACACACGGTTGCACAGTTAAAACAATTTCTTTAAACATCTGTTTCTTCTCTTGAACTGATTTCACAGCTAAAATCAAAAGAATTTAAATGTCAGATTAGTTAATGTGTACGTCACCTGTACAAGTTTTGTGTTGTTCCGTTTTGTTTATAATTTCTAAGCCACTTTTATGAGGATAATTAAAACTCGCTCACCCTCATCACTAACTTCCTGTATTTGTGTGAATCAAAAAGAGAAGTGGTCTCGATCTACCCATGTAAAGCTACATAAATTTTCTTTACCTTAAATCTTCACACAGGCAATTCATTATTGCTACAATCATTCACAAAAGAGTCATCTTTGCTTAAATTGCATTGCAGGTCAAATTTTTTGAGGTGAAATTTTAGGCGGTGCATGCTTCTAAGGCATAAAGTATCACAAAATTCCGAAATTTATCTATTTTAGGATATTAAGATAATTGTTTAATTTAAATACTTAAAATTAATTCAAAGCGATAAAAATAAGGAGGGGTTTTGAATTTTTGTGAATCCAAAACCTTGAATCCCCCTCCTCTTCGCCTTACAGAAGCATATCTAATATCATGCATAAACAGACACATGTCATCTCAGTTAAGTTTAAAAATATCACTAATAAAACCCATATAGTTTGCCATATAATTTGAACATAACATTACGGCAAAATACTTTCAAAATAATTTGAAACATAACAAAAACCATGAAAAAGGTTTCATCCCCCCTCACCTCCCCATGTACCACAGTCTCTGGAAACGGAAAGGTTGACGTGTTTGATCCAGCGAAACACCGGGCACTCTCAATCATCACATTATTGAAGAAACTTATCGCGATAATGCAAAACAAACTCGCGGAAGCATTTGCTCATGTGAGCAGTATACACCAATGGGCAAATAGTAGTCACTGAATTAACCAATCAGAGCGTGCTCTTTATGATGGTTATGTGATAAATCAAAATGTGAAACGAGAGGCTGGACTTGCAAGTTTAAAAATATGATAAAGTAAGAATGCGTGTCTAATGTCTTACCTGCACCCTGTAATTCTGTAGTAAACATTGCTTAGCACTTGAGTATTAAATTAATTAAAGTAATTTAAAGCCAAACCCCCATCATTATTAAAATAAATTATCTGATCTCCATGGGAATTTTTTTTGCAGTCACTTTAAGAGGGGGGCAGTGGACTAGGATTTCAGCAAAGATGTTGAAGGCTTAAAGAGCTGAACAATTTTATTTGGAGCCAAATCAGGTGTGCCTTTTTTCTCATGATTATAGAACATAATTATGTAATTAATTAGCATATACTAAAAAAGTGAATGGCATTGAAGCTGCACTCTGATTGGCCACTCAAATGTGCCATCCACCTCCCAGAAATGTGAGTGGGATTTGCTCCCAAAAATATTGCCATTGTTGCACAAATAAATGAGTTAACACATCTTTTTGTGCTATCAATTCTCTCTCTTTTTCAATATAACATGTGTACTTATTAAAAACAACTTATATTTGCCTCAATGTTGGTGGCTAGGGGTGGATATTTATCTCATTGTTTCACAGTTCGGTAAATGTCCACCACTAGCCACCTCCTTTTCTGTAAATAGTTAAAAATGATTAGGAAATGGATAGATGTGATGAATTGGGTAATTAAATTACTAAATAATTAATGACATGAGTAAAAAAATTATGTAAGTCCTGGCTAACTCACATGTGGATACAGGTCTAACAAAGTGAGCACTAAATATTCAGATAAAGCCACTTGGACTCATGAAAGTTTCACAAAAGCCTGCTGCACGTAGAACATGCACGTGTAAGTGAGGATCACTGACCCATTAAAGGTGATATAGAGAACAAGGGAACATTTTCAAGAGTCTTTTCTCTAAGCTATAGTTTCCTCTATCTTACAATTAGCAAATGATGACTGGGTGGTGGGAGTCAGATTTGTCAATCACAGGTATGATTACAGACCAAACTGGATGACAAGAAGTCCTGTGAACAATTAATCATAATTATTACAAATTTTTAAATAAAAAAAATACATTTATTTAAATATTTGTGGTGGAGACAATAATTATCTGAAGTAAATAGTACCTCAATTTTGAAAATTACCCAGTTTTGTAAGATAAGTGGTTGTTGCTATCAATGGTTATTGTAATCAGTTTTGAGATTGATAGATTAAGCTGTGTAGGCTTAGTATGATTGTCCAATTACAGGTGTCTGATAATGACTCTGCAGAATAATTAATAAAAAATAAGGCAGCTTATGCCCCAATCATGTTTGAGGCAGTTGTTATGGTTATGATTAATAATGGTAATAGGACTGAGTGGAGTCCAATTAAGTCTGTAATCATATGTGTGATTATTAACACCATTATACTTTTAACTCATTATCCCTTTTGTGATTGGCCAAAAGCGTACAGTGAATTTTTGAAATCAGTGCCTGGGAAGTCATCTAGCAACAGATTATACAATAATCATGTCAAGGACCCTCAAGGTCACGGGTAATCTTAATTCACAGGTAATTTTACATAAGACCACAGTGCATGATTTCTATGGGTAATCATGTCAAGTTCACACACTTTGTGTTACTTGGTGATTTGTATATTTTTACACATTTAGAAATAAACTATCAGTTTCACTTCCTGTTGAAACCATTTATTTTTTGTTCAGTGTATAATAAAACAATTATTAGATTTGTTTGTTGTGATATCCAGAATAATCAAGGCCTTCAGCTTCAGCTGGTAACCCCTACCTTGACCTTGATTATTCTGGTTATCACAAAAACCTCATCCAATATTTGTTTAAAATGAGATGACCACAAAGCAGAAGTCTGATTTGTTATCATGAGTATGATTACAGATGGAACTAATGGATGATGCAAAGTGCTTTCACCAATTAATAAAACTATGACAAAATTCCAGAAAAAAAATTAGACATTGGTTATATGTTTTGAATTCAAGAAAAAAAACAATGGTTCCCCCACCCAAATGCGTGATAACAGCACACACACATGACACATACTGTGTACTATTAGGGCTCAAATGGTGCCACTGATTGACAGTGTAATTACTGTTTCCAGATCTGCAGTCATTTCCCTTTAAAATATCATAGTTTTAGAGGGAGAAGTCAGAAAAAAACACAAAAAAAAACATGACCTTCATGTAGAAAACAAATGTCCATCAAATCAGTACTGGTATTAAAACTGGTCTGAAACAAAGTCAAGGGGATTATTCAACATTATTCACTGAGCCTCAGCAGAGGCAAATAATTTTTTTTAGAATAATTGCTTACTTGCTTTTGAATTCTGTTTAATTTTTTTGATTACTTGTTCCAGATAAATTAAGAACAAGTTTCTACTATATGATAGGTATGTTTAATTTAATCAGTAAAAACTTCTTATCTCTCTTCAAAAAGATGTTAGTACAAATTTAATAGCATCTTTGGTACTCTTCAGAATTAATTTTTTTATCGCACTCATCACATTTTCAGTAAAGCTGATAAAACGCAAGGCAGCCATCATGAAATTTTAGCACTCCTGCTATGATCACCTAGTAAGGTGAGATATGACGTAATCCTCCACTAACCAGAGTGCACACATCTCTATAATCACTGAAGCAATTATACTAAAAATTAGTTAATGAGGAGGTGGAGCTTGAAAGATCTCAAATTTTGTTCACTTAGTCCGGTTATGAGCATTTAGCATTTCCACAGCAGTTAATGCTGGGTTGACCAATTTGAAACAAACAACACCCTTCGCTGAATTCATTCCCTTTAGTACCCAGATACATATTGAGAAAGCAGAGGTCAGGTGCATCCAAGTTGCACCCTTAATGGACAACTAGCTAAAATGATCATATGGTGAAGGTTAAATTGTATACCCTGGTGACTAACAGCACTGTGCTAAACAATATAATCAACTCAAAAACATAAGTATTTTAAAATTAATTTTAAATAGGAATGGAAAGGTAAAAAAGAGTTCACAATTCAAGGCAGTATTTGGTTGAAGTAAGTAGGAATTTAGGGCTAGTAATTGGTTGTAGTTATAAGTGATGGCTTCACTAACAGGAAATGTTGATAAATTGCCCATTTGTAGTTAAATAAACCAATAGATAGATTATTTACTTTCATGGAAAAAAAGTATCAAATATTTAACAAATTCTACATCTACTAAGTGATAATCAGCTTCAGTGTAATCTTTCCTTGCTCCAAATCATGTCAGATACTTTTCTCTGGGGGAGGGGGCATGTTGATATTATGAATCAAGTTTGTACAAAGACCAGCCCGAAAGAAGCATCGTGTCCAGTAGGTTTAGATTCATAACCAATACTGTCGAAAATTCAATCATCCACCCAACGAAGACCTCAATTCAATTAAAAGAATTCGTACCAGCATCTACTGTGAAATTTTGTTTTGCTACTTAAATTTAAGATTGCGACTGCCAGCGTTCTCATATCTCCCCTTAAATCCCATGTAAAATTTAAGCCTCTTCTCCCAAAATAGTCTCTTCTCCAACACTTTCGTTTTGCAGGTAAATATGCAAATATAATCACCATCTAACATTTCATTTCGAAGGACCAAACAGAAACAATTATTTTGAAAAAAAAGTGGGTCGTAACCTTACGAAAAGCCTACAGTTTGCCACAGACATCTTACCTTCAGCTTTGTCGAATGTTATCACTGCAGATCCTTGTTTATTCATTACAATTTCATCGACATCGCTTCCGCCATTCCCAGTACGTTGAAAGTGAATAACAAGCTCTTCTGCCGTAGTTCCTTCTGGAATGCTTGTGACTCTTATGCTACGATTAGCTTTCGCAGTGTCAATCTGAATGTCTTCGTCCACCAACAAAAATGTTGTACCACTGGATTTGATGCTGTACTCCGGTTTCTCTGCCATGCTCGTCCAAATTCTGATGAATATCAAGAACCTGAGATCAACGACAACAATAGCTGATTTCTAGGAAACCGAAAGCGGAAGTCTAAAGGGTTCCGGGAAATCCCTTGTTATTTTGAATCATTTTAAAGAAGCTGTCGCATACTGGTGCGGGAACCCAGCCGGGTAAAAACGTCCCCTTTTAAAAAATAATCAGCGTTTTGATAAGCTTTCGATGATAAGTTGGATATAGAACGGATATAGAACTCGGCCGACCACTTCCGTCTAAATCGACTTTGTCCCAGGCTTTATCGTTCTCTTTCCAAGAACCGAAAGCTTCCTCGAAGGTTTCCATTCTTGAGTCCAGTTCATATAGGCTTGATTTTTCCAAAATGTCCCCCATTATCATTGACGTCCGAAGACAGACAAATGAACCTAATTTGCTGCTTATGAGCGAAGAAGAGGCCAAAAGGAGTATTGTGGTCTCCAAAATACCGGCGACAACTTCAGCTGAGTCGGTCCTCATACATTTCCAGAAGAAAGGAAATGGCGGAGGAGAAGTCGATCGTATACACGTTTCCAAGGATGGAACAGTCGTTATCACTTTCGAAAAAATCGAAGGTTTGCGTAATTTTTCTGTTTTAGGTACACTATTGTTCGTGCCAACGTAAGGGGAGAAAATTTTTGCCTCTATGAAGATCCAATTTCGCTTCCGGCCTTATAATTTAAAGGGGATAGTTTCATGACTATCAGACTCAGGAACTGAGCGTTGTTGTATGAATCGAAATATTCAAAGTATCGGTGGTAAGTACTAAAACAAGGAACCACCTAAAACCATCTACAACCATCTACAACCACCTCAAAAATTTCAACAACCACCTACAACCACCTCAAAAACATCTACAACCACTTGCAAACTATCCAAAACCATCCAAACCAAGGCATAAATGTCTAAAATAAGGCGAAACGACAACATGTCACGTACACGAAATACGACAATCGAACGAAACCTCTACCTCCCCCTGAAATCTTACTCTCCCTGGTCCTATATATAATCAACCATCTCACGAAATGAAATGCGATAGCATGCTAATTATTTTATATTCCCTCAGCAAAATACTTAAAGAACTTTACAAAATGAACTAACATGTTACAAAAAATAATACATTGGGAATCATACATAGTGCTTACCAAGTATCGGTATACAGGGAAGAAAGTGATTAAAATGTGGTTAAATCAGGTTATAAAATGGGAGGAGTATGCTAAAAATGTAGCAGTGTCAGAAACACTGCTGTCAATAAACCTGCACTATTTTGTTTATAATGTATTTATGTGTTAATGTGCTTAATATCTGTGTCAACTTGAAATAACAGTTTTATTATGGTGCCTCATGTTGTGCAATCACCCAACAAAAAGTATTGTTGTCTTTTACATCTCTCTCACTTTCTTCAGCAAGTCATTGAATACATTTAGTGGACCATGATCCTTGTGGAATAAAAAAAACCATTTACTTTAAATCAGTAGAACTGCTTTGAATACATATGAGTGTACAAAATTAATATCAGGAGGAAATAGAATTATTTGTTTCAAAATCCAATCCCATTTAATATTGCAGTTTCATTTATATAATTAGTAACAACTAAACCTGGAGATTTATGTTTTTATGTCTTGTCATGAGAACGGGACCAAGCAAAATTCTGAGACCCCAAGAGGAATCAAAACCTGGAGTAACTTGATCTTTTTTGAAACATATTTGTTGTTTTAGTCTTGAAGAAGTCTTGCTTTTTACATAATTTATTGAAATATTTTAAAACTGTATGATGAAGTACTTAAAACATGACATGGAAAGTATATATTTTACATTCAACTTTGCACTTAATTTGTAAAGTAAGGGAAGAAGAGAGAGTTGCATTCAATCATAACACCTTTCACAAGACCACTAAAAAAAACCAGGTAAAATGCCACCTACTGCTTTTCTGCAAGGTATAAACTGTTCCACTATAAGCTAATTGTGTTATTAATTCTCATTTTTTATTGTTTTTTTTTATAATTATTATCATAACTATTATAATAATATTTTTTTTTCATGCACAGTCGTGGCAACAGTGTTGCAGGAGTCCCACACAATTGAGGGATCATCACCTCAATTAAAGGTTTGCCAGTTTGTTCCAGATCATCCTGTGGAGGTAAAAATGAATATCAGAGAGCGTGAGATGATCTTAGCCATAATTTGAAGAAAACTAAGACATACTTGACTGACCCACGTTAAAACCTGATATTTTCGGGCTCTTTTATTCTGGAATTTCTTCCTTTCAGTTCAATATTATCATCTACCTGTCAAAATATGACTCATTGCAAATATATGTGAATTTTTTTTTTCTGTCCAAAGTACTTCAATTTACAAGTTCTCTTCATAGTTTTACTAATATAATTTTATTTATTTCTTACCAATTACGTCACAGTATTCTAATTATAGTGATTCTTACGATTCCTTTGGATTTCCATAGGTGTTTCAGAGGGTGAAGGCTCGTGTCGACTTCAGTAAGTTCAATGTATCGCTCGAGACATCACACAACGCACTGAAAGTCATGAAGAATGACGCGAAAGTTGAATGCAGTAGCAGGCCTAATTCTAAGGAACATTTTCTCGTTGGAACGTTCGACCAAATTAACACCGCACACAATCTCCTTCGAGACATTTTGAAAGGAGGTTCCGAAGGACGTGTGGGGGTTAAAAACCACCATGCCGATCACAAGATAAATTTTTCAGAAACCTCTGAAAAAGAAGCCACCAAAAATGATTTCGACAGTTTCGAGGTGCAGCCTCTAGTCATGAAGCTTTTACATCGGGTTTATGGGACCAGACTTAAAGAGATAAAAGACATACATGGCGTAAATATTATTTGGGAGGAAAATGCTAATCTAGTTCATATATGCCCAGCCACAACAGTTAATGAAACTTACCTTAAAGGAAGCGAGGAGTTCATAAGTCTTTACCAGGACTTATATCAAAAGATGCGCCGAGAGGAAATTGAATTAGAACTTTCCGATAGCAGGGAACTTGCTACCGTGGATATTCGCTCTTTCGAAGCTGAAAATAATGTGGTTATGGAGGTGAAAGAAAACAAGTTGGTCGTCTATGCGGAGGAAACAAACATTTCTGTTGCAGTGCAAGCCTTGAAAAAAACCCTTGGACTGCTGCCAGGTAACCGTAAAGGTACAAGGCGCGGTCTGAGAAATACAAAGAGCAACAACAGTTTCCAGAATATACCCCCAGCACAAGTACTTACCCAAGATCTGACGAATGGAGTGAAGCTCTCCTTGTACCAAAGTGATATCACTGACGAAATCGTGGACGTAATTGTTAATGCAGCCAATGAATGGCTTCATCATGGTGGTGGTGTGGCAGCAGCGATAGTACGGAAAGGTGGCCGCATAATACAAGAAGAATCCAATGGAATAATGGCACAGAGAAGTAGGCATCCATTGAATGTAGGCGCTGCCGTTCATACAGGGGCCGGCAGCCTTCCTTGCAAATTTGTAATTCACACGGTTGGTCCAAGGTGGGATAGCTTTGACAAAGAGAGATGTGTTTCTCTTCTTCACCTTGCCTGCATTAAAAGTCTCTGCCTTGCAGCACAATTGGAGCTCTGTTCAATTGCATTACCGCCCATCAGCTCTGGTATTTTTGGCATGCCAAAGGATATTTGCGCTCAAGTGATGTTTGCAGCAATGGAAGAATTCAGCTTCAGCGTTGAAGCCGAATTCAGTACTCTTCGTGAAATTCGCATCGTCATTATTGACGACGAAACAATCAATGTCTTTTACGAAGAGTTTTTGAAACGCTACACTTCTCAAGTGACTACTCAAACAAACACAGTACGCAACGAGGGAGAACCACAGAGTCCCTCCAACATTAGCTCCAATGTCAAAAAGCCGCCATTGCCATCAGAAAAAAAGAGCGAGGATTCACACGAAGGCCATGCGAAGGAAAATAACGGGGCTAAATTTCCACAGGGAGACCAACCAAGCAGGGGCAACAACCATCAATCTGGCCAGATTTCGAAAGCCTTTGAAGAAGATAACAAGAGTGAATTACATACCCCAACGGGCATCGAAGCACTAAACATGGAAATTCCAACGCATAGCGCTGACAATGAACAAGGCTCAAAAACTCCAGAAATTTCTAAAGAAGAAAGCGCAAACACCACATCGAAACCATCTATGGGTAGAGGGAAAGGCCATCTTGCAATTCGTTTTCCGGATAAACCAGGTGAAAAAGAAAAACCAAAGGCAGAGGCTGATACCCGGAACATTGAGCATGACACCAACGTCGGTAACGATAATGCTAATGCATTTCCACCTGGTATGGCTGTAGCGGAAGAAGGCAAACGTCTTGCTGAGGCAGTCAGAGAGGCAGTCAGTGAGGATTCAAATGCCAATCATCCTTCACCAACGGACAAAGAAACAGATAAAGAGGTAGACGAGTCTGGAAACCAAACTTTTACTCCTAGAAATCAAAGTGAGGAAGAAGAGCCACCTGCAAGACGCCCGAACTCAAATCAAGAGGAAATTCCTGGTTTTAAACTGAGTCACAATGGTAGCAGGACAGACCCAAATACAAATAGCGACGGATCCACTGAGGAATCATTGAGCGGTGGTAAACAACGCCAAAACGACGAGAATACGCACACCCACAGACCTAAAGACGAACAGCGCGACGCAGAAATGGATATGGAGGTTGAACAATCAATTTCTGACGAAAAACAAAATGACGTAACCCAGCCACAAAATGCATCGGCATCTGGGCAATTTTCAGACATCAGTGGTCGACAAACAATACAAGAGAGGCGAGATCCTGAGAGTGGTGATATCGACGCATCTGGCAGACACGTTGGCCCAGGTAAGTAAACTACCATACTTAGTAAAATCTTGATTGTTTTACTATGTCAAATTCTGCGACCCAAAACCAAGATGGGGGTAAGGCAAAAACAATGAAAAGTTTAGTCACAACGATCTGGGTAGCTTGCTAGGTTTGCTTCGTTGTCTCTTTATATCTTTGGGCAACGAATTTGGTTTTTCGTGTAACACGCCCAAACCGCAACTAGTATCAACTTGTTATTTTCAATCTGGAGTTAGTAAACATATCGCGTATCTTTTTTTGTTTTTTTAGATCTGGGACCACTCCTCAAGATGACCAAACAGCACGAGATGAGCTCTCTAGACTGCGCCCTATGTATGAATCAGCACCGAAATCCTGTTTACGGATATCAATGTGGTCATTACTTTTGCAACTACTGTATCGACTGTGTTGTTGAGAAGAAAGGTTTTTGTCCACAGTGTTCACTAGAGAAGCTGTTTCCTGGAAACCAGCCTGTTGGATACATGTCTTGGAGAACTGAGTCACGTCATTTCCTACCAGGCTACGAGGAATGTGGAACCATTGTCCTAACCTTTAACTTTCAAGGAGGAATTCAAGGTAACCTTGATTTAGAGCTCTATAATCCCTTTAATTTTTTTAAGGGTAGGTTTATTGTTTGAGATTTTGTTCTATATATCTATACACTGACATATCCATAAATTATGCGTCGAAGGCGAAGTGAATATTGTTGAATTATTCCCGCTAAGAGGTGGTAAATTGAATCAATTATAAATGCCATATTTTAAAGTTTTTAACTCCATTTTACTTTAATTCACAATTTCAGTGTAATTTCTATTTATCATTATTGTTAGCGGGTAGTAGTTAACAGGTGAAGAGTCATGTGCAATAAATACACACTTGATAAACCATTATTATTATTAGTTTTATTATTAGTAGTAGTTGTAGTAGTGTTACGTAGTAGTTGTGGCAATTATCCTATGCAGTGAAAACTTCTAGGTGCATAAAAAGTGACTGCGTGACCTATCTGCCAAACAGGAATCCTAACATAAAAGGTCTAAAAAATTATGAATGCATAAATAAAGTTATCTATCACTAAAATTTTCTCTAAACGTTTTAATAAAATGTTGCAATTTCTATGCAGTCGCGATTTTGAAAAGTCTGTTTATGTTCAGAGTGGTGCTTAGTACTGCTTTCAGCATTATTTCCAAAACTTGCTTTCCTGCTTTTCCAAAGATGCATGTCATCTCCTTCTCCAGATCTTTGGACCACCTGCCCAGCACATCTATGATAAAATTAAGCTTAGTGATCTTGTACCCTGGGCATAGTCTTGATAACTCCAGTCTCAGTGACCCATACTTGTTGGTCTTCTCGGTGTCTTTCTTCGCGCGGTTGTCCACTCAATGGCAGCTCATTTCCACCATGAGTAATTTCTTGGCCTAGTCAACAAAGCGTGCGTCAACTCGGTTTTCTCGAGCCAACGTATTATTATTATTATTATCATTGTTGTTGTTATTATTATTATTATTATTATTATTATTATTATTATTATTATTATCACTACTAGTACTACTTTCATTATCATTGTTATTTTATTATTATCAAAATCATTATTTTTATGGGTTCGAAGGGGCACGTCCTAATATGTGGACTAAAGTTCTTCAGTGAGAGCAATAAAGTTGTTTTTCACATACGCTTATTGTAGGTCCAGACCATACTAATCCAGGACAGCGTTTCAGTCAACTTTTCTGCGCGGCTTACCTTCCAAACAACCCCGCTGGAGTAGAGGTGTGTAACTTGTTGAAACGGGCATTTAATGGACGTCTGATATTTACTATTGGAAGAAGTCCTACTACTGACGAGGATAACAAGATTGTGTTGAACGGCATCGAACTGAAAACAAGTCCAACTGGTGGTCCAGCCAAGTAAGTTAGCTTTTCCAACTGTAAAATTTACTGACTTACGCGTTCTAAACGTATATTTCTTAAAATAAGGTCGTCATTGGTTTCGGGAACACACAATTCATTTCCCGAAATATTCGCTCTACTATTTTCATTTTTGACCTTATAGATAGGTGATACTGCCGAAAGAGATCTTCCTTTTAATTTTTTGTTTCCCAATAATTTCGGATGTTAGATCTGAGACATTGGTGATGTTCCCTATTTGCTCTTCTTCCTTACTCTGACTATCAATATATTTAATAATGTATTTTATGTTATAAGAATTTCTAAGGGCGCATTTCGTGCCACATCGAACGATATCCTCGTTTTGATTTTTGTCTTTGTTTTGACCATATGTCTTTTTGACTATACACTGATATCGTAAGAATTCACTCATGATCTGTTAACCCCGGGAATATAAGGGTTAAATTAACTTATATTTGCTCTCATTCATCGACCCTTTCCTACTTTTTTTCTTTTATTATAGATGCACACTAGCGAATTACGAGTTTTCCTTCTTCAACGGTATCGTGGAAAAACTTACTTTTTAATGTATGTTTTTGCAGGTGCGGTTATCCAGATCCAAGCTACCTTGATCGAGTAAAGAAACAACTTGCTGACAAAGGCATTAAATCGCTGCATCGTCAAACGTTTGTTTAGTTCAGAGGAACGTCACATGCTTTTTGTACTACCAAACTTGGTTTTGAGATATGATTTTAAATCGTGGACGAAGTTGTTGAATATTTTGCCTCGAGCGTTGGACATAGAAAAAAAATAGTTTCCCATGAGGATTCGAACCTAAGCCATTTCCGGTTTTGCAAGCTTAGCTAAAGAGGACTTGATTGTGAACTACAAGAAAGAGGTTTTTGATAAACTTTTTTGGCTTTCGTTAACACCATCAAAACTTTTAACAAGTCAGTCAAGGGTTTGATAAAGTATTTCACCTGGCAGAAAGAAAAGTGAGAAAAACAAGTAGTTTCGATGTCTCGTATGACAGAACTTTGATGCAAATTTGTACCGATGTGCTAATAGAGCCTCAAATGGACCTTGAAGTCCTCATCAGTGATAAATGACAGTATGCAGATATTCAAATGTTCTTAATTGATCGTGATACCAATTTCTAGTTTATGTCAGCTTACAGGGTTTTTGTATTTGTATTCTTTTTCATAAAGGATTCAGTAAGTTGGCGCCAGTACTTTAAAACTTATCCTTTAATTGTCAATATGTGCGCCTCAGTTACAATAATTAGTCCTGTTCCCTTTTGAAAAATCATAGTGTAAATTTAAATTGATGAACATAATGAGCGAAAGTATGTATTTTTCAACTCATTTAGCTCTTCCACCAACGGTTTCTTGATTATTCTGTTGCCAATTTTAGTGGACGTACCTTTGCTGGCACAGCAAACTTACTCAAATAATGTTTTATTTCTAATAACAGTAATGTGTAGTTGAAACTGCAAACTGAATGGATGGTTGATTTTGTGCTTTGAGTCAGTACACTGCTTAGGGTTCCAATATAAACATGTCATGAGCCACCTTTTGTGAACTCCTAACTGACTGATATTCCTTCTTTTTCTTGTGGTTTGCTATAGCAGATAGTAGAACTCTGAACCGTAACGAAACTAGAGACAACACAATTCAAATTACTAAGTAAAGTTATAGTATAAAAAAGGCCAGATCCTTTTTTTTTCTTTAAAGGAAACATCCAGAACAATCTGAAAAGGTAAACTGCAGCTTTAATCCTATTGCATATCAAATCTAGGTGATTTCATGTAGTTTACTGCCTTCATCGTTTGTTACGGATTTGTTCAATTATTTTTTGTTCGTGATTTTTGGTCAATCGAAAGGAGTACGCTTGGAAAGTCCTGTCCCTGAAATATTTTTCCTCCACGTGGTTCCTTAAGGGAAATTGAGCTTGGGCAGATTGTTATCAAGAGTATATTGGTATTACAGAGCTGCATTTCACGAAGGGCACACCTATTTTGCAGATTTTCCTTTCAGAAAGACTAACTAAATGCTTATAACACAATCTTATCGCACCAAAAACACTAACGAAAGTATAATTTCCGAAAATTCTGAAAAGGATCCCGTTAATGTGAGAGGCGTAAACACAATTTAAAACTATATTCGTGTCACTAATATACAAATTAATTCATTCACTTTAAAAAGCCCTCTGGGAACAATCTGCTGCCAATTATTGCTCCATGCGTCAAGCTAAGTAGGCCTGGTCACGAATATACACTTCCACGCCGAACCAGGCGGTGTGCGCACTCCGATTGCGTTGCATTGTGGTAGCTTCATTTTAAATGTGGCTGTGAAAGCAGCAGAATTCAGCAGATTTTGACTGGACATTCCGTAGAAGTTAGGCCGTTCCTCTTTCCTTTCATCATAGGTAAATGTAATTTGATTTATTCTGAATGTGTAAAAGTATTTTTTGTTCGTATTTGTCGCGTATTCTATGGTTCTCAAGGACAAACGCGATCACTGTTTTTTGTATGTAATTTGAGACCGGATTTCAAGAAGATCAAATTCGATGTATGTCGTAGTTTTAACTTTTTAACTTTCGAAGGAGCTGCAACAGACAGTGAATTTCCATTACATTCCACGTTTATTCACGCTATCTTGCTGCTACCAGAGATGTTCACTCGACCACGACAGGATGCAAATGACTTATTTTTCATTTTACGACCATGATGCAGCGCAATGAGAGTGCGCACACCGCCTGACACCGAACGATACCTTCGTTTTAATCGTCATGGCTGCTCAGTGTCGAAGTTTCTTCGATGATGTCAAAAAAGAATTAGAATGTTGTGTTTGCCAAGAACAATTTGACGAGAACAACGAGCCCAAAATACTCAAATGTCTCCATACTTTCTGTAATTCGTGTCTGGAACGGTGGTTACGACAACAAGGTGGAAGGCAGTTGAGTTGTCCTACATGCCGTCAAATCACCGAATGTCCCAACAACAACATCAACAGCCTTCCACCAAATCTATTTTACAAGCAAATGGTGGGAATTGTTGAGGCTTACAGCGGAACGGGCCAAAAAGATTCGCCACAGTGTGGAAGCTGCGATGAAAGAAATCCCCTTAAGTTTTACTGCTCAAATTGCAATTGCTTCCTCTGTGAAGAATGCTCCATGGCTCATAAAAAATTGAAAGTGTTTAGTGGCCATCAAGTCAAAGAAATTGGAAATTTTGTGTCTAGCGACGCACAAGATTACGCTCGGAAAATGAACGTTTGTAAAGAACACAAAGATCAAGTTAGATTTTACTGCGATCAGTGTGTGGCATGCATTTGTCGTGACTGCGCTATCTTGGAACACCGAGATCACAACTTTGTTTCCATTGACAAAGGACTGGACAAGAAGAGATCAGAAATCGAGACCAAAATGGGAGACGTTCTGGCAAATGGCTCTAGACTTCGAAAGGAAAAAGAATTCCTTAAAGCACAAAGGCTGAGAATGAGCGAAAGCATCGAAAAAGCGAAAGAAGAAGTGCATCGAGTCGCCGAACGCAACATAGCGTTAATTCGACAACACGAATCAAGCGTGACGGAACAACTCATCAACCAAAAAGATGTTTTTGAAGCTGAATTTTCAAATGCTGTATTCCGAATGGACGAAAGACTGACGGACGTAGAGAGCGGTTTGGAATTTTGCGACGAGATACTTAGACGAAATAATCTACCGGAGATCTTAAACGTGGAAGAAATACTTGAGCAACGATTTAAGGAACTTTCAAAGCCTTCTGATATAAACATGAAGTTAAATTATTCTGTATTCAAGTATGTTCCAAATGATTACACATCCATCAGTAAGTCTCCGGGAGAGCTGTTGAAAAGCAAAACGGTACCTTCGTTATCAGAGGCAGAAGGTGAAGGACTGACTGAGGGAACTCAAGGCGAAGATTGTGCTTTCAAAGTAATAACAAAAGACCTACAAGGTAAAAACTCTCACAGTGAAATAGATGAAGTCTTTGTTGACATTAAATCGACCCAGACAGGAACATCCTTAAAGGTCAACATAATAGACTCAAACGATGGCTGCTACAAAGTATCATACCAACCTGAAACTGCTGGAGATTTCGTCGTGTCTGTAAATGTTGATGGTGAAGCGATCAAAAAGAGTCCATTCCAGTTGAAAGTAAGAGAACAACCCACCCGACGAAAAAAACATGGAAAGTCCACAGCATCCACGGGTAACGGTACTACTTATTATCAATTGATAGAATGTTTATCACCATTCGTCACCTCAGTCAAGACTTACACATCGGTGGCAATTTTCCTCTGCCCCAGTTTTCCTTAATTCTTGGACATTTTTAATTCTTAAAAGAGCCAGACGTAAGATTTGTCGACCATGAATATTCATTACGGAAACCATGGAAACGAAACGAATCGTAAGGTTGTGCTGCCTATCACTTAATGTCATTTGGGAGATTTTTTCACCATAAAACCACCGCGTTGAAAGATTACTTAAATGGGATATCCACTGAAAACGCCACTTTGTGAAAGGAAAAGGATAAAAATTTTTATTTTTATTAAACAATAAATAACCCTAAGCAAAAGGTAATCGAATCTCCGATTGTAGGAGTTCGCAAATGGTGAAAGAGGCACCGCGCCACGAATTGGAACACTGTTTAAGCAACAACACTTGAATCGCGTTGCCCTCGGTGCTGAGCAAAAACTCGTTCTTTAAAACGTTGTCGTCCATGTATCGCATTCCTTCCAACGAATAATATCCGTAAAGTTCGAATACCTTACAACTTTTACATCTTTTTGATATTCTACAGCCTAGGTAAGTTCCAAATTCGCTGTGATGAACCACAACAACGTTTGACTTTCCGTCCAAAATCAAAGACTTTTGGCAAAACCTACATTTCTCCCTTTCAGTTCTAAAGATGGCACTCATAGGTACTCTGGACATCAAAGATGATTGATGAAGCTCCTTAAAGCAAAGCTTAAAATGAGTACATAAAACCTAGCTGTTAAGGAACAGCAAGCTTTCTGCCTCACTACGAAACTGCTCCATGGCAACCTGCTTCTCTTCTTTGTCATCCTCTACGATTACCAAACAGTACCGCCTCACGACACTAACGAAGTCTTTTGCTTCTATAAAAGCTTTCACCGATAAAATGGAACACAAACAAGAGCCTCGATAAAACAACGTTGTCTGTGAAGACGCTCGCCATTACTAACGCATTGAACAAGTTTGAATGGTTGCCATAGAAGCAAATGGTTTCCGTAATGAATATTCATGAATCGATGACTCGTACGAATCGACACACCATCATCTGGGGTTAGTTCTCTCAAAGTGGTGAAAATATTTAAGTCTCCCTAATGACATTCATGGATAGACAGCACAGCCTTACGATTCGTTTCGTTTTCATGGTTTCCGTAGTGAATATTCACGAATCGACGACTTGTACGACTCGTACGAATCGACACACCACCACTGAGGTCAGTTCTCTCAAAGTGGTGAAACAATATCTAAGTCTCCCTAATGACATTCATGGATAGACAGTTACGGTTACATTCATTAAATCTGTAAACCAGAGTAGCATCAAACCATGTCTGATTGTCCAACTGGTTGCCGTATGAACTTTAATATATTAGACAGCGCAGCCTTACGACTCGATTCGTTTCCAAGGTTTCCGTAATGAATATTCATGGTCGATGAATCGTACGAATCGTGAATACATTAGACGACTCGTGGATACATTAGACGACTCGTGAATACATTAGACCACTCGTGGATACATTAGACGATCAGTGTCAAGTCGTGGTATTGGAAAACCCTCGCTATCATGGGAAGTTTCACATTCTTAGGCCTTAAACTTGAATAAATAAATTGATGGTTAAGCTAAGTGGGGAATCGTTCTGCAGGCATGAAAGTAGGTTGAAGTTTACCAGCCTGTATTGAGTACATTTGGATCTTCTGATTACCCTTCTTTCTGTTTATGCCTAATGGAGTGTGATTGTATGCCTGATTATGACTAGTTGATTGATTTATCTTTTAATATCCATGTAAGGGACAAGGCAAGGACAGAGAAATGCAAAAAGCAAAAAGAGTTCCCAGAATATACCCTCAGCACAAGTACTCAGCCAAGATCTGATGAATGGAGTGAAGCTCTCCTTGTACCAAAGTGATATCACTGACGAAATCGTGGACGTTATTGTCAATGCAGCTAATGAGTGGCTTTCGCATGGTGGTGGTGTAGCAGCAGCGATAGTACGGAAAGGTGGTCGCATAGTACAAGAGGAATCCGATGGAGTAATGGCACAGAGAAGTAGACGTCCACTGAGAGTAGGCGACGCCGTTCATACAGGGGCCGGCACCCTTCCTTGCAAATTTGTAATTCACACGGTTGGTCCAAGGTGGGATGATTTTGACAAAGACAGAGGCGTTTCTCTTCTTCGCCTTGCGTGCATTAAAAGCCTCTGTCTTGCAGCACAATTGGAGCTCTGTTCGATTGCATTACCGCCCATCAGCTCTGGTATTTTTGGCATGCCAAAGGATATTTGTGCTCAAGTGATGTTTGCAGCAGTGGAAGAATTCAGCTGCAGCGTTGAAGCCGAATTCAGTACTCTTCGTGAAATTCGCATTGTCATTATTGACGACGAAACAATCAATGTATTTTACGAAGAGTTTTTGAAACGTTACACCTCTCAAGTGACGACTCAAACAAACGCAGAAAGCAACGAGGTAGAGCCACATAGTCCCTCCAACATTAGCTCCAATGTCAACAAGCCTCCATTGCCATCAGAAAAAAGGAGCGAGGATTCACAAGAAGCCCATGCGAAGGAAAATAACGAGGCTAAATTTCCACAGAGAGACCACCCAAGCAAGGGCAACAACCATCCATCTGGCCAGATTTCGAAAGCCTTTGAAGAAGATAACAAGAGTGAATTACTTACCTCATTGGGCATCGAAGCACCAAACAAGGAAACTCCAACGTATGACGTTGACAGTGAACAAGGCTCAAAAACTCCAGAAATTTCTAAAAAAGAAAGCGCAAACAACACATCGAAACCGTCTATGGGTAGAGGGAAAGGCCATCATGCAATTCGTTTTCCGGATAAACCAGGTAAAAAAGAAAAACCAATGGCAGAAGCTAATACCTGGAACATTGAGCATGACACCAACGTCGGTAACGATAATACTAATGCATTTTCATCTGGTATGGCTGTGACGGAAGAAGGCAAACGTCTTGCCGATGTACACCTTACTGAAGCAGTCAGTGAGGATTCAAATGCCAATCATCCTTCATCAATGGATAAAGAAACAGATAAAGAGGTAAACGAGTCTGGAAACCAAACTTTATCTCCTAGAAATCAAAGTGAGGAAGAAGAGCCACCTGCAAGACGCCCGAACTCAAACAAAGAGGAAATTTTCGTTGCTTTAGATCCGGCATCACTCCTCAAGATGACTAAACAACCTAAGATGAGCTATCGAGACTGCGCCCTATGTATGAATCAGCACCGAAATCCTCTTTACGGATGTCAATGTGGTCATTACTTTTGCAACAACTGCATCAGCTGTGTTATTGAGAAGATAGGTTTTTGTCCACAGTGTTCACAAGAGAAGCTGTTTCCTGGAAACCAGCCTGTTGGATACATGTCTTGGAGAACTGAGTCACGTTATTCGCTACCAGGCTACGAGGAGTGCGAAACTATTGTTCTAGCCTTTAACTTTCAAGGAGGAATTCAAGGTAGGCTTGATTTAGAACTTTATAATCCTTTTAATTTTTTAAGGGTAGGTTTATTGCTAGCGATTATGTTCTATTTATCTATGCACATACATATCCATAAATTATACGTCGAAGTGAATACTGTTGAATTATTCCCGCTAAGAGGTGGTAAATTGGATCAATCACAAATGTCACATTTTAAAGTTTTTCACTCCATTTTACGATAATTCACAATTTCAGTGTAATTTCTATTTATCATCATTGTTAGCGGGTTGTAATTAACAGGTGAAGAGTAATATGCAATAAATACACACTTGATAAACCATTATTATTAGTAGTTTTATTATTAGTAATGGTTGTAGTAGTATTACTTAGTAGTAGTGGCAATTATCGTATGCAGTGAAAACTTCTAGGTACATAAAAAGTGACTAGGTGACTAATCTGCCAAACAGAAATTCTAACATAAAAGGTCTTAAAAATTATTAATGCATTAATAAAGTTCTCTATAACTAAAAATTTCTCTAAACGTTTTAATAAAATGTTGCAATTTTTATGCAGTCGTGATTTTGAACAGTCTGCTTATGTTCAGAGCTTAGTACTACTTTCAGCATTATTTCTAAAACATGCTTTCCTGCTTTTCCAAAGATGCTTGTCATCTCCTAGCTTCTCCAGATCTTTGGACCATCCGCCCAGCACATCTATGATAAAATTAAGCTTAGTGACCTTGTACCCTGGGCATAGTCTTGATAACTCCAGTCTTAGTGGCCCGTACTTGTCGGTCTTCTCGGTGTCTTTCTGCGAGCGGTTGTTCCGTCAATGGCTGCTCATTTCCACCATGAGTACTTTCTTGGCTTTGTGGTCAACAAAAAGCGCGTCAACTCAGTTTTCTTGAGCTAACGTATTATTATTATTATAATTATTATTATTATTGTTATTATTATTATTATTATTATTATTAACACTACTAGCACTACTTTTATTATCATTATTTTATTATCATCAATATCATTATTTTTACGGATTCGTAGGGGGCACGTCTTCATATGTGGACTAAGTTCTTCAGTGAGAGCAATAAAGTTGTTTTAAGATTAAAAGTTTTCACATACGCTTATTGTAGGTCCAGACCACACTAATCCAGGGGAGCGTTACAGTGAACTTTTCTGCTCGGCTTACCTTCCAAATAACCCCGCTGGAGTAGAGGTGTGTAACCTGTTGAGACGGGCATTTAATGGACGTCTGATATTTACTATTGGAAGAAGTCCTACTACTGACGAGGATAACAAGATTGTGTTGAACGACATCGAACTGAAAACAAGTCAAACTGGTGGTCCAACCAAGTAAGTTAGCTTTTCCAACTGTAAAACTTACTGACTTACGTCTACTAAACGTATATTTCTGAAACAAGCTCGTCATTGGTTTCGGGAACACACCCGTAATATTCGCTCTACTATTTTCATTTTTGACGTTATAGACAGGTAATACATACCTATACTGCCGAAAGAGATCTTCCTATTAATTTTCTGTTTCGTAATAATTTCGGATGTTAGATCTGAGAATTTAGTGATGTTCCCTATTTGCTCTTCTTCCTTACTCTGACCATCAATATATTTAATAATGTATTCCACATGTATAATGTATTTCGTGCCACATCGAACGATATCCCCGTATTAATTTTTGTCTTTGTTTTGACCATATGTCTTTTTGACTATACACTGATATTGTAAGAATTCACTCACGATCCATCAACCCCGAGAAGTAAGGGTTAAGTTATATTTGCTCTCATTTACCAACCCTTTCCTACTTTTTTTCTTTTCTTATCTCCTCCTAGATGCACACTAGCGAGTTTCGAGTTTTCCATCTTCAAAGTTATCGTGGAAAAACTCACTTTTTAATGCATACTTTTGCAGGTGCGGTTATCCAGATCCAAGCTACCTTGATCGAGTGAAGAAACAACTTGCTGACAAGGGCGTTACACCACTGCATCGTCAAACTCTTGTTTATAATTAGTTCAGGGGAACGTCACATGCTCTCAGTACTACCTAACTTGGTTTTGAGATATGATTTTAAATCGTAGACGAAGATGTTGAATATTTTGCCTCGAGCTTAGGACAAAGAAAACTAAATAGTTTCTTATGAGGATTCAAACCCAAGCCATTTCCGGTTTTGCAAGCTTAGCTAAAGAGGACTTGATTGTGAATTACAAGAAAGAAGTTTTTGATAAACATTTTTGGATTTTGTTAACACCATCAAAAGTTTTAATAGGTCAGTCAAGGTTTTGATAATGTATTTCACCTGGCAGAAAGAAAAGTGAGAAAAACGAGTAGTTTTGATGTCACGTGTGACAGAACATTAGGTATTGATGCAAATTTGTGCCGATGTGCCAATAGAGCCTCAAATTAACCTTGAAGTCCTCTTTAGTGATAAAATGACGGTATGCAGATATTCAAATGTTCTAAATTGATCGTGATACCAATTTCTAGTTTGTATCAGCTTACAGGGTTTTTGTATTAGTATTCTTTTTCATAAAGGATTCAGTAAGTTGGCGCCAGTACTTTAAAACTTATCCTTTAATTCTCAATATGTGCGCCTCAGTTACAATAATTAGTCTTGTTCCCTTTTGCAAAATCATATTGTAAATTTAAATTGATGAACGTAATGAGCGAAATTATGTATTTTTCAGCTCACTTAACTTTTTCACCAACAGTTTCTTTTTTAATTTTAGTGGACGCACCTTGCTGGCATAGCAAACTTACTTAAATGTTTTATCTCTTATCACAGTAAAGTGTGGTTTGAACTGTAAACTAAACTAAAGGTTGAGTTTGTGCTTTGAGTCAGTACACTGCTCTGGGTTCCTGTATGTACATGTTATGAGCCGCCTTTTGTGAACTTCTAATTAATTTATATTCGTTCTCTTTCTTGTGGTGTGCCATAGCAGATAGCAGAACTATGAACCATAACGAAACTCGAAACAACACAATTCGAATTACTAAGTAAAGTTATAGTATTGAAAAAGGCCTGATCCTTTTTTTGCTTAAAGGAAACATCCAGAACAATCTGAAAAGGTCAACTGCAGCTTAAATCCTATTGCCTGTCAAATTTAGGCGATTCCATGTAGTTTACTGCCTTTATCGTTTATTGGGATTCGTTCAGTTGAAATGACACCTAATATCTTGCAAAAAGAGTATTTAACATCCCGTCATTTTTGGTCGATCAAAAGGAGTACGCTTAGAAAGTCCAGTCCCTGAAATATTTTTCCCCACGTGATTCCCGAAAGGAAATTAAGCATGGGAAGAGTATCACCAAGAGTATATTGGTATTACAGAACTACATTTCAAGAAGGGTACACATAGTTGGCAAATTTTTTTTTTCAGAATGGCTGACTGAATCCTTATAACACAATCTTACCGCACCCAAAGTACATAACTTTCCGAGAATTCTAAAAAGGATTCCGTTTATGTGAAAAGCTAAAACACGATTGAAAACTATACTCTTGCCACCAATAAACCAATTAGTTAGACAATTTTAAAAAGCCCTCTAAGATCAATCTGATCCCAATGATCACTCCACATGTTAAGCCAAGGTGGCCTGGGCACAAATATACACTTCCGCGTCGGACTATACCTTCGTTCTAGTAGCCATGGCTGCTCAATGTCGAAGTTTCTTCGATGATGTCAGAAAAGAATTAGAATGTTGCGTTTGCCAAGAACAATTTGACGAAAAAAACGAGCCCAAAATACTCAAATGTCTCCATACTTTCTGTAAATCATGTCTGGAACGGTGGTTACGACAACAGGGTGGAAAGCAGTTAAGTTGTCCGACATGCCGTCAAATCACCGAATGTCCCAACAACAGCATCAACAGCCTTCCATCAAATCTATTTTACAAGCAGATGGTGGGAATTGTTGAGGCTTACCGCGGAAAGGGACGAGAAGACTCGCCACAGTGCGGAAACTGCGACCAACGAAGGTCCCTGAAGTTTTATTGCTCGGATTGCAATTGCTTCCTATGTGAAGAATGCTCCATGGCTCATAAAAAATTGAAAGTGCTTAGTGGCCATCACGTCAAAGAAATTGGAAATTTTGTGTCTAGCGACGCACAAGATTACGCTCGGAAACTGAACGTTTGTAAAGAACACAAAGATCAAGTTAGATTTTACTGCGATCAATGTGTAACATGCATTTGTCGTGACTGCGCCATCTTGGAACACCGAGATCACAACTTCGTGTCCATTGACAAAGGACTGGACAAGAAGAGATCAGAAATCGAGGTCAAAATGGGAGACGTTCTGGCAAATGGCTCTAAACTACGAAAGGAAAAAGAATTCCTAAAAGCACAAACGGCGAGAATGAGCAAAAGCATCGAAAAAGCGAAAGACGTAGTGCATCGAGTCGCTGAACGCAACATAGCGTTAATTCGACAGCACGAATCAAGCGTCACGGAACAACTCATCAGCCAAAAAGATGTTTTTGAAGCTGAATTTTCAAATGCTGTATTCCGAATGGACGAAAGACTGACGGAAATAAAGAGCGGTTTGGAATTTTGCAACGACATACTTCGACGAAATAATCTACCGGAGATCTTAAACGTGGAAGAAATACTTGAGCAACGGTTTAAGGAACTTTCTAGGCCTTCTGATGTAAACATGAAACCAAATTGTTCCGAAGTCAAGTATGTCTCAAATGATTTGTTCTCCTTGAAAGAATCTCCAGGGAAAGTGATGACAACCAAAACTGTACCTTCGTTATCAGAGGCAGAGGGTGCGGGACTCACCGAAGGAACTCAAGGCGAAGATTGTGAGTTTACAGTCATCACAAAAGACTCACGTGGTAGTAAAACTCACAGCGAAATAGATGAAATCCTTGTTGACATTACATCACTTCAGATGGGAACAGCCTTACAGGTCAACGTAACAGACTCAAACAATGGCTGCTACAAAGTATCATACAAACCTGAAACTGCTGGAGATTTCAACGTGTCTGTGCGCGTTGCAGATGAACCTATCAAAGGAAGTCCGTTCCAGTTAAAAGTGGAAAAAAAAATACGAAAACTGAAAGGTATTCGCTAATAGAGTTATTGTTCATCGATCGATTGATTCACTGAATGATTGATTAATTCATTATCTCCCCTTTCACTCATTTATCTAATTATTTATTTCTCAGTTTACTTATTGACATTACTTTCACTCTGTTATCCTTAGTTAGAATGATAACTGCACACAAATTTGCGTAAATTTGCAACCTCTTCAATTACCCAAATTTCACTAACTCTGATTTCTGAAGTGGCAACATGCATTTGATGATTTATTCAGACTTTAATCTGCCTCTTACAAATTTCAGATCACCAGCCGTTCGGCCTGATCGAGGAGGGAAAAACCTGCCAAGTTTGCTATTATAATGTAGTTCCACTTTTCCAGTTACAGTGTGGACACTACAAATATTGCAAGGGATGTAAAGAGAAGCTACTCGGCGAATATGATACCTTCTGCTATATTTGCAGACGAAAAGTTTTATTCCTTGGAAATCAACCGACTGGACATATGACCTGTAGGAGAGACTCAGGACCCTCTCTCCCAGGGTACGAAGCCTTTGAAACCATAGTGCTTGGTTTTAACTTCGACAGAGGAATCCAAGGTACGTTAAATGACTATGAATGATTTTCCTAGTGCTGAAGACAGGACTTAACCTCTGTAGAACACGATAGGCAAACCGCTTAACTCGAGCCAATTTTTCAAAGCTATTCAGCCAAATTTTATTTGCAAAGACAGACTAACAGTATCATGATTCATTATAGCCGTTTAATTTCTACAGTTTCTAAAGTACACTCATGCCACCGTAAGATTATTGAAAATATTTTGATTACTTGGTTGTTTCATTATATTTTCATTTAGTTGTTTATATATCTATTAATCTATTCATTGATTTTTCGTGTATTCTTTTGCTAAGAAAAAGAAATGGAGCTAATTTGTTTAGCTGTATGAAATTTGTATTGTAGGTGAAGAGCACCCAAATCCTGGGGTTCCTTATTTGGGTTTATTCTGCTCAGCATATCTGCCAAGAAACCAAGAGGGACAAACATTGTGTGAACTTCTGAGGAGAGCGTTTGACGCACGACTGTTATTTACCATCGGAGCAGACAACACCATCCTGTTTAATGACATTGAACTGAAAACAAGTCGCAGTGGTGGCCCATTTAAGTGAGTCTAAGTCTAAGATGCCTTTGTTTGTTTCTTTATAAACGAATGTCGATTGATGACTCAACTCTGTTTCGTTATTTGTCTGGTTACTTTAGAGAAGCGCAGAAGGAAACAATTGAAAAAACCGATTATTTTTATCTTCGATATTTTTTTGCTAGATTTAATCCAATACCTTTTTCCCTCGTTGATTGAATACTCTCAGTACAGCTGCTATGTGGAGTGCCACCATTTAGCACCAATACTTCCTCTTCATAGAGACTAGTCTGAAAATCAAACTGCAAAGTATATGCAACAAATCTGTTCGGTAGATGAAAATCATCTGCTTTACTAATAATGCATCCAGAGGTCAAAGACGGTCCTTTTTGTTTCCATTTCTTTAGGTACGGTTATCCCGACTCAGGATATCTTGATCGACTGAAGAATCAGTTGGCATTAAAGTGTGTAAAATAATGCAAGCCACCGAACTGAACAGGCCACTTCACGAAACTCCTCATGAGATCGGAGAGGGTAACTAGAATGGAAATAAGAATGGTTCAATCCGAGGAGATCAAAACTGATTTAGCGCCAGTCACGAACTTTAAATACGATCAAGCGTTCATGATTCAGATACATCGATTGTGACGTGGTTTTTTCTAATGATGCCTTTACACAAAATCAATCGACTCTTCGTATTTCTTACTATTCTGCATGCTAAATAATAGTTCTATAATGCTTCAACGAAAATTTTGCATTTGCTGGAGTAAGGATAAGTTCTTCTGTAAATAATTAAACACGGCTTCATTGCCATTTTTAAAAAAATGGCAAAATAATCAAATAATCGACCAGAGAACATGATCTCTATAGTAGGATTACATGTCATGCAAGTTCAAATCGAGATTCAAAAAGTTGAAGCTAGAATAATATTTGACGACGATTTTACATACATCGATCATGCATGCAATGTATTTCAGTCCGTGCACTCATATCGTGTAGTTCAATCTGGCTAAGATTGGGGTGGCTCATAAGAGTGAACCGAACTGGTACTTTGATTACGTACAGCTACCCATGCCAGAACTTTATTACTATGTATTACCCATATGATATCCTATACAAACGCAAATGAGCCTATTGCAAGTAGAATAAGAAAGATTGTAAGTTTTGAGTTCGGTAAAGAAATAGAGAAAGATGTTTTATCGTCTTGTCACGAGCATGCGACAAAGAAAAACTCCTGAGTCCCCATGGGGAATCAGACCTTAGACCATGGATTCTGCGCTCTGATGCTCTGCCACTTAGCCACGGAGACTCGATGGTGAACAAGGCCCATTACGAAGTTCAAATATGACACGTGTCCTGTATACTGGTGGGACCAGCACTGGCTTTAGCGTCATGTTTTGTAAGTAGATTAAGAAAGATGGAGGGACTCAGAATTTTTTCTTTGTCACACTCGTGACAAGACGAAAAAAATATCTTTCTCTTGTGTAGTCTTACATACTATTTCAATAAATCTAATACATAGCTTTCATGGACTACTGGAGTCAATCCACTTTGTCTGCTAGCGCTGAAGGTAGTTACTATTCCGTCACAAAATTTTGAGTTTCCCTGCTACTTAGAAAGCCATTCGTATTAGTCATACCCCACATTCCTCAGTTGCGTAAAGGCCACGCGAAAAGTGGAATTTTTTTATTTGCAGTATGCTCTCATCGAAACTATCAAAAATTATTGCAACTGTTTCACATCTAGTGATCTCCCTTGCCGTAAGTCTGATTAAAATAAGCAAGTTATAAAGACGACATCCTTCCATAGAAATCAGGAAGCGTGGAAACTGCGGTAAGAAATGTGGGGAAAGTGTTTGGGAGGCTCAGCTGCCCGTAAATAAAACAACTTCTGTGTTAAATTCCGAGGGAAGAAACTATAGATTCTGAGTGGCAAAGGCCCGGACCTTGGCCTCTTTAACAACTGAACGTTATGTTATCTAGTGTCTGCACAGATATAGATGACAGATTACATAAAAATGTCCGTAGGACTCGGAAAAAGGTCGCAAACAGGTACGTCTGAGTTTCTTTGAAAATAAAAATTTGGGTTTAACTGTTCATGAGTTCATAGCAGGTACGAACGGACATTTCGCACCCAATGTTTACGTCCCTATTCCAACTTTTGACGATTTTTCTGGTTTTCAAAAAGCTCTTCAGCAAATAACAAATTGCAATCCTTAGTTTGTAAATTGAACAGTGCTTGATCAATCCAAATTGATCGAGAAACGTGTTTGTCGCCAGTTACTGATGTAAAATCCTTTTGAACTCAGAATGCACACACACATGTTAACCTATATGCGACGTATAGGATTGATTGACGTGCTCTCAACCGTGCATTGGACACAACGTTCTGACTGTGTATTGATAGTGCATAAACACCGACATAGTGCATTTACCAAAGTCTGTTTTTAAAAAAAAGGAACATTTTTTATGCGTAAGCTCTGTGGAGGCCTCTGTAAAGTCATTGGTGAGAAGCATGTGCGTCTTATGGTCGGCGGTCCCTATTCTGAGGAATGCATTGCAGATAGTATAAGATCTAAGGAGACAATCAGAAACACCTCCCGAGACATGTGGGTATTGCTGCCAAATACGAATTAGTCGACTGAAAATTATACATAAGATTATGTTAGATTGTTTGAAATTGAACCAAACAAAACACTTTCATGTGACCAATAAGTGTAAAGAAATATAAAAATTCATGCCTATTAACCTGTGATTAATCGTTTGGCGCTCATGGCGATATACAAAAATAAAAAAATGTTCATCGTGGCCAACCTTTATGTTCCTATCTATAATTGCAGTTTGAATGATCTGGTTCATATACGAGAGCTCTAAAACTATACAACATAAACATGCTTGGTAACATAACTGTGATAACACTTAAAGTATCCCGCAACACAAATTTTTGATCGATATTTACACTGATCAAAACTTATCACTCATCCACTCAAATTATTGACGGTGAAAGGTTATTTCTCTGAATCTGGTTCCAAGGTAACGCACTAAACAGCTGTGCAGGCTAGACTAGCGATGTATTTACGTTAATTACAATATTAATAACTTCAACGCTCCCTCCAAAAGGAAAGTGCATGAAAAAAAATCCGCTGCACAGGAAATGCGCCCACGCTCAAGTACGAGCGCGCGTTAGTTTTCAACTCTAATTAAGTTACTTTTACTTAATTTTGGAAAATAGTGTAAACATTTTACAGCTCGTCGATTTTCGCAGCAAGAGGTTCACATACTGATTCCGCTGAATCTAAGAGACCTGTCATCGTTGGGGCATCGGGTATCTATAAAATTGAATTGAACGGAAGAAGAACTGACAGTAAAGGAAACCCACTCAATAACTGTAACCACGATGCGAGAGAAGGCGATACTTTACCTCCACGGTCCAATCGATCTCTGTTTTGAAAAACAGCCAATTTTGTTAAGTATTGCTAAGTATTGGATACTTGACCATCAGTTGTAAGGTACGCAGATTGTCTTTTATGTGACGAACAGTCCTACGGTACCAAATAACTTAAGTATGGCATTTGAGCTGAGAAGTTGTTTGACTGAGGGGATAATGCAGCTCTTCAAGATGTTATCATTAGGGTGTCACTGGTTCAATCAAGCACGAAAAGAAAAAGGCAAAAAGTACTGGTTGTAACTTCACGATAAATGTTGAGAAATTAAAATAGTTATTGGCAGAACCACACGGAGATTTGGAAACAAAGGATTCACGCTGTTATAATGAAGACACCCCTGCAAGACTCATCAAGCACTGAAAAATGCTCTGTGATAGGTTTTTTTTCCGACTTTTATAACGTCCAAAAAAAAATTTTTAATTCTTAACCACTCAAAACTAGCTGTCACTAAATAAAGTGTAATTAGAGCGTAATGTAAAAAAAAAATTTAACTAGGAAATAATGATAAGTGCAGTAAAGAAACTATGGATGAAACGATAATGCTGTTTTTGCTAGGTTAGATTGTATTCAATAATTCTAAAACATATTTCCCTATACCTTAAATGCAATCTGGAACAATATTGCATTTAACGCATAATGAGAAACTTGAAAAGAGTTGACAATGTTTCCACTACAAACGCTCTCCAACAGGACTGAAAAACCAACACCGAATTTTTTCTCACTGCAAAACCTTGAAGACTTGGTCATGTTGAAAGAGCTTAAAAGTACTTCGGAGCCACTTGTAGATCATCGTTTTCAAGACACCTTCACCTTTTAATATTGGCAATAAATATAAACATGAAAGATGTTTCTATTTAAGTGTTACAACAAATTTTCGTTATTAGGCTACCGTTTTGTAAAAGTACTTGTGGAGAGATACACTATTTCCATAAGGGCTTTGCCATATCTCGGCAAATATTTGCAATAACTTAAATTTCGCTAAAATATATACAGATCATGCACATGTTTGTGTTGACAGCGCAGGAAAATCTCAGATAAAAAGAAAACCAATTGCACGATCAATCCAATGAACTAACGAGATTCTTCACAAATTCAATCACCCTTATGTCACCAATGATACCCATGTGGTCTGCATTTGAAAATGACTTAGTAACTACTTTCTGTTTCTGTTTACCCACAAAGCTCTGACAAGCCTTTAGGCTGCGAATGTTTACAGTCCCATCTCCATCTCCGAACAATGTCTTAGGAAATGTATCAGGAAACTCATCTGCTCCATAAACAAACTTTTCAGGTGTTGGTACTCCTGTGCCATACAGGCAATACAAAGGTACATTGGGTGGGTCATTGATCCAGATAGGTGGAACCTGTCGACTTATGTTAATGGCATCTGGATAGTGAATGTCATGAAAAAATTTCTCTAAGTTTCCTAATGAGTAGTTTAGATTGGCTGTTTGAACAATGACCTGTGGAGGAAAGACAAGGATGTAAAGAGCAGTAATTTTATGCACAAGAGAGTCACACATAGAATGTTGCAATTTTCATGACACATCAATGCAACACTTGGTGAAAGTGAATGATGACATTTTTTCAGTCTGCAATACAGGCAGAGTTGGTTCTCGAACAAAAAAGAAAAAACAATTTTGAGTATTCTGAACAGGTTCTGAACCCAAAGGTGACCTTCCAACTTGATACTAAAATCAGATGCTGTTAAATAAATGAAACTTGGAACTAAAGGCAGGAAGAAAGGTAACAGTGAAACTCAAGTTAAGAGCACTGTGAATTGCCTGTACTGTGTCACTGAAAAACATCTCTCACTTCCATGAAATTACATTTACAAAGCCCCACCAAACTATCTAGAGCTTCTACATACTCTAAAAGAGTAAATTTTCCTTGACAGTAATGTCTACAACTACTAAACAAACACAAGTTTGGAGGAAAAAGGTGACAAAAGAGATGAATTAATTTACAATCACTTTCTCTGTAATTCTCTATTTGTCCCATTGGATATTTTCAATTTCTCACACACAGTCTTCCTGGGCACCTTGTGAAGGGTTTTCATGGTAAAACGTAGGAGTTTAGTGCCTAGTAACAGTAGAATGTTCTCCTTCCCATTGGCCACTGAACTGTCTGTGCTGTGTGGCTTGCATAAGAGATGCTTTCCCCAATCCGCAAGAATGTTTGCATATATGCAAAAAAGTCAGGAATTTTATCTTTTATCTTGATTTTTGAGTTTAAATTTGACATACATCAATTGCTTTTTTCTTTGAAAATAAGTTACTTAAATGGCCTACTTTCATTAGAGCTTGTTTATTGGAGAAGATGAAAATTTAATGTGCATTCTGTTTGCTTTCCCGGTTTCTCCAAAGTTCTAACTTATGCATATGAATGCATTACACTGAGAGAATAATGGGTTGATAAAAATAGCACAGGCCGATCCAAATTTAGTGAGAGAATTCTACTTGATTTGTGGTTTGTTCCCTTAAGCTCTGATGCCCAGTGGATCACCTGGATGCTCAATTAGACTTTATCACAGTAATGCCTGATAACAAAGATACCAGTTATTTTGTCATTAATGGTAAGCTGCAGTTTAAATAACTTGTACCAACTCTGCACTCACCTCCTCTGCAGACCAAAAATCTTTACTGGGCATCAAAAATGCAGAGCTCTCATAGGTTCGTAAAACTGGCCTGAGGTTCAGTGGCTCAAGAACAACATCTGGAAAACCAAGGTTGGTTCCTGAAGCATATATACGCATTAGCTTGGCTGAACCAGCCCATGCCCCAGCAATAGTTACCCAAGCCCTTATGTGTGTGTCCTTCCATTCCTGAGACATGTTGTAGAGAAAGTGATGAGTATACGGACATCCCAAGCTGTGAGACAGCAAAACAATTTGTGTCTTATTGTTTTTCAAGTATGTGTCTTCTATTAGAGCTTTCAAGTTGGCAAAGTATTCCAGAGCAGAATCTGAAATAAATTGTACAATCAAGAAGTTAATGAGAGGCTGGAAACTTAAAAATTTAGGTGTTCAGGTCAAGATGAAAAATACATTTGTCATATGCTTAGTTCAATAATTTGAATTTGTTAATAATGATAATAAGAAAGGCCACTAGTGTCCTTTAATTCTTGATATGACTGATAAATAATTCTCCCATTCTCCTGCTGCACTCTATCTAGTAGGTACTTAAACATTGGGTAACATACAGGGCCTGGTGGTTTAAAGCTGGGTTACAATAACCCAGGGTTAATGTGACATCTGATTTCAGATCTAATAGAGCATTTAGAATTTGATTATTGGATGTTCTAGAAAGAAAATATAGAAAATTATCTCCAAAAGGCTTTTGAACAAATTAATAAAGAAACCTGGATAAACATTTAACCTAAGGTTAGTGCTAAACAACATTTGAACAACAGGGTCTGATGTATTTCACTAAATCGACTTTCCTGTATTCTACAAGTCAAACTCCTGTACATGGCAAAAGTCAGTGGCTAGGAAAAACCACAGCAACCAATGAATGTAATCAATTAAACATTGTTTTGTACTGTTAAAAGAACAGAGCTTGCAGTTTTCTCAAGATACAGCAACTGATATACAAGACAGCAATTTACTGTAGAAACTATGATTTGAGCACAGAGGTGTTGTTCACTGAAAATGTGTTAGAGAGTATTGGTTCATCAAATAAGTTAGAATAATTAAGTAACAATCACATAAGTTTCAAAGTCAGTGTACTTACTTGGTGCATATCTGAAGTCAAATGGTGCAGCTCGCAGTGATATATTCTCCTCAAATCCAATGCTTTCCAGAGCAGCCACCATTTCAGCAAAATACTCTCCTGGATGATAAAGAGAAGGATCCAAATAGGAAACACCTTTGGTTGTTCCAAAATATGGAACTTTTACCTCAACTCCAGGTGCATTGCCCATCCTTTGAGATGTTTCATTAAAGGCAAGCCTTAAGGAAAATAAATTCAACATAACTGTGTGACTCTTGGAAAGTCAGCACAAGTATAGATGCAGGCATAAATCAAAAAACTTTTGGGTCCCTGTCTTGACTTTCTGCTATGTTTTTTCACGTACATAATTAACAAGTAATAACATGATTGCAATTTGGTATATATAAGCACTTATAAATTTTTCAAAGACTACAAACTGCACTTGCCCTATGGGCTCATGCACTTTTGTTGTCTTTGAAAAATTTGCTTTTGCTTAAAAACACCAAATTGCACTCAAAAATCATGTTGACTACACATTGCACTTGCCCTATAGGCTCATGCAGTTTTGTTGTCTTCGAAAAATTTGCTTGTGCTTATAAACACCACATTGCACTTGAATCATATTGTTACCTAAAAGGAGCACTTCTGTTGCCTGTATAAGGCTAGAACAGCTTAAAGTTTCATTTATTATCTCATTACAGTTAAAGATAAATATTCTATATTTTCGATAAATCCATTGTTGTAATGTTATTCTTACCACCCATAACAACCTGATTGTTTATTATTAGCACCATGCTAAGTGGGGTCTAACAGTTAATTGCCACTGTTAAATAACTAAATCTGGATCAAGCATATCATTGGTATTAAGTTGAAAATAGCAAGAGTTTGGTGTAAGCTTAGTACAGGTTTCATTGTGTAACTTTAACAGATGATCAAGAGTTGCTGTTGTACCTACAATTAAATCTAAATAGTCAACCTATCAGAAGTTTGGGACAAAAAAAACTGAGTGCCTTTAAGGAATAAAACCAATTTTTTTGGATTCCATGCTCTTATACTATACCATTAAGAGAAGGGAACTCAGCGGTGAGCAAGGCAACCACCAGGTACACATGAGATGTGTGTTACAAACAGCAGGGATCATCTATGTCACAAGTGTCATATGAATAAATAGCATTACAAAAGTGGTACATTTTGAACTCAGCACTGGATTAAAAAATTTATCTTGGTTTTTCATGACAGATGTTGAAATATATTTGGTGAAATCTCACATGTTAGCCCAGCACGTCAAAGAAGTGAATAAAGCTTACCTTATGTTGTCTGCCCAACATCCAATAGCTCCTGGCAACATTGACTCTATGCTAAGCCACAAGTCAAACCAGGAACTTGAAGTTTTTTCACACCACAAGTGTGGTACTGTTGACTTGTTAATACGGGCCTGGAGTTGACTACCTCCATCTCCTGGAACTGCATAATAAACAAGAAGTCCAGGATGATTATACTTGTAAAACCAAGATGCCGTTAGCAGTGCTAGCTCCTCACCTCATGAGAAATCATCAATAGTCATTGGTGACTGATGAAAAAATACACTTGAATGAAATTGTTGGAGTGGGTTGTTCAATTCAAGGTTTACTTTGCAACAGATAGCATGGCCAGAAAAAGAATTATACAGCAATATGTAAGTAAGTAAATTAAAAGTCAATTCATGATCAATTCAATGTGATTGACATACAGATGTGCAGTGCAGACTGTTATGATTTTAGAAAAATTTAATAGTTATAAAACCAATAAACAGGTGCGATGTAAACACACTACGTGTGAGACCAAACCAACAAAATTCGATAATTTTACAAAACAAGATGATGGTGATAATGCTGTTAACACTTCACCTGTTACAATTTCTACAGCATAAAATGGCAAAATAGAAAATTATATCCAAATGTATTGTAAAACACACGAGAATGTTATTCACAAAGCAATTATGAATTACTAGGGAACACTTTTGAATAACTCCATATTAGACTCAAGTCCCCAGTGTAATATATGAGTTTCGCTATGAAGAATGATGCATGTTATGCGAAAATCTTCAGAAATCTTACCAAGAAAGGCATCCTTACCAACAAATCGCGCAATAGACGAAGACTCGCAAGGCAAAAATAAACAACACTGTTAATCGATCTTCCTGCGGTGAACGCGACATTTCATTGAGGGCTATTCGCTTACTTGTAGATTGTCTGCATAATTTGTAAATACTGCTTACGCAACATCTTTAATGAATTCGAGTTTTACCAGATTTCAAGCTAAGCAATCAGATTTTACTCATTACCCTACTCGCTATTTCCGTTGCCGAAATATAAAGCAGTTAGACTGTTAGTTATAAATTATATGGGAGTTATTGAGGAAATGATCTTGGATCGCGAGCAAAGAAATACACGGCGAGTCGCGAGTACAGTAATTTATCAGAGTCGATTACCGCCTTCAAAGAGAGCATCGTTGTAAATAAATAAGACCACCCACAAAGTTGATTAGTACACTACTTACCAATAACTATTGGTACCTTTGCTTCAATCAAGGCAAAATCTCCGAGAAGGAAAACTAACACCGTAAAGAACAACATCGCTTTGGCCAACGGCCAGCACGGGCTCTCGCCGTAAACTCTCTGAATAATTTGAGTCTAGGGTACAAAGAGCCAGCGGCTAAATCAATTGACACTCCTCCGCATACTCCCCCCTTGCTCATTTTAGCTCCTTTTCAAAAGGTCCCATGATGCGCCCTTCTTTCACCGAAGCGACTAAAATACTAGTAAATTGAGTAGGTGAGTTATCAGCAAAAAGGGAATCTAATAATAATTAACGAAAGATGAACTGCACATACTCTTGTGCCGGAAGGGAGAAGGAATCAGGAAAAAGCTGACATTTTAGAGAAGGAATTTTGGATTGATGGCTGGAGCGGCTCATTTATTTAATTGTACAATTTCTTTTTCAGGAGTTAGCCGAGAGAGAGGATATTTTAAAGTTTTGAAAAAGTGTGTCAGAAAAAAATCCCTTCCTGGGTAACCTATGAGATAGGAAGCACCAAGTTATCACGTGACCTCCACGCCTGCGTACTAACCGTTAGTAGAGACTTAGCTATTTCTTTGTCCTTTGCCTTTCGTTGGAGAACGACACTTAGAAAATTTTCGTTCAATTTTTTAGCCGGAATGAACGGGGAAGCCATTCAACACACCGCTCCATTACAAAAAGTAAGAATGATTCTTGAAAGACGTTGATTTTGATTTATTTTGAGATTATTCCTCTGTTGTCTGACGATTTTTCACCGCACTTCGTAAGTAGCTTTGTGTCTAAAGCAATATTTCTTCAATGCAGCCGATGAGAGAAGTGGCATCTGGAGATGATGACCCAGTTCTGGTAAGGGTAGTTTCACTAATCTTTCGGAAATCATACACGGGCTAACAAAATGGATTGCTTGAGAAATCTAAACAAGTTTATGTTTCACATTTCGTGATGAAGTTTTTGTTTTCGTGATTTTACCCGGTTTAGGCCCAGGCGAAACTAAAGCCGGTCGGGAGCGAAGGTAAGATTGACCGCACATCTATTCGTGTAATTTCACGCTTATTTCTTTGGTAAACTACGGTACTTTACTGTGATTTATTGTCTCTCCCGTTTCCTCTTAATGTATGGTGTAATTTTTGACTCTGTTATGGTAACCAAAGCCAATTTTTAACCGTTTCTCTTCTGTGATATATCGTTTCGCAAACGGAGTTGATTTTTCTTTAACACCGAAGCACATGTAGATACAAATTTGCCTAATCTTAAGCTATTGTTGATAGATCGTAGTTGGGTAGATGAATCATTCATTCCTTTCCAAATGTCGGGGAAGTTCCGTCTGCCGTCGACAATTGAGCTTAGAGTTTCAAACTAGGGAACTGCGAAGGGAAATGATAATCTGGTCCGAAAACACAGTGCTTGCATTATTTTTACGAAGAGCTTTAGGATCGCCGTTGTCGTCGATTTCGTGTCCATTTTGCTTTGCCTATCGATCGAGAATATTTGCAGCGTTCTATAACACCTTGAACGCTTTTCCCTAGAGTTGTAATTTTTTTTTTTAACAGCGTGCTTATTTTATACCCTTGTCAATTCGTCCTTCGGGTAATTATTTGGAGTAGTTAGCTTTCCGAAAGTTTTATCCCTTCGAGAAAGTGAGCAGATTCGCCTTCTCCGATCCTACTTGCACCATGAGTAATAAAAACGATTAAAAGAAATGCTTATTTCTCTAACTTTTGCAGGCCCCGATAGGAAAAAGATCAAGTTTGGATCGACCCAGGTACGAATCATCTCTTCATGGATACAGACTCACCGAAAATTTTTCTTGTTTTCTCTCATGGATCCGCACTCGAAGTCTTCGATGCCGGCGTATTGTATTCGATTCATTCCTTGCGTTGTTTGCGTTCAATTTTTACAACGAAAAAAAATTGTCATGTATATTAACGAGTATTCTGTTTTCCTCTATGCTTGCAACATTTTAATCATGGGCTTCGCTGATTTCCTGTCGTCTAGAATGATGGAAGGTGAGATCCACAAAATGTTCACCCTTTCCGACATTTTGTTTCCTTTGAAGTTATCGGGTAGAATCTTGGTGCTTGTAGGGGAGGGGTAGGGCGGGTTGTACTTTTGAGAGAAAATTCTCGCTGAAACATCTTACTGGTGAAGATTGACGTTGATTCGTCAAATCTACTTTTTTTTTTGTCTTTTTTTTTTAATTGAGGTTTTTCAGTTCTTTTTTTGTGTAATTGACTGATGCAGTGGGGTAAGAAGCATTGGTTATTAAATTATTGTTTTATTTTAAGAGCCTCTCCTCCTTCTTTTTTCATCTTGAGAGGAGAATCTTGATGTGCTGTTACTCTGCTGTTTCTGATTTTTTTTTTTTTCATAAAAAGCCACATGGAATGTGTATTGTTAGTACCACACTCATTCAGACCTTAGGGTAGACTTGTTTCTAGATAACATAACACATCCTAAAGAAGCTCTTAACATTTAAATTCTACTTAACAGATTATAGTGGGTGTGACAATAGGGATTAACATTACCTTGATAATATTGGTGATTAAAGACTGCCGTCAGGTTTGAACAATAAGAACATGATCCTATATGATCCTATAGAAAGGCTACTCTGCCCCTTTCATTTCCTGTTTTTCTTATCCTAACAAAACTTCTGTTTCTCATGCATTACTTTCCCACATTCTTTTATGTTAAGGTTCTTGCACAGTCCACCCAAGCAAGGCATGCCAAATGCTTCTGGAGATTTGTCTCCTTATAGATCTCATGTCAACTCTGCTATGAAGAAGGAACCACATCAAACTCCTATAAAGCAATCACCCTTAAACAGAAGTCAGAATGTGGAAAATGTTGCTCTTAAAAAGGAACCTGTCACACCAGTGAGTTTTACTTGATGATCAATCAGTTTTGATCGAATATCAAGTTTTGTTGCAAATTGTGAAATATAAGAATATTTCCTCTACCAAAATGTTGAGTGGTTCTTTGGATGCTACATTTCATCTCATTCTTATCATGAAGATGTGGAACTGCTCAGGAGTATAATTAGTAAAAAGTCATGAGAGATGGTAGATTTCAGCTCTGTGTTTGACTGTTAAGAAAAAGAAAAATCCCAAGTACTCCACAAGGATTATCTTTTTTGTGATGCTTAGGTTTCATTACAATTATTACTGTAAGTTGTTAACAATTTGATATCATTGGGGTTGTAAATATTTTTTTTTTTTCGTTAAAGATAAAACAAGCGCAGTCTGCATTAAGTCAAGTAGAAAGTGATGATGATGATGATGATGTACCATTGGTGAGTCTATTCTCTTCTGTTTAAGAAGTAATTTCTCCTTACAAATATTGATGCAATGTCAAGTAGACAAGTAAGGAGGAGAAAGAAGCAGACTCAGCCAGTGGATATGATTTGATGTAAAACCAAATTCTCAAGGAAACATCACAGGAAGTACAAGATGATTTGGTTTTATCAGCTGAGTTAATAATGTTTATTACACCCATTTTGAAATCACTGGTGGTCTCTGTAATCTGATTGGCTCTAATTGGTGCGATTTATTCACAAATCGCACCATTTTTTGCTTTAAATTGCACCTTTTTTGCGGCCAATGAGGAGGCTACTCTAAAAACAAATAACCAATCAGATTTCAAGACTTTTGTAAAGTAACCAATCAAATTGCAGGAAAATGAAAGACAGAGTATCATGTGGCAAATTTTGCAACTTTTGTTTCCAAAACTCTTATTTCCCCCCCCCATGAATTTAATTTCAAACCAGCTTAATACTGCATCAATAAAATATTTGAACTGACCAAGTCTTGTAATTGGGCAATTTCAAAATGGATGTAATAAAGTGGTAATTGAACCTCATGTTGTGCAATTTTGGTCTGAAATCATACTTTTGATTTCAAATCAGGCATATGATTTCAGCCCAAATTGCACTCCACTCAGTTCAATTACCATTATAAATTGGGTACCTTAAAAAAATTCTTGAGCCAACATTTTGACTGTTAGTTTGTAGTCAGAGGGAATTGCAATCAGGAGAACCACTATAATTTAGATCTTAGGGGTACAAGGAATATTGTAAACTGGGTTCTTTAAATATCTAAAGAAACAAACCTTTCAGTATCTCAGCCAGTGGTTGTTCACTTGCTGATATCATTTATGATAATGTCTTATTCTTCTGCTGCTGTCTGAAAATTTTAGAAACCAGTTCTTATAAGATTTGATTTATCTACAGACTCTCTAGGTACCCTCATTATATAGATTGCACTTAGTGCAATAGAATTAATTAATATAAATTCAATTATTAATCACTTTGATGAGGTTTATTTGTGAAGTTATTATGTTTCCTTTTTTTGTCATTTAGATTGCAAGAGCCCAGAACAAGTAAGTTCATATATTTTGTAGTTTTTGTAGTTTTTGTATTTACATTATTTAAACCATAATGCAGGTATATATTTTTAAGCTTTTAATCACCTTCAAAGAAAAAAAGCAATCATGCCACAGTTTTCATTGCCATTAAAAGAAAAAGCTTTGAATGATGAAATTTATCCTTACCCATTTTTTGCAGACCTTCAGCAGCAAATGCAAAAGGTTCATCTGCAAAACCTGTGAAATCTGCTTTAAACAGTGTTGTGGCAGAGAAGAGCAAAGTTGTCAAACCTAAAAAAAGTGAAAAGATGAAAGATGGGAAGTCATTGAAAAACGATAAGAAAGTAGACAAAAAAGTGGATGGGGTGAAAAAGAATGATGTGAAGAAAGTAAAGAAAGTAGACAGTGAAAAAGTTGGAAAGAAACAAGTTGATAATGATTATGAGGAGCCTTTGGTGAGACTGATGTTCATTTGTTAAAACTTTGTTTGCCCATTAAACCTCTAATCTCCTGAGAGTAACTAGCATCCAATTCTTCAAATGTCACTCCCAAATCAAATATTAAGGTCACAAAGATATAGGAATGATCACCATTGAAAGCAGCTCTTGAATGTTAAACAAATTCTCCTTGTCAGCCCCTTAGGAAATGTATAGAGAACAGTATGGAGAATATGCATATTGATATCAGGTTGTAGAGGGTTAAGGGAAGTCTTTAATTACAGTTTTGAGCACTGTAGAGGTTTTATTCAGCTTTTTGCATGTAGGTTAAGATGTGTGATGTAGTCCACCAAAGTATAGGTAATAGGCACTTGTAGCAAATTAGCTTTTTGTTTCCTATGTCAGTTGTATGTACACAGATATATACAGTTTATACAGGTTTTGTATTTTACCTCATGGATACCATCCTCGGTGCTGAATTGTTAATATTTATGGTCATGTAAATGATAAGTACAAGTTTGAGAAGAATCCATTGCCAGGGTCTGTTAACACTGATGTAACACTCTTCTGTATCAACACAAGTTAATGTTCTTTACATTGCTATTCAAAAGAAAAAAGGAAGCTTTCATTAGACATTGTAGCTTAAAAGTTGTGCTCTCTCTGATTAAAGCACTGTATCATGCAGAGTACAGTTTTAAATTTGAGTTTAGTAAAAAGTGACAATTTTTTAATTATTTTTTCTTCTTTTTTTTCTTTTCATGGTTTCATTGTGGTTATCTGATCCAGCCTGCAAAGTGAGTAGATGAAAGACTCTTAAGCTGAGTTTACCTTTGTGACCCCCAAAGGCTACTGCTTGAAAAAGCTCTGCTTCTCTCAGTAGTGGTTTTTGATGCCCCTCTGAAAGTTCCTCCTATTTAAAATTGATTTTTGGCAATTTGAAGGAAACTAGTGGAAGTGCAAACTAAAGTAACCCTTGTGCCAAAGATAAGACCCAAAGAGAAACTCAGCCCATTTGGGTTCGAGAGTAGAACCCACCCCAGTGTAGTGGGCAGCTAGGTCTATGATACTAGTACATTGGTTCTTCTTCCTTGTCTGAAAAACTGTCAAAAAAACTATAGTTTGGTGATGAGTTCATGTGTAAAAACAACCAGTTAACCCATTAACTCCCAAGACCTGATTGTTAATTCTCCCTTCTAACTCCTAAAAATTTCCTTGTAACTTAGTTGTGATAATTTGGTATGAGATCAAGATCATAACTTCTTCTTGATAAGTTTAAGTATCCTCATGGCCTGTTTGTTAGATAATGTATGGATATTAATGGGAGAAAGTACATGTTAATCACTTTTGGGAGTTAAATGGTTTAAATCACTTGTAGTTTATGTTGGTTATCTTATTGACTACCATATATGTGGTAAGCTGATGTCCTGTTGCAAACATTCTGTAGCTGTTAAAGAATAATTGTCTAATAATTCCTAGATTAAGTACCCCTAAAGACAAGAAACCTGCAAAGTCTTCTGTATCATCTGCTACAAAGCCAAAGGACTCTGCCTCTGTAAGTTCTTCTTGGTAATTCTTTTGCTCATAGTGTAATCAAACATGATTTACAGTTCAATTTATTTTGGCATGTTGAGATGAGGTTGCTCTGCATGCCATGTAACCATGATAAGTGTCTGTAGCAAACTGTTTCATGTGTTTTTCTTCCTAAACCAGTTACCATAACTCATGTTTTTGGTCAGAATTTTGTCCTGGCAACAAAGTGTATAAATTTAAACCTCTTTGAATTTGTGTGACTTATTTGTTTTCCATCTACAAAATGGCAAACAATTTGCCATTTTGTAGATGGAAAACTGTCACTTCATTATATCCCTGTGATTTTTCTCTTAATGTCATGATCATAACATGTGCAAGTTAGTGTAAATCTAGTTTTTGGAATTTGATATTTCTTGAATCACAAAAAATGCTTTTTAGTTCCATGGGAGGAAATGGAAATTTTTCATTTTGGTTACAGACTCACTTATTCATTCTTTTAACAGCGCAAAAGAAAGAAGAGCGCTGGCTCTGGAAGTGACAGTGAAGATGATTATAAACCTTTGGTATGTGATGGTTACAAGTTCCCCTTGTTGTAGAATGAATCGTAAATATTGTATTTTTATTTTAAACAGAGAGATTCTCTATAAAAGGACTTCATTACTGTAGAACTTCACCTTGTGCTGAATATTTTTTCATTAAGCTCTCCCATCATACAACCAATATATATTAATTTTTGTTGTCACCTTTTTGTCTGAAAGGCCAAGACTGCTAAGAAAAGTACTCCAAAGTCAGCAAAGAAGGAGGACAAGGGAGGCTCTGTGAAAAAGAAGGTTAAAAAAGAAGGAAAGGGTGTGAAAGAAGAAAAAAAGGTACAATGAAGCCCTAAAATGTTTATCTTTACTCTTCTGCATTATTTTACAAGGCACATGCAGTGTGTTAAAGTGATATACCTGCCAGTATTAACTGAGTCAAATGTGTAGGATTTTTGTCTCCTTGTGACTGGAATTTCCGAAAATGTTCTGGCAACTTCCAACAATTTTCCGAAGACTTCTGAATGCTGGCGAACATATCTGAAGTTGTTCTGACAACTTCCCTACACTTTTGAACACTTTCCAATGGCTCTTGAATGTATTGAAGACTCTAACTTCATTAAGCACCATTTGTTTGAAAATTTTGGTAAATATTTAAATTGAATGCTATTTAAGCATTGTACAATTTGGAATTGGAATTTGGAGAAACCCAACTAAAACATACACTTTAACACTCATGATCCCATTGGCATACAGGGTTTGCAAAAGTAGTCTTTATTAAAATAAAAGCCTAAATCACCTTTTCCTCCCCCCCCCAGCTTTGATGCACAGTTGATCTCTTTTCTTATTCTTTAGGGAAAGGAAAAGGGAACAAAGAAGAAAGAAGAGGAGAAGGAAGTGTGGAAATGGTTTGTACCTTGTTAATGCCAATCAATGTCATAATTTTTTAAAAGAGGGTTGATAAATCTTTTGATTGTTTATCCTTACAGAATAAAATATCTTTCATGGCTCTTCAAGTTAAAATCAGTTTTCTGTTTGTTCTAAAGGTGGGAAGAAGAGCAACTTCCTGATGGTGTCAAGTGGCTTCATTTGGAACATAAGGTAGATTCATCTTTGTTAGGGTGTGTTTTATTAAAACAGAAACACAATGCACACCTCATATTTTTTTCCATTACAAGTTTTGTTTATGTGAACATTGTGATCCTGTTTTTCTTCTGTTTCCAAGACACATCATGTTCAATACTAGTAATACTACTGATGCAAATCTTAATTAAAACATGATAATCTTACTTACAATGCTATGATGTCACATTGGTTGGATTACAATGTGAACATTTCTATTTATAGGGATACACCAGTACAAATAAGAACTATTTTATTTACTGAAGTTGCCTAGGATATATTTCCCTCCTTTCTTTATATGTAACCCCCTCTATCTTACTAAATAAATGATTATGGTCTTCTAGGGTCCTTATTTCCCACCTCTGTATGAGCAGCTGCCTTCTGATATCAAGTTTTATTATGACGGTGAGCTCTGCTCTTCTGCAAACTGTCAGTCAGTGTAGCTTAGCTTAACTATGCAGAATGCATGTTATAAGTCATTTGAAATGTTACATTTCTTTTAAATACAGGAAGAATACTTTGTAAGTCATTATTTATTGAATTTTATTGTCAGGAAATCACATGGAACTTAGTTTGGCAGCAGAAGAGGTATGAGAAAATAATTTAAAATTTTGATGGACTTTTTACCAAAAATATGAAACAACACAGGGGATTTCTCCAATGATTAACAGCATAGTTTGTCACTGGCTGTAAAAGGTTATGCTAGACAGTGAGTACCTCAGCTGTCATCCCATGGAAAGACAGCTATAGTGTATGGTTTTAGTATTAAGTAATTGAACATGTAAATGGACAAAATTTTGTTTTAGGGCAGTATTTTGATTTGTTTTTCGTAGAATTCTCTATTTTGAAAGATGTAAGGAGTGGTACAGCACACGAAATGTGAATTAACTCTGTACCTTTTTATTGATCTGATTCTTTTTCAGGTGGCATCATATTATGCCAAGATGCTTGACCATGATTACACCAGCAAAGAGATCTTCAACAAGAATTTTTTTGAAGACTGGAGGAAAGAAATGACAAATGATGAGAGAAAGATTATCAAAGATCTCAAAAAGTGTGACTTCAAAGAAATGCATGCATACTTTGTTCAGGTAAATGCAGTGAATATGTATTGGACTTCTTCTTTTTTGTATTTGTTAGATACCTTTGACTCAAATTAGGAGTAAGAGTATTTGAGTTATATTTAGTGCTGATAGTTGATGCGAGAATTTGTTTGATTTGTAAATTTAAAAAAAAGATTGCGAGGTCCATTTTATTACACCCTGTAATGAGGATTTATATTCAGGTGTTACAACAATTGAAGAGTTGGAAAATTAATTTGCATGTATACAGGGTTGTTGTAGGAAAATGTAATCATTATAGCTGTATAATCTGAACTGATTAAGCAGCTGAATTGAGTTATGCTTGCATAGCAAGCATTGCATGTTACAAAAGAGCATGCCTTTTTTGGTGGAATGTGGGGCTCTCATGAGGGGACGCAAATCGTCTGCACTGTAAGTACATATCAAGCTCGGTGATTTTAATTCTTGGGAAAAATGATAGCCATCTTATTGAAACTTGATGACAAGTATAAGCCAGCAAAGAAAACAGTGCAAAAGCAATTATCTGTCACATCGATGTCAGCAGCAACAGGATTATGACACCTTACAGGAAAGCTGCCTGGATACATTTTCTTAGACTAAAAGTCTAAGAAAATGTAGGGGACTCTCCGGGATACTTACAGTACAGACGATTTGCGTCCCCTCATGTCACAGAAAAAGTCGATTTTCTCTCTGGTATTCTGGGACGTAAATGAATTACTTTTGTTAGCCATAAATTGATGTTAAAATCAGTTTAGAAATACTTTTTTTTCGGCCTTGATCACATTTTCACCAATTAGCCGGTGCAGAATGGTTGTACAGCCAGCAGATTTCTGCCATCTACCAGCTTCCAATGACAACCTTCTGTCTATCTATTCATTTTCAAGATTACATGTAGGTTATAAACTGAGAACTTTTTAGACTCTGGGAATGCCAAAGGAATGGTCACACCACATCAATTAAGTACATGTATGCACATTTCCTTGTAGAAAAATGAGGAGAGGAAAAACTGGACAAAGGAACAGAAGCAGGTACTAAAAGAACAAAATGAGGCCATTCTGGATGAATATGGTTATTGTCTCATGGATGGACACAGGCAGAGGGTTGGCAACTTCAAGATTGAACCTCCTGGTTTGTTCCGAGGGCGTGGTGACCATCCTAAGCAAGGGAAATTTAAGAAGAGAACTATGCCTGAGGATGTGATCATAAACATTGGCAAGTATGTGTCAATTGGTAATGATGTTGTCTGCAAAAGCATGTTCTCTATTAAAAATATATGAAAGAGAAGATAAGATAATTTATTTGGAAAGATTGTCAGAAATTGGGGCTCTCAGGGCTTTCAAAGATTTCTGAATATTTGTAAAAAGTATGAAAATTTGGAAGCAGATTCTTTAGTCCTAGAAGTTTGGAAAATAAAGATCTCAAAAAACGGGTAGAAGTCAAGAGGTTTTATTTTCACTGTTGGTTGAAGCATTGATAAGCTGGCTGTAGTCTTTTAAGTTAATCTTAATTCACTTGAATCACTTTTGCCAAAATCTTTTCTTGGCAAATTGGGGAACTTTCAGTTGTTTGGCCAACCTTAAAAAATCTACTGTGGTTAGGCCATTTGATGAAAATTCCAGGAGTTGAGAAAGTTAAACTAGTGATTTGGTAAAAGTCTAGAAAAAGGTTTCATTTTTGTGCTCATAATCATGCAAACCCTTGGCTGGTTCCTGTTCCTGCTTCTTGCAGGCACATATTATTTTTTATTTCTGATTTTCTTTTACCTACATTAAATACTCAATTAATTGCAAGAGTTAACTAATAGCAGAATTTAATAGGAATGTTTTTTTAGAGGAAAATGCAAGTTTTCCTTCTTTTAACAGAGGGGCCAAAGTTCCTGAACCACCACAAGGGCACAAGTGGCAAAAAGTTATTCATGACAACAAGGTATGGACTATTCCTGTTTTCATTTGCCAAATTGTTTCATGATAATGTTAGTAATCTTTGTCAAGGATACCTTGGTACCAGGAAGTAATATGGAAGGATAAGACAACCACTGGGGTGACAAATATACTAATGAACAAAAGGGGTAATTTTCTAATAAAAGAAACTCTGGTGCTGCGTTGGTGGCAAAGCTCTGACAAAGGGCTAATGCTCAATATGTCAGCTTTGGAAATCCTTATGGTGGCCAATTTACATTATCAACTTAGTTGTTAATACTAAATTAGCCTGTTAACCAGTAAACTGCATGCTTAAAAATGTAATGCTTAGAAGTGATTTCTACCTTTTTTCCTGCAGGTTTCATGGTTGGCTTGCTGGGTTGAGAACATCCAAGGAAGTTACAAGTATGTCATGCTGAATTCCACATCAAGGTTAAAGGTACAGTAAGAATAAATGTTTTATTTCAATAGGTGGTCTGTTCAGTTGTATAACAACACTGACTGTAAGCTTAAAGTTGAACTCTATTTTGATAAATTTGTATCTAAGAAACAATGAGGTGGGCAGGGAAAACAGCAGGTGTCCCAGAAATTTGGCTAGGATTGTACAATAGCTGAAGCAAATTAATTCATTGCTATGTAATGCACAGCTAACTTGCTTCCTTGAATTCTATTGCAGGGTGAGAAGGACTGGCAAAAATACGAAACAGCAAGAAAATTAAAGGTAATTAGTGTGATGCAATATCTGTGATTCTTGACTGTATGAAACCAATACAAGTTTAACCATATGACCCCTGAATCACTCATTAAGGTCACAAGAATGAATAACAGTAAGTGAACTTAGTGGAGTGAAATTTGAAATCACAAGTATGATTCAGACAGACAGGACACAAAATTCAATTACTACTTTATTACATCCATTTAAAATCACAAAATTCAGTTGCTCAGTACAAGTTATTTTTAGTCGGGACAAATATTAATTTATCCTGTATATACATTGAGCTGCATCATGAAAAGTTGCAAAAGTTGTCTTTCATTTTATTGCAATTTGATTGATTTCTTTAAGCTGGCATTGAAATTTGATTGGTTGTTGTGTTTAATAAAGCTGTCTCATTGGCTGGGAAAAAGATGCAATTTGGCGTGTAGAATAGTGCAATCTGTGAAGAAATCAAAGCAGTTAGAGCCAGTCAGGTTTTAAGGATCACAAGTGATTTCAAAATGGAAGTAATAAAGCAAATAATCACCATCTAAAGAAGCTCTTGATTGTTAAACAAATTCTCCCCTGATAAGCTCCTTGCAAAGGTATAGAGAACAGTGTGGAGAATATGCATACTGATGTTAGGGTGTAATGTGTTGATGTGTATTTATTTGTTTATGCAGGACTGCGTCGAAAAAATCAGAGAAGACTATCAACGGGATTGGAAGGCCAAAGAAATGAGACTACGACAAAGGTTTGTTTATGAAGAGTTTACCACTGTCCAGGCCTTGGTACTGCTGATCAGCTCAGAAAGGAACAGGCCATGTTGCTTTGTTTATATGAATGGTTTTCAATAAACCTAACCTGGTCCCATACTGGAGCATGTTAATTGACATAATTTTCCTCTAGGTGTGTATTGTAGCTTGTCCGTCAATAATCTGTCTTTTTTTTTCCACAGAGGTGTTGCTCTCTACTTTATCGACAAGGTAAAGCTTTGAAGCTTCTTTTTCAAATAATGGTTTACTCGATAATCTTTCTCTCCATTTGTTCCACTCAAAGTTGGCAGAAGCTATCTTATTTGTACCTGTCAACTCTTTTTCTTGTCCTCTCCTTTGTCAAGCAAGTATGGTCAAAACATGTGACAAACTTAGCATTCCATGCCATATTTTACTAGGCTTTGCAGTTTAATTGCCCACTTATCTACTTTGGGTACCTTTTTGATGTACTCATGAGGTGGCTAAGGCTATTTTAGATTTTTACAGAGCAAATGGTCCTCAAGAACTGATTGTAATCTGTGTAACTTTTTTCAGTTGGCTCTTCGTGCTGGTCATGAAAAAGATGAAGAAACTGCTGATACTGTTGGCTGTTGCTCACTGAGATTTGAACATATTAGTAAGTATTTCATACTGATCAAGGCTCTATTTCTTGTTTTTTTATTCTCTTCTTGAACAATGAGAGTTTTCAAAGATCTGTCCATTATGTATATGTTGAAGTATGCAGCAGTTGCTCACTAGAAAAAAAATAATTGATGTATATGATGTAAAGGTACTCTAAATATACCAACAGATCACTCTTCTCATTGGTTTTGTGGCATTATAACCCACATAAGATGTTGGGAGAACACAAGAAAAGCTTGTCCAAATGTTGTTTTTGAGTGTTTGTTTCTTTGTTTGTTTTTTTTTTTTTACCACTTTCCAGCATAATATATTTTCCCTTTTCAAAACGATTTCTACTTAAGATTGTCGCATGTGATTTTTGTTGGTTGGCTGTTCAGACGCTGTTTTCCAGTACAGAACCTTCAAATGTGTCTTCCATCATTTGGAAATTGTGTGGTTGTGGCATGAATATAAAGTTGCATGGTTTTAAAACAACAAAAGCTTTTGTATTGTGTTTTACTGTTTACAGATTTATTGTTTACATGACCCAGACAAAATGATTAATGTAGTTGTTTTGTCTTCAGTGGGCTGTTTTCACCCTTTTGCTGTTATAATCCGCCTACACAAAATTGCCATCTGACATTTGATAGTATTGTCTTTGCTTAAAGGCACCATATTTTCATATTTGAACCCAGGATTTAAATTTTTCACTTTATTGTTTCATTAAGTAGCCTCATAATATGCTTTTTATCCTTCTAGAATTGCATGATGAGTGGGAAGACAAGGAGAATGTCGTAGAGTTTGATTTCCTTGGTAAAGACTCTGTTCGATACTGGAACTTTGTGCCAGTGGAAAAGAAGGTAGCTATTGAACAACTGTCACCTAGCCACTGGACTCTCAGTTAAGGGGACACCCTTGGAACCAGACAGAGTGTCCCCCTTGACAGAGTTGTCCCTTTAGTGAAGGTAACAGGTACAATGAACATAGGTACTTATCAGTTGGGGGCCCATGTTTGTGATCTTTGAGAGGAAGAGTCCACTTTACTGCTGCGTTCAGTAATATGCATGGTTTTCATGGTCTCTTTTTCACCTCTGTAATATTTCTAAAGTAAAACACAGAGGAAACTTAAAGGTAAAGAACTAAGGAGGCAAGAACAGACCAAAAAGGACCAATTTTGTTTACTTAACCATTTAACTCCAAGATCTGATTGTTAATTCTCCCCTCTAGCCGCTGCACAATTTCCTTGTAAATTAGTAAGGAGAATTTGTTTTCACATCATGATAACCATTTTAACCAGATAAATCTGAGTATTCTCCTTACCTGTTTACTGCTTGATTTATGGATATCATAGATCATAGCAACAAGTTGCCAGTACATGTTAATTATCATTTCTGGAGCAGGTCAAAGGGCTAAGGATGGAAAAGGTGTAATGGCAAATAACAAAGTTGAAAATATTTGCAATTTTTTTTTTCAAGATTCACTCTGCAAACTGCCTTTTTGTCCATTTTCTAACAACTTTTATTTCTATTCCTTTTCCCTTTACAGGTTTTCAAGAATCTTGCCATTTTTATGAAAGGAAAACAGAATGGTGATGATCTTTTTGACAGATTATCTGTAAGTGTATTTTCCCTTCTTTTTTAAAGTGATGTGGTAATATTTCTGCACCAGGTTTTGCAAATTGGAGCAATTTTATTGATTATATGGCAAGCTGGTCCTGAGGTAAATTAAATCAAATTGATTGGTTGTTACTTGCTAGTCAGGATTTTGCCCCATGGACTGCTTTGACAAAGACTGTCATGATGATTATATGCTGTGAATTTTCTTTTGCAAAAGCTGGCAAATTCTAGACAAACAAATTTGGCCTGAGTGCCATATAATAAGCTACTCACTAATCTCGCAGTGCTCAGTCTGTACTGCCACGTTACTTGGGCCAATATTCCCCAGTGCAACCCTTGGTTAGTAACGAGTTAGTAATAGTAATTACCTGAAAACAATTTGCTGTAAAGCATCCAGAAACAAAATAAATGTTGAAAATTTTCATTTTCTAGACAACTTCTTTGAACAAGTACTTGTCAGAGCTGATGGATGGACTTACAGCAAAGGTATTCAGAACATTCAATGCCTCCATGACACTCCAAGATCAACTAAACAAGTTAACAGAAGCTGAGGACAATGTCAATTCAAAAGTGTTGACATACAACAGAGCAAACCGTGCTGTGGCCATCCTATGTAACCATCAGGTAATGTCCACTCTGATAACATTTTGCTGTGCATTTGCTTGGTGTTATGTTATAAGCCGAACTATACACACATTTTGATTGGTTCTTACTTGTGATCTGTTGAAGGATAGACACAGATGACATCACCATTGATAACACAGATGCATTTTTATTAAATAAAGCAAGCATATTCCATGTGGCCGGGCATTATGAAGTGTTTTATTGTATTTTATTGCATGTGCACTCAGTTAGACTAAACCAGTATTACAGGTGTAGATGTAATCATATGAAAAGGCTTAAGTTCATACATGTAGCTCACTATTTTTTTTTTATTTTTTTTATCTATTTTAGCGCACAGTCCCCAAGACCTTTGAAAAATCAATGTCCAATCTACAAGAGAAGGTGTGAACTTGTGACTTTCTTCCCAAGAGTTATTTATCTGGGTATTCATGCATTTACATATTCCATTTACTGATTTTGTTGATTTTGCTGTTCTGTTTTAGATTGCTACAAAGAAAAAAGCAATCAAGGATGCAAAAAAAGAACTCAAGGTTTTGAAAAATCAAGCAAAAGAAAGCAAAGATGCAAAAGTGATGAAGTATGTTAACTAGGGAAATTAATTTTTCTACTAATGGTTATACTTTCATCTTTACTGAGGAAGTTTACATCACAAGAGCTCCTTTGGAGTAATCTTCCAAAATTATTCCTCAACTCTTTAATCCAGAGTTGGTCAAAAATTATATTTTTCTTCCATGCAAAGGAAGTTTGGATCAAGTCATATGTCTTACTTGTAAAAATTTTACAAGTAGGAATGACCTAAGCTAATGATCCTTCTTGGAGAGACTATAGACTGCTTATGATTATCTTTGATGAATTTTTTTCTTTTGTTTGTAGGCAACTAGAGAAGAAAAAAACTCAGGTTCAAAGATTTGAGGATCAGCTGTTTAAATTAGAGGTGACTGCAACAGACAAAGAAGAAAATAAAGAGATTGCACTTGGTACCTCAAAACTAAATTATTTGGACCCACGAATTTCAGTGGCATGGTAGGTGAAAGCTCTATATCCACTACCAAAGATAATAAGGGGCTTGTAGAGGTGGCCTTGTCTAAACAGTTGATTTGCACTGAAGTTTTCTGTATTTCCTGTTGTGAAATACACAATGGCAGACAGAAGTGTGACTACTGAGTTTTTTTACACCTTGTTGTTAATATTTGTTTGCTTTTTTTGCATTTTAAGGTGCAAGAAACATGAGGTGCCAGTAGAGAAAGTTTACAACAAGACCCAACGTGAGAAGTTTGCTTGGGCCCTCGACATGGCAGAAAAAGACTTTGTTTTTTGATCCAGGCTTGTCAGTGAACACAGCTGGCATAGTAATCATTCAATTTTAGCCCACACACGCTTACATTTGTCACGGTACTCATTACAATTTAATTTGATTATATTATTATTGTTACTATACATACAATATTCTGGAAATGATTTTTGAGATTTTAGCGGTGGATGAGAGAAATACAAGAAAAATGCATCGAATGGGAACAGAAACTTAAAGTCTGGGACAATATCTAAGTTCCATTTGTATATTAGTATTAGTTAATTAATTAACAATTATTTATTTTTAAAGGAAATTCTATTTTACAGTAGGAAACACTAGAATGTGTTTTTGAATGTCCTGCAGTGATGAAGTTTTGCATTCATTAAAAATGCTATTTCAGGGCTGTCGTTTTTCCTAAAAATGTGTGTAATTTTCGAAATAACAACAGAAATACAACTGCATCTTTTTCTCAAAGCTTAAATCCAATGAAAGTTATCTCTGCTTTGAAAGTTAGGTTCTATAACCTTGTTACCAGAGCCTTACTCTTGGAAAGGGAGAGAAGTTTGGGAACAAGCCAGGGTAGTACTTTTGCCTTTATGATTGGTTGCATGAAGAGCTTAGAGAACTTGCCAATCAGTGGAAATGTTCCATGTTTCTTTGTGGGTGCAGAATGTGTAGGGAAGTTTTGATTTGACTCTCAAGCCTTTGTGGAAAATATGACTGCAATTTGGGTCATCTGATCAGTTCCTGGTTTGTGATACCATCATTTTAAAACCTTAGAATGCCTCTTTTTCATACCAATTACTTTTTCTCTCTTGTAAGTAGTTTTCAATTTGGCATTTTCAACTTGGGTAGGTAGAGAATGCCAATCTGTAGGAACATTCAAGACTGTAACATTCATAATTACGTATTATGGGATCAAAACAAATTTTTTGTCTTGAGATCTCAATGAAAATGTCACAATTAACTTCTCAATTTGTCACGCTTTTACCTGTATTAAGAAGCTTTTTGGAACTTTATTGGTCATGTATTCCACATACAATTTTTTTGAGATTTAAATAATACTTAGAGACAAGTAATCTGATGAAAATATTAAGTTATTGAATAGTGGAAGTTGCACAGATCTCTTAGAGAAATGAAGTTAATGTACCTAGTCTACTCGTTTCTGGCACTTCATCTGCAACATATTCCAAGTGCATTTTTTGGTTCAGTGCTGGTGTTAAACATCTTGACATATTTTGCACCTTGGATTTGTAGCACAAAGTGTTGAAAAATAGTTTAATCACTTTTAATTCATTGTAATTATCTTGACAACCTTCACAACATGCAATTATGATATAGGTAGGATAATTTCTAGCCCATACAACTTAAGACTTCTCCGATATCCTGTTAATCCTGAAATACTATTTTAGCACATTTGATGTTCAGATTATAATTGCACTGTTATATTCTCTTGGCAAGACAAGGACCAGAGAAAATGTTGTACTTAGATTTTGCCTTAGTGTGAAATGATTTTTAGGTAGACAGCCAAAAGCTTCCATTAGATTCAAGTTTAAGCCTTTTAGAATTTTAGATCTTAACCATTGAGAAAATCCTGCCCACTGAAGCAGTGCCTGGCACTGTGGGATACATGAAGGCTTCAAAATAAAGATTTTAGCCTGTTCTTTCATGTATTATGTGTGCTATGAAATAGTAATTATTGGATGTGTTTTTCAGATATTTGGCTTCTGTATTACATACCAGCCAACAGCTCTACAAAAAACTTTACTGTGTGGGATGTAGAGTTTTAAGTGCTTCATATGACTTTATGAGTAAACAAGTTGTTAAGAAGCAGACAATTTTCAATTTCCATAATTCATTTATTTTGCACACACTCCACCAAAAGCTAATATATTTCCAGAGGTACACACTACTTTTCATTGGCCTCATGCAACAGACCATGAATGTTCACATATTAACTGGTTGGATAGCAGAACAATTGAAGAAACTGCAAAGCAAAAAGAGAAGGCAACAGGTCAGTTTCTTTTTGAAAATGGAAAATAATACATAATAGGAGAAATCACCAATTGTAACTGTGGGAGTTAGATATATTTTGTGTCCTTTTCCAAGAGAAACATAAATTTACAGAGAATTTCAATACAGAGAATTTCAACCAACTCAACTGATGTGAAGAAGAACTTTAATAAACATGGGTAACACTTGACAATACAAAATAGCTCATGAGCAATTATGGCCCTATTGACTAAGGTTTCTGAACACAATTAACAAATCATACAATATAAAATGACTATTGATGATCTTAAGGCAGTGAGGGTAAAAGATTGTTAACAAGTTGCATCCCAGCCTTTTTTTTTTCATAGCATCTACCTAAGAAATAATTTGTACAGACCACAAGTTAAATGCATTTCTTTCTCTCAGCAGTATTGGAAAAAAAATGGTTATCCTACTAGAATCAAATTCTATTAATCAACCATTTTATTTGAATAATGATTTGAAAAAACTGCAGTGGGAGTTCATTGAAAAAAAGGTCTTTTATAAAGTAGTTCCCCTTAACTCCCATGCATGAGTGACCAAGACAGAATTTCTCCTTACAATATCAATACAATATCAAGCACACAAGTGATGAGAAAAAAGAAAAACATCAATTAGGGGATTATAAGTGGATTCAATACCAAATTCTCTAAACTAACATCACAAGAACTGTATAGCAGACAGTAAGGAGATCTTGGGAGTTAAAGGTTAATGTCTTGCAGTACATCAGATCATTTTCCTGCAATATACTTGGAAGTTGCAAAAATTACCCTCATTGACAACTCAGTAGTTTCTTTTTGTAATTTTAATAAAAGGGAGAAATGTTTTTCTCCATTGTGTGAATGTTTGTCTGGCATCTTCTGTAGATTTATCAAGGAAAGTGGGGTTCCAGGGTATATCCCTTCTGAGGTGGGGTAAGTACATGTTCATATTTTGGCACTACAGAAAATTTTAAGTTAACACGTGGGGAAAACCCATCAACATTCATTCACCATAGTACAAGACAGTTTATGAACATCAGACAAAATATAAGAAGCTTCAAGCACATAATCTAAGAAGTATCAGTATGTGTTTGAAAATAGTGACAAAACTGAGAAAAAGGCGTCACTGCTAATTGACAACTTTCTACTGTAGATAGCTTTGTGGAACACAGAAACAAATAAATTTAAACTTCTCCTTTATAAAATATGCAACGATCGGCAGAACTGTACATCGGATAGAATCAAGAGAAATAGGTTTCCAACTTCGATAACGCAAGTTCTAAATGTGAGATACATATGTCATGTATGCTTAATATAGGTACAAGAGGTTCATTTAGATCACAAGGAACCTGGAAGAATTTTATGGATAAACGCGACTTGGTGCTTCATTGACCGTTGTCATCATGCTTTATATAACCATTGACAGTACCATAAAGTTAGTAGCGAGAAAAAAAGTCGGAAAGCTTACCTGTTTAGACAGCAAGGCCTACAACTTCCGATTCTACATTGTCTTTCTCTAGGTCTGGATTTCGACGTTTTGATCTATATTCTTTCACTAGCAGCCTTAACCAATTATTTTAATATCCATGATATGTCCTTCCTATAATAACAGGTCTCCATGCCAAGAAACCGAATGAAAATATCCGAAATGTGAAGCTTAGACGAAGAAACGAGCGCGCCATCTTACTAGATTACATGATTACATGATTACATGACAGTGCTTCCCTGGAGGAGAAGCCGCTGATAGTAATTGAAGCTGCAAATCGTCGACAGGACAGTAACGACATCATACATCATCGTCGTTAATGAAATGAGGAAAGAACTATATAGAAATATATCGTGAAGGTGAATAGCAGCTTAAAATGACTGATGTGCTTCAGTTGAGCTAAATTTATTTGTGCGGACTGTAAATTTTAAAAAACATAGCCACTAGGTCAACAACTAGCGTTAAAACTGGTGATCACGTGTTGGAAACGAGATTGCAGTGAGATGATATCAAGTTGGTCTGGTAAGATGAATTCTTAGGCTGGACTTATCTCTTTCAGGCGTTCAAATGTCGATCTGTGGTAAATTGGCCGAACTACTTATTTGAAGTAGAACGTGTCTGTCTTTACCCATAAGTATGAAATAAATGTGTATTAGCAGAACTCAGAGAAAAACCTGAGAAAAATCTTTATATGAATTTCCTGAACAAAAATTCCAAGAAATGCGTGACACTCACTGACAGTGAAGAAGGTATTCTCAGATTGTTGATAACAAAAGCTAATCAGTAACCTTTGGTGAGCTGCATATTTGCTTCAGTGAAAAGTAAAGTTTTTATGGACCATTCTCCTTTCACTTGCCAACTCCCCTTCTATTATGTAGGAGTCTACAGAATGAGATAATTAGTGTAGATGTACTTACCAACTGGATAATATTGATCCAGTGGATAGCATCATCCAATCTTTTTAATAACAGGGGTCAAGTCAATCTCTCAGTTCACTTAATTTATATTTTTTATCAATTAATTGAGCTCTAACTGTTTAAAAATTATTTTCTTTGGAATCAAGTTATAGACTGAGAGTTTTCAATAAAATTTGGTAAGGGTGTATTTTATATCAAAATGTTCTTTTTTTAAGTATAAATGTTAATTATGTCAGTCATTTGAACATTAACCAGCCTGAGATAGAATAGTTAACCCTTTAGCTCCCATGAGTGACCAAGAGAGAATTACTCCTTACAATGTCAATACAATATCAAGTATAGAAGTAATGAGGATAAGGTAAAATATCAAATAGGTGATTGTTGGTTGATTCAATACCAAATTCTCCTAATTGACATTACAAGAATTGTATGTCAGACAGTAAGGAGAATTACTCATGAGATCCTAGGAGTTAAAGGGTCAACAAAGGTCATCTATGGTCATTTTGAAACAAGAAAGCTAACAATAGTGTTGTAAACAAGAAAAGAGTGGATGAAATGGAAAGATAAGACAAGAAAGCTTTAGAAAGTATGGAAGAGGACATGACCAAGAAAGAAAAAGATCAAATCTCAATGAATTGTTGGAAATATCTTCTAAAGAAGCCAAAACACTTCTGCTGGGGATACTCACTGGATAAACCTTTGAACACATTCTTAAAGGAGCAAAGAATTCTTGGTGACAGTGATGAAAGAATAGTTTGACCAGAACATGTATGTTGAGCTTCATGTATATAATGCAGACACTCATACTTCATGAAATGAATGGAAATGGAAAATAGTTATGTGCAAAGAAAGTCAAAGTATAATTGTAAATTGTGAATTTGGTCATTGAATAATGAGGTCTTAACCCTTCACACCCTAACTTGAAGATGTATATTCTCCATACTGTTCTCTATTCATTTCCTAAAGTACTGACAAAGAGATTTTGTTAAGCAATCAAGAGTTTCTTTAGGTGGAAATCATTACTTTTATTCTCGTGACCTTATTGTGTGACTCAGGGGTGATTTTGTGAGGAGAAATTAGATACTAGTCACTGTGAGGGTCAAAGAGTTAAAAATTTGTCATGAACATTGGTTATAGAAAGTATCAAGTGTTTTGGGCAGATTACCCTACATACATATCACTAGTAGGAGCTGACATACATCAACAGAGCCACCAGTCCCTAAGTTTTGGGCTTCACAAGTGATGAATTTGACAACCAGCATGGCTCTTTGCTTACTAAAGCAGTCATATTCTGCTCTGTTTACCACTAGCCATGCAGGAATCGACTCTCCAAACTGTTTTAATGAAAATTCTCATCATCTGTCTAATTAGCTGTGTATTAAGATAATAACATGAAGTTGCATACTGATCACAGGAGGAAGTTAAGGTGGGGGGAGGTTTCTCCCAATGTGAACAGGCCAGGCTCAAGACTTACTTTTTTGCAAACTATTTACCACCAACAGCTTAAAATCACTCACTATAGGGAACTTGGTACCAGCAAAACCATTGAAGCTGGGTTTGGCGGATTAATATTTCTGTTTATGAAAACTCATTTAGGATGGAAATCACTAGGAAACACTTTGAGGTTCTGAAAGTGAAGAACATACATTACTTCTAAATGGCCTTGGAAATAAATAATGAGCAATTACATGTACTTTTGAGTCAATAATTAACCTCCAGTTGATCTCCATATCTTATAGACAGTTTACACAGATATTATATTGATCAGTAGCACGATCCAGGGTGGCAAAGCATGTTTACGAAAACCATATTGAGCAAAAAAATATATATTTCAAACAAAACACTTTAAAACTTATATATCCTGTTAGATATAGTTAACCTCTTTGTATTAAACCAAAAATCGTGGTAATAGAGGAAGAATTTATTTTTTTATGGATTTTAGTATTCAGAAAAGTGAGGCGAATTCTTATGTAACGCGTAACATAATCTGACAAAGCATCAAACATATTCAAAAATTTCTTACTTAAAAATTTAAAATTTCAAAATAATTTTGACTTAGAAATACACTAGAAACATAGACTTTTCAATAAAATAGTTAAAATTGGAACACTGAATTGTAATATTCGCGCTACGAAACAATTTTCTCGGCGACCGAACATGTAACGCTGTTTATACAATATTGTACTATACTTCATAGTCACCAAGATTTTGTCGCAAAAAAAGCTCAAATCAGTTTAAAAAAATACATACAATAATTCTCAGATGATTTATTTTCTGTATACAAATTTTTATTCCATTTAATTCAAAGACAGCGTAAAAAATCCAAAAAGTCTGAATCGCGAACACATAAAATGCATAGAAAATTTACCTTAAAATTATTTATCCTCATCTCCAAAAAGGTCTGTGATAGCCGCGCTTAAAATGAAATTGCTCTTCAACTAGCAGATCTGTCATTCTCAAATTCTAAACTTTCTATCGGTACCAAATGTTCACGAATCTAACTCAATTTAACATCTAAATTTATGTCTTTTTTGAATCGCGAACATATTCGATCTTGGAACAGTATTGTTTGCATTGGTGTATCAGTTTACACGCGCAAAATAGTGGCAGTTTTAGAAATCTTCGCATCTAAACTTCGCTTCTTCCTCGCTTACAACAACCTTGTACATTACATCTAGAGGGGGTATACAACAATTAATTGATATACACCCATGAACAAACGATCGTTTGAGACTGGAAATTACTAGAGAACGTGACTTCCCTAGCGTGACTTCTTCCGTCGAGAATTTACACGCTTCGCTTGCGAAATATTCAATGGAAAACAAAAAATATTCTGCTGATCAATGGAGAAAAGAAAAAGAAGAAAAAAAGCTTAAACAACAAAGGGAATACTATGAAAGAAACAAAGAAGTTCTTGCACAAAAAGCAAGAGAAAGAATGCGCTTGCTTCGAAGCAAGAAAAAAAACGCGACAGTCGCCGCAGTGAAAACACGCACATCTGCACAAAAGGCTGATGACAAAAGAGCCAACCGTGAGCGGAATGCTGCATCAGCTACCAAGAAGAAGGTTTTGAAGCAAAGAGAAAAAGAGAGGGAAGAGAAAAAGCGACAGCAAACTCGAGAAAGGGTTCGAAAACTTCGTCAGAATAGAAAAGAGTCATCATTTGCGCAACCGAAACCGGAAGTCAACATCACCACACCATGCAAACACTGTCAGGACTATCTGTGGAGAACTCAAGAAATTAAATAGGCGTAGAAATGTATTATTCCAGCTTTTACCCAACCAGCATGAGGAAATTATGTCTTCTTTTTAGATATGTAAATAAAACTGTGTTATTTCTAAACAGAATCGTGAATTTAAGCCTGCAAATGTGTAAATAGAATATATGACCACGCCTGCTATGCATTCTGGGTATTAAGTAATGAGGATAATTTAACAGATAACATCAAATATTTTCTCAAAAAGTAGTTCTTACAATAAAAGTTTATGAATAATCTATGTTTTGATGATTTTTTGGTAATTTTATGAAGTTGCTAGTTTTTCCCTAATGTTACGCATTTGTACCCCTGGATCTTGCAACTGATCATTTGGATTTAACTAAAGTTGTTTTTATTATGTAGTGAAGAGTTATTTCTTTGTTTTCATTGTTTACTGTTTTTGTGCCAGGTTACACAAAGCTTGGAGTTTTTATAAATATATAAACAGTTTTGAAGTATCTGTTACCTTCTTAATAAATTAAGAAAAATAGTTAGAAACCAGTTCATTTTGCTTTTAAGTTGGCAGGATTTCTTTTTGTTGTATGATCATGAATACACCAAAATCTATGATGATGATTTTAATTAACATAGTTTGAAGGGTTTTGAAATTATAGGTTTTAAATGGCATGCCAGTTAGTGCATAAACAGATTTTGATCATACAATATACTTATATACTGATCCTTTATCATTTCATTTGATAACATTATTTGTTGTCTATCAGATTGTCTCATACATCACACTTTTTGTGATTTAAATTTAGCTTAGTTATAAAAATTTTATCTGTTTTCACCCTAGTGTCACTTTCATACTGTTAGTAAGAAGTCATTCAGATTGATTTCAGGGAATTCTTTTATCTCTGATGTAATTATCAAATCTCCTCATTGTCTCCCATACATTACTAATAATTTTAACATGAAGCATTTGGTATTTAATCAGACAAGTCCTGGGCAGTATACTCTAATTGATAAATTTTCTTTTCATCACCTCCATGCTTGTTACTATATTGTATTGTAAGGACAAATTACTCATTGATCACTTCTGGGAGTGTAATCAATTTGGAGAATTTGGTATTGGATCAGCTAATAATCACCTATTTGATATTTTACTTTATTCTCATTACTTCTATGCTTGATATTGTATTGATATTGTAAGGAGAAAATTCTCTCTCGATCACTCGTGGGAGTTAACATATTGTTGAGGGAAGATGATGTGCTGAAGCATAATCTATAATATCCACATTCATCTTCATTCTTTGACATGCAGTCCTGAAAAAAATTCATTTAAAAAAGAATGCAATCAAAAGTGTTGAAAAAAATGAGAAGCAGTCTCAAGTGGTGTTTTTCTAAGCTGCAACAACTACAGATGTGAAACCTGGATTTGGTGTTTTCCAATTCTGCAAAAATTCCATGGAAGATTTCACTGATTGTGATACAACTTAAAACTGTGAATTATGATCAAATGACTAATTTTGTCGGAGGTTTTTGGTGCAGGTAATTCCTTGGGATTATCTTTCATTTCAATACTGTTTGCATTTTTGCTGTTTTCTTTCAGATAAAAATATAGCTCTATATCTTAGGTTGTTTACTTCTGGTTAGTAAGTCTGAGATTTAAATTTATTCATTTCCAAACTTATATGTAAACTCTTGGCAAAGTTACTGCTGTCAGTAATTTGTTTTTTGTGTGCTGTCATTTTTTAGACTACAGGAGAAACTGACATTAGAAACTGAATCAATGAAATGAAATGGATAGGATGGATATCACAGCTTTTTTTTAGGAAATAGATAACTGTTGTTTGTGTCAAAATTTAGACTAAAAGTGTTGAAAAAATTGGGAACAAGTCTCAAGTGCTAGGTTATTTCTAAGCTGGAACAAGTACTTAATTGCAGCTGGAATTCTATGTGGGGTTTCCTTGCCTTCTCTCTCCATTTCTTTTACATGTGGAATTCATCTCTGTTCTCTGATTTGTTTTCTGATGTCTAATTAGTATTTTATTTGGCTCCCAAGTTCCACTGATTTTGTGAACATAGCAAAGCTGAACAGGTCTCCACCTATTTGGCTGAAAGTTTGAATAAGTGGCCAGGCTGGAACTTATTTAAGCAAATGTGTGACATTCATTTTATGTCATTCACATTTCAAAATTTCTTAGGTATTTTAACAGTGGTTTGAGAGGTGAAGAAGAATTTTGTCTCAGTATTGGGAGGGAAATCATTTTATCTGAGACATGGTAAGGGTTTCAAAAGGGGTGTTGCATGCCTTCCATATTTTTTAGAATGCTGTCAAGATTATGTAGCAGTGAAGTAGGTTCTATAAGGAACCTGAGGCGTGTTTCTCCAGTAAATTAATGTATTCGTCTATGTTTGATTTTCAAAAGGCTACACCTTTCCCCCCATTGCTATCAAGTGGTGTCTAATCATAGAGGATAAATAGATCACAACACAAAGTTTAAATCAATTTACAATATTTATTCTACACTAATAAATTTGGGAGTTCTGGCTCTATTTACAATTAATTGTAAGTAAAAATCTTAACTGTTTAAGTCTGATGCTTCATCCTCTGATTTTGCAGAGCAACTTATTGACATATTATTACATCATTCAAGAAACAGGCCCTAAATATATACAAAAATATACTAATATTTACATCAACTGCAGAAACCCCCCCAAAAGTTTTCAAATTTGTAAGACATAAATCTTAAATCATTAGCCTATCAAAAGAACTTTCCTTCGGAGCACCACGAGTTTATTTATAGTTTCGTTAGGATTTCAATGGCAGTAAATTTGAAACTACTCGAACTGGATCGCTTCAATCAGAAGAAAAAACGAGCATAAAAACAAATGTGTTGTATCCTACAATTTGTACTACGTTTACTCATCTGATACGATAATAATTTCTAAAAGAAATTCAATAAATACTACAGAAAACTATTCCTTGTGACAGACACAAGCGGTAAAAACATAGAGAAGCATGGGGAGAATTTAGGATCGAAAGTAATCAATCTTAAAATGACAAAGTTTCCTGAGAGGTCTGAGGTTCGTTTGTTTTCTCTGCAAGAAGCTTTGTGTTTTTACTTCATTGTTATTGATCTGTTTATTAAAAAAATAAAATAAAATAAAAAAAAAACTTTGACATTGTTTGTTCTCAATAAACATCTGCATTCGTTCATTTTTCTTCATTTCGATCCGGTTCAAATAGTCTCGCTACCTTTAATATTTCCCAAATAAATTTTGCTTTCATTCCCGTTTCAGAATGTTGGATTGTAATTGTCACTAAGCTGGTTACCTCACAGTTTTTTTTAATAATGGTTCAAATAATTTCTTTTGAGTTTTTATTTAGAATTGCTGAGGCCTAAAGAATAAGCTTGCGCTTAGACTGACTATTGCTTAGTAAATTATGTGTCTCTTGCTTACCTGCTTCTGTTATGTGTTGATTGTATGAGAGGTCTACCGTGCGTAGCTGACCGTTGTTGTTGTTGATGGCTTTAGCCAAGTCCTGTGCTCCAATGTCTGAGATGCCATTTGCTGAGAGGTCTAACATGCGTAGCTGACAGCTGTTGTCGTTGATGGCTTTAGCCAAGTCCTTTGCTCCAATGTCTGAGATGTTATTTTCTGAGAGGTCTAATGTGCGTAGCTGACAGTTGTTGTTATTGATGGCTTCAGCTAAGTAGTTTGCTGCTTCATCTGTCAATTGATTGTGTGTGAGGTTTAACCAGCTCAGTTGAGATTCCTTACACTTTAACAATTTACAAATCTCAAAACTACCTAATGGACCGATGTTATTGTTTCTCAAATCTAGATGTGAAATTTGTTGAACATTAATTACATTTACTAACGAAGAGCAATCAACAGCTGTGAGGCGACAATGATTAAAATTTACAAAATTAAAGTTTAGTTGTTGAAGTTTTGTCTGAACTTTCGATTTCATCTCATCACTTTCGTTAAAACATTTAAACAATGTTACTGCTAAATCTCGTTCGTCTCCAGTCGGCCAGAGAGTCACTTTCCTTGGCTCTTCATTCTCTGTCCACTGTTCGTTGTCCTCTTCGCATTCTCTCTCGTCAGTTTGCACAGGAAGAAGGTCAGTGATAATTTCGCTTGGTAGGTGACTTTTATCCTCCATAAGTCCCGCCAGAAACTGAAAAACCAGCTGCCATTTTCCGTTCTTGATGTTCTCGGAAACAAAGTTTCTTAATTCTTCTCTACTCATGTTGTTTGCTAGGTGCCGCGCTGCGAAAAACTCTTGCATTGTAAGGTGAATGAAACAGAATTGTTCCTCATCTTTTAACGCGGCATTTTTACGGTCGGGTAAGCGGTGAAAAAGAGCGCTGTCTTCCATTCCGCGTACTTCGTTTCCTCCAAGGATTAGTTTTCCTTCTTTGATTCCTTCAAATGCCACTTTTCCTAGTGTCTCGAATTTCTCCTCCACATTCAAGGGCAAATAATCTGAAAGAAAGTTTTTGCGGGTGAAATGTTTCTCGCGGAATCCTTTCGTGTGTTTCAAATAGAATACTTTCACCGCAATCTTGTATATCGTGGTTAATTTGGAAGGGAGGGTAACACTAGCGGAACATTCGAACTGTATTATTTCTGACAGACTTGAGCACATGATGAAGCTGTTCACAGGGATATAACAGAGCGAAAGTAAGTTCATGTTGCTGCTGATGTGTCGCCATAGTTTTTCGCCTGCTTGCTTGTCAACTCCGGCGAATTTGTGGATATATTCTCGAATTTGCTCGGTTGAGAAACCTAGGATTTCAAAGGTTCTGTCGAACTTAAGATGTGCGATGCCTGACAAAGCTGTAGGTCTCGTAGTCGTTACAATTGAAGCACCTTCAAGAATTTCCCCGGTCACAAGCCACTGATACAAGATTTGTAGCGGCATCTCCTCTTCAATGCTTGTGGAACAGGGAGGCGCTACGGCCATGTTTGCGTTATCTTTGAATTCGTCGAATCCGTCAAAAAGTATGAGGACACCTTCAGGGTGCTGCAGGATGTACTTCCAGACCTCATCATCCAGGTGATCTGAGAGGGAATGTTCTGACCAAGTGAGTAATTCCCTGAGGCTAAGGTCGTTTGCCGAGTTGAATCTTCTGAATCTTACGAAGAAAGCAGCATCAAATTGGATTTGGGCATTAGATGTCGCTTTAAAATTCTCACATGCCCAGTCTCTGAGAAGTTTGATGCAACATAATGTTTTGCCGATTCCGGGACGACCGACAATCAAAACTTTCTTATTTTCATTATTTAGGAGGTCTTCCAGGCTTTTCGGTTGTGATTCTTCGTCGTGTGACCTTGGATAAATTTTTAGTTGCTCTTGTCTGTCTGTAGTAAAGTTGTACTTGGCCCTGTTGCGGATGATCACAAGGTTGGTGTAAATCTGATCCAAAGTCAAATCTTTGGTTGTTGTTTCTTCGCCTGGATTACGTGGAAACAGTGATTGGAGTTCAGGGAGACATTTAGTTTCTTTAATTATTTTCTTCTTTCGTGCGATGAATAATTGAAGCTCTTCAGGCTTATCAGGTCCGCTCGTTGCTTCTGGCTGTTGAAGAACTTGGTGCGACACGACTTGCTCTTGTGGCTGTAGTGGGGCAGCTGCATCTTGTTTTGGAGGTTCTCGGTGTGACTCGGATTGGGTCGGAGGGTGTTCACGTTCTCGTGGCTGTGATGGAACATCAGCCTGCTTTTGATGTTCCTTGTGCACCTCGACCTGGATCGGACAGTTTTTGTGCTCTCTTTGCTGTAGTGGAACAGTTTCATGGTCTCTTCTTTCTCCTTGATGCGACTTGTCATGTCCACTCGTTCCTTCTGGTTGCTGAAGAACTTGATGCGACACTTGCTCTTGAGGCTGTAGTGGGGCAACTGCATTTTGTTTTGGAGGTTCTCGGTGTGACTCGGATTGGGTCGGAGGGTGTTCACGTTCTCGTGGCTGGGATGGAACATCATCCTGCTTTTGACAGTTTTCGCGCTCTCTTTGCGACTTGTCATAGTTGGCATTCAGATAGTTTTTTAAGAAGTCTCGCATAAAATTCCTGTCTATGCATGCCCGTAACAAAATGTAGACGGTTTCAATCAAAATGCACATGACGAAAGTTCCATTTACTACAAGGACAGCGTACATCCAAAAGGTTTTCTTTATCGCTCGTTGATTGTGACATTTGTATAAAGTACTGTTTGGGGCAGTGTCTGATGAATTCCTTGGTTGATTGGTTCTAGAGGTTAAATAACAGTCGAACGCGGAGGAAAAGTTTAAAGGATAAAGCAACTGAGTTTGCAGCAATATGAAGAGAACTCCAAGAACAAGTCTCGTAGATAGTTGACAACAGTAAGCGATGAAAAGCTTGTGCCCGCAATTTGTTGTTTGACTTGTTGGCTTTTCGCACGACTGTCCGCTCTCTGGATCACTGTTAGGACTGCTCGACGACAAATGATCGACTGTATTTCTCACTATTTGGGAGTACACAACACATACAATTCCAATAAGGAGGAAATTGATGATCACGAAGCCATAGACAGGAACACCAAATTTGTTGTACTGCTTCTCGTATTTTTCGAAACATTCTCCACGGACAAGGTCAATGTTTTCACTATTCGCTCCACCACAACGGAAATCATACCTGGATTCGGTGTTTTCCACTTCGGCAAAAGTGCCAAAGAAGATTACACTGATCACGAACCAAATTAAAACTGCGGCATAGCTAATTTTGTTGAAGGTTTTTGGTGCAAGTGATTCCTTGAGATGATCCATCGTTTCAGTACTGTTTGCATTTTTTGCTATTTTCGATGAGATGAAAATCGCTATACAGCTTTTGTCGTGGACTTCCGGTTATTCATTGTTTCAGATTTTATGTTTATTTGTGGCAAAACTGCAATCTCAACGCTTGGCAAACTTACGGCTGTCAGTGGTTTGTTCTCGCACGCCATCATTTTCTCGACTACACAAGAAACTGATATCGGAAACAGAAACAGGAGAATGAAATGGACAGATGTGTGCTACTTGGGCCAAATTTTCCTTATTTTCAATGCATGAGATTCTATGAAATTTATTTGAACGAGGCGTTATCGTTTCAGCACTGTTTGCATTCTCGCTGTTTTCGATGAGATGAAAATTGCTTCATAGCTTTGGATGTGGACTTCGGGTTATTTATAGTTTCAGATTTTAAGTTTATTTATGGCAAAACTGCAGTTTCAACACTTGGCAAACTTACAGCTGTCATTGATCTGTTTTCGCACGCCATCGTTTTCTCGACTACGCAAGAAACTTATATTAGACTGAATCAGAAACAGGAAATGAAATGGACAGATGTGTGTTACTTGGGTCAAATATTCCCTATTTTTAATGCGCGATATTCTATGAAATTTATTTGAAGGAGGCGCCGAAGGAACATCTACAAGTATGGCGAGAAATTATTTCGCTTTCTAAGGTAACTAGCGCGCATAGAAGCGCCACCTCAAAAGAACTTGTAAACTAAGTGTCACTGAAACTCTCCTTTTCCTTCGCCTAAAGCCAGGGATTTTTACTGATTATAAGAACTTTCCAACATGACTTGGTCTCTGTCGCTGGACTTTCTCAAAGAGTTTGCAATATCACATGTTTTCACTTTTTCACCTGTAAACTGTGACTTTGTGAAGAAATGAAAGAAGACTCTCGTGGGGAAGTGAAACCATGCATTTCTGACCCGACACTGGGCATTTTCAAAACTGCAGAGCATCCTTGTATTTTCCGAATAACAACTGAACCACTCTTACTGGTTACCTGCTCGTTAATTCTTCTTGTTTAAAAAGTAAATGCTTACTCGTCTGAAATAACGCAACTTTCATCCCCGCCTCATTCCGGTCTTAATGTGTAAACCGTCGAATGCAAAATTTTTACCGTCATCCAATCCGCAAACTTATACTTCTGAAAAAAGGTGTTCAAGTTAGCTCAGAAAGCTTTGTCCGACAAACACGCACTTGAATGTAGCAAAATGAGAACCCCGGAGAAGTCGAGGTCGGACTCAACTCAAATGTTCTTCTGAGCCGTTATCTCGTTGCATTTTCTTCTGATTTGTCGGCGGGAGTAAGGTAACACACTCTTCCTCAGGAATTTTGCTGATAACAAATTTTGGCTGAAAACTGATTCATTCAGATATTGGAAAGATATTGTATCGTTTAATAAAAAACTTTAATTCTTAAAAATTAACCGTCAACCGTGAAAGATCATCCTGAACACTTAACCGTCAACCATTAGAGATACCAGCGCACTAACGCCCTCCTACATGAGCTGTGCCGAGGGCCATGATGCACCAACTGTAAGAAGGAAAAAGATATTTTGACTATTTAAATCCACGATTTTCGTAAATTGAGCGAAAAACTTCTATAATTTCATACCAGATCGGTGTCTCGTTTCAGTTCAAGTGCAAGAAACAAAATTTGTTGTTAAATTTGGTTCCTTAGAATTATATAACCGCGCTTGTTAATAGTGGACCGAGTGTACCCTGGGCACAACTGTCCTCCTTATCAACCAAAATGGCGGTGGAATAACAATCAGCGAGGTGGAAACATGGAAAAGAAGGATTCAGATTATCATGATAATTTCTTTGCGAGTTTGAACCAACTCATACTAAGCTTAGAGCCTGCCATAAAGGAAGCAGGATCGGTCTCCGCAGCTGAAGACATTTTAGCGCACTTGGAGGCAACAGACGAAAATTTCCACAGGTTTGAACCCAAATACTCTAATCAAGCTGCTGTGTTCGTTCTCAGTTCATCCTATTTTGTATCGTAGAATGGATTTTACTAACAAGAATGAAGTAGAACTTATGCAGTCTTAACCGATAGCGTTTGATAAATTTTGAGTCTATCTTCCTTTTTTAAACACATCCATTAAAAATTATGGTTTTGACCAAATTGCGGGAAAACACTGCTGTATCTTGTCAGTTTAAAAAACGAAATTGTGAAAATATCTCTTAAAATAAAACTAAATTTTGAGTTTTCTGTTTGGTAGGATGTTAACAGACCTGAATTTTTTTTTATGCAAACGAAAGAATAAAGCTGTCTGCCAGATTTTGAATATTGATAGACAAATCGCCTTGTGCGTGGTGGAAAAGTGTGAGAATTTTAGTCTAAAAATTGATACATGGCTGATTAGCTGACTGACTGACCAATCGACCGACTGACTTATTTAAAAACTATTAGACTGACTGAATTATTAAAATGAATGTTTAAATTTTATTGATTGATATCATTTTGATTTAATGATTGAAAGGTTGGTTGAATATTTAATGCTAGAACCTTTTCTGACTTGTATGTTGTTGTTATTAGATATGACTTTGTGCGTCAACTAAGGAGTCGTATTGACACAACTCTAACACCACTCATTGACAAGAAATTGGAACAACTGACTGGCAGGGAGGGGGACAGGAACAATTCAGTGCCAACCATAACTGAGGAGATTATAGCCTCACCTGAGTAAGTTACACAAAGAAATGTAGACAGAAAGAAGAAAAACAACTGTTTAAACTAGTGTATTGAATATGGAAAAGAATCAACATATAAATTTCCAAAGCTAAACCAAGATATTTAAAATTTCCAGTGTGTCAATCAGTAAAACCAAATTAGCACAACATCCGACCAGTGCAAAGAAGAATTTTATGATGAATAAGTGGTTACACATAGTAAACCAAGTAAACAGCTGTTGGAGCATGAAAATGCAAATTATGAAGAGAGAGTGTTACTGGACCAATCTTTACACAGGGCAGCTCTGCAAACCCACTGTTATACCCAATAAAATTTGACTATCAGTTGAGAATTTGCCTAAAATATACAAACAAGTGTTGTATACATGGGGACATGAAGTACTAATCATATGAAGAGTTTTCTTTGATTAATTGACCAATTTATATCCCTTGAGATGGCGATATGTTTTAATTGTTATACAACTTATGTGTTACAGGTTTGTTAACCTTCAGCAGTCAATTTTAGCTGATACAAAAGATGCAGTTAATGCTTTGGTGAGAAAAACTTCAGTGTTCTTGATAGCCATTTAATTGTTTAGAAAAAGTATAAACATTTAATAGTTTATGATAAGTATTTTGTTCATTTTCTTAAATTAGATCTTAATGCTACTTTTTAGATTCAAAGTTTCTCTCAAAATCCTGGCCTTCGTCCGTCTGACTATGAACTCACAGAAAACAGAGGTAGACTCCAACCTTTTAGATTATCACTGGATTCTAGTGATGAAGATTCATCTATGTCTTCCTCTTTTGGACAGGTATGTTTTCCAGACTTAATCCTTTGAATCCTAAAATCAGATCATTAATTCTCTCTTCAAGCTGCTCCACATTTCCTTGTAAACTAGTAACGAGAATTTGGTGGAAGATCACAAATTCTACCTGTTAAGTTTCATTGATCTCATTTCCTTTTGGCTGGATAATGAATGGATATTATAGGGAGAAATAACATGTTTATCAACTCTGGGAGTTAAAGGGTTAAGTAGGTGAATATTGTAAAATATTCCACTTGACTTACTCTTTGGGATTCTGCATTTGAATGTGATAATTTTGGTGTATCTCTTGTTTTACTTTAGACTGGGTACATGTTTAACATGTCACCTGAGAAATTCACTGAAATTGCAGAGAATTTAGATCCAGATAAACCTCTTCATGTGAGTAGAATTTTGTGTGTTTATAATCCTTTTGTGTTCTTACCTGATAAATTAAACACTTGTCTGGAATTTAGAATACTTCCAAAGCTTTATGTTAACACATGATTAAGAGAAATTTCAGTTTCACAAGGAAACTTTAGAAAGACATGTTACAGAGTCACTTACACCATCATCAGATTTATGTATTGAACTGTTGCTTTTGTTTTTACATGTTACATGCAATTATATTGTAATTTTAAATTGAGTCATAATATTATTTCGAAACTAGTACTGTTAAATTAGTTGAAGTAAACAATAGTGTATACGAATCTAACACTGGGAAAGCAAATCAAAAACATTAAATATATATATATATATATGGAAACAAAATATATTGATTATGTTGCATTCAAGCATTCTGCTCAGGTTGCAAGCAGCCATTATTACACTCTCTCCTTCAATTTTAGTCGATGAGTTGTTTTGGCTGAGCCTAGAATCTAAGGCACTCAGCTGAAAATTTTTGCTTACAACCTAGAAAATTACACAAGTGCTTTTTAACATGAGAATTTTTGTTTGACATTTGTAATTTGCTTCCAAATCTATTTACAGGTACGGATAAATGCATTAAGCACACTCTACCAGTTTCCATTGTCAGATGAACTCACTAGTAAAAACTCAGAAGGAATCAGAAAAGGTCTATTGGCTGCATTAGCTGATGAGGATGAACAGCTAGCAGTATGTGAATTCCTCATTTAATCGTACTACCTTGCGTTCTGAACCATTAATAACTTTTCTTTCTTTAAAATAAATTGATTTAATTTTCCTACAGGAAAAAAGCCTTAAGTTTCATGCCAGGATGTTCATGGCCTCATCTGCTCATGTCACAAAGGAGATCTACACTTGCTTAGGTCAGAATTGTTACTGAAAATAGTGTCATGATTTTTGTTTGCACTCTTTTGCTTAATGCTTTGAATAGAGTTGCTGTGAATAATTCTCCATAAGAACTGAACTGTTTATGGTCTCTTAAACAATGATGATGCTCGTAAAGCAATGATTTTTTTCACTCTTCTTTCAGCTGAGCACCTGGAGTCTTACTTTAGCGATACTCATCGTCATCGTCTAAACATTGAAAATGGTCTAGATGTGTCAACAAGAAACAACCAGCGATTGCTTAAAAGGGTTTGTTTTCCTTTTTTGATTATGGTTTAACAGCTGATAATATATGAGACTACACAGCAATATTTTACACCTCTTACATCATAAAAGAAATTAAAATGTATGTGTTCCTCTGAGATTACCGTGCGTGGCTTACTAACTTTGTTTTTTCCTTTTGGTTACAGTTTAGGCTGCTGAATGAATTTCAGCATGAAGTTGCCTCTTTTTGGATCAGATATCCTGAATGGTATGTTAATTACCTAATTGTATGCAGTGCTAACTTGTAAGTGATAAATTACTCTGGCTAGGTGCCTAAGAGTGGTGCCCAGGAGATAGCCCCATATTCTTCTTGGATACTGTCCCAACTGTCCCTTCTTGGATACTGTCCCAACAGATCAAGGATACTTACTAAACCCCCCCCAATGATCTGTACCACATGGGAGGGTATGAAGAGGAAATAGCCTTGTAAAGTTGGTGGGGAAACCTGAGAGTAACAAAAACAAAAGTATTGATACATACTCAGTAGGAAAACAAACCCACTAGTCCTGAAAACATCAGTATGTCAATGTCCAAGCACATGTTGGACTTCAAGTGCTCCTTGTTAGCATAGGTTGGACACTTATCTTTACCAAGATTTCTCTGATCCTCTGTTAATTTATTGCAGGTTTCTTGAGTCAGTCCTTGGTAGTACTTTTAATCTATTCGCCGCTAGTTCTGATCCAGAGTTTGGTGCTTCTGTGCTGCAGTACATGACACCTTTGCATTGTCTCGCCCTAGTTGATCCAAAGGCTACCTGGTTTAAAAAATGGATGGTGAGTTAAAATGCTGCTTGGAATCAAACTGACTGTAGTTTGAATCATGGTGATATGTATACAAGATAGGGTTTGAGATTATGACAGGGTTTGAGGGAGATATAATGATGCAGCCTGCAGAGCAGGCATAATTTTGGCAAGCAAGTGCTCAGTATTTTCTTAATTAAAAATTATAGCTGCCATCTTTGATTTTAATGGCAGTGGCAGGCTTGGGAGGTAAAAAATAAGGAGAGGGGCAGGAGTGGGGGAGTGAAGATGATGCCCTTCCCCTGTCCCCTACCCCCCACAGTGTCCACACTAACTCCAAATTAAACATGGCAGGTTGGATAAATAATTGCAAGCTTGTAACATTAGCTCACCCTAACAAGACATCTGTAGAGAAGGCTAATAATGATGAGGAGCTTGAGGGGGTAGGGAGAGGGAGAGACCAACCCTGTGTGCCAACTTGCTTGTTGTTGTAGAAGATTATTAGTGATAATGCCTTAGTTTATTCCACCGTTTTAAAGAAGCTTAGAAGAAACTACTTTGACCACATTATGTGTAAATTCACACCTGATAGTTTTAAAACTGACAGAATGTTCTAGTTTTTATTAATGTGATTTTAAGTTCTATGTGATCTTATAATATCCTTAGTATCTTGTTATTTTAGTATTTTAAATGTCTGCTATTAGAAATATTGTAATTCAGTTTCTTAGAGCCTTAAGGGAGAATACAGTCTTGACTGCAATTGTGCACCCTATTGGAATATTCTTGCCTAACCACAGAAAAAAGGAAAACCTGTAGACATACTACAACATGCAATCAGTCTTGTACATCACCATGAGTGTCTAATTGATCACTGATTACAACTGCTTATTTCTTAGCATGGTAATTACAGTAGAACAGTCGCCATCAGGGAAGTGAAGAAGCACCCCTCTTTGGTAAGTGAGAAAACAGTGAAGGTAATTTAGGTGTTATCGATTTCCTAATTCTTATGTTATGGAGGTCTTTGTTTTTGTTTCATTTTGTGACTATATTTTTTTATATATGTAGTGTAATACCAACTAACCAAGACAGTGACTAATTTTTGTTACTTGTTTTTTAGTTAGTAGATGCCATAAGCCACTGTATTGACTTCTCTAGGACATGTAAAACCCTTCAATCCTTGGAAATGATGGAGCTTAATGAACAGCAAAGAGGTGAATAGGTTATTTTCATCAAAGTTTCCCCCTTTTGTGGCATATTTTGTTTATTAGAGTGTTGGTTCAAGCTGGTGTACCCAAGCAATGTTTTTTAACTTTAAAGCAACTTCTACTTTCTTTTAAAAACCCTGAACATGGTGTTTACTTTTGAAAGTGATAGGCAGTGGGATGGGTTAGACCTGTATCAATCTGGGAACCTGCTTCTGTTTTTTAAAGGACTACAGACAGTACCTTCAGTCACGGCTACAGGTTTCTCAGTCAGAAACATATCAGAAGATGACTGCCCATTAACAAGAGAATATGTTACATGGTACCTTTAAGTCAGAATAGTAAACAGCACAGGCTGTCAAATTTGGGAGAAGAATTCTGTACAGCAACTGCCAAATTCTTCCATATTGGTTTCCTACTGAACTGATCCACCAGATCAGTCCATTCATTCAGAAAATTGTACTATTTATCAGAGCTTTCCCACCAAATTAGTCTATTGCTGAATGTTGTTCACTTGTACAAAGCTCAAGGTCAAAATCTCAAACAAGGGTCTCAATTAGTCTTACAATCAACTTACCTGTGGGTTGTCAGTTCTGAATGATGATGGTCAGCAGCTGTAGAGAAATGTGCCAATAAAACAAGGATAAGATGCAGTGGAAAGGGGCTCAATGGCACAATTACTAACATGATAATGATGGATACTCTGGTGATTTTTACACAGATGATGACAGTGATGGGTTGTTTTATACTTCACAAGACCTGGAGTATATATACTTTGTTCACTCTCTTTGTCTTTTGGGAAGAGTTCTTCTCTACAGTGGTGGCAGAGCATTGTTTCCTGTCATACTGCCAGATACAGATGGTAGGATACACTATATACTCTTATTATTTATTGGTAAATTTGCTCAACAAAGAGTTCTAAATTAGTATTCGTTCAATATTTCTCCACAAAAGGCCAATAGGCCAATATAGACCAAACCATGGCATTTCCACCAAGGAAATTTGTTTTTTCACAATATTTTTGCCAAAATATTTCCAGTTGATTTGAAGGAAGGGCTTTTCCTGTTTGTTCAAAACCAGGACTTGTACCTTTGACATGTGGAGCCACGCTTTTGTTTCCTTCAACAAAAAGCTTTTTTAGTTGTAATTAATTTGATAAAATATTTTAATGTTTGCTAAATTTCTTATTGACCTCTTGTCAGGGAGAACTGAAACTAAAACTGAACTTCTTTTTTTAACTTTATTTTTCTTTGTATTTCAGAAACAGTAACAATCTCAAGTTTATTAGTGGCATTGATAAGAATCATGTGTACAGCTCTGCCAAACTCTAATGAAAAGACTGTATTAGATGGTAAGACCAATTTACTTTATCTGGGTGAATTGTTCTTCTTGAATGAGCTCTTATTTTATGTGTCAACATTAGATTTTGCTCTTCTTTAAATCCCCACTACAGTTCAGTTTCATCCTGGTTACCTGGTTTGTGATGTGCTGAAGAAGCTTGCCAGTTGTACTAATGCCAGTAAAGAGTGTCTCTGTAAAGTCAGTATATTTCGAATTTGTTTTACACCATATAGTGTTTCTAGCTTAATTTGAGGGTGACAGTGTCAATTGTAATCATTTTGTGAATTTCTTTGCAATGATTTTTGCTGAAGCACTATGTCAAGGGGTAATGAGTTTGGAAAGAGGCTGTTACTTCATTGAAAATAAGAAAAAGAAAATATTTTGCGTCCTTCTCTCTTGGATCAACTTGTCCAATAAAGTGGCAATCAATTAAAAAAATTAAAATGTCTTGTAATCTGTAATTTAAGTTTTTTGTTTGTTTGTTTGTTTTACAGGATGTAATAACAACCAGTCTTTTGTCGCCTGTACAGGCCTGGCTTGACGTAAGTGAAAAAAAGAAGCTAGTTGAAGACATTACTTTCCATAACACAGATTTCTTGATTTCTGAAAAGAAAAGTGCATTTGTGTTGTTTTGTATATCAGGGCATAGACAGTTGTGATAGTGCCGGTGCTGAGAACACTCTGCTGTTTGTAGCTGATGTTTTAGCCACTTTAGCTGCCTCAGAAACTGGTCAAAGACAGCTGCTGTATGGAGAGGCACAAGACAGATGGCAGAGAAGCAGGTAATATTTATTGCCCTTTTCAAAGCGGATTGTTGCAAGAGATTTAACTGATGAAACAAGGGATTAATTCCGACGATGGAGAGCGCTGAAGCGATGATGAGCGCGACAATTCGCCTTTGCACCGCTGATCTTGTTCCGCCAATCAGGTTGGCTGGGTAGGCGGCATCATATGAGCGAGGAAAAATGTTGCGCTGTGATTGGCTGATTTTCAACAGCAATAATCACCAGCAACAGCTGGTGCATTTTGGTCCTTGCTGTCTTGTTGAGCTGTGCTTACAGAGGAGCGACATGCTCTAGAGGGTCTTGCACTAACTATATTTGATGATATACATTAGAACTGACTTCATCTTGAGTCAAACTTATTACAACAAGGTCTTTTTTCCATATTGAACTTGTTAAAAGTAAAAAACCTCTGATAGTTGTCTTTTACATGATAAATTTTATTACTCGAGTCCTTTTAAAAGTTCGGTATATTTAATTTGTTGTAGGATGATCCTTTCGAAAAGCTTTTGTGCTTTTAACATTTTATGACATCTTATTCCAAGTGCATTGCAATGTAGTGTCATGTAAAATTAAACAGTTCTAAAACTATTGAGTCACAAGATAGCGGAACTTGACCTTTAGCAGTAATATTTTTGTCCTCAATGAACTGAAACCTTGTGGTACAACCTGACTCAAAAGAAAATTTTCTTATTAAGATTTTACTTTCCACTTACACCGCGTCCAGGTTTTCTCCAGCTCACACCATAGCGAAGTTTGCCAAAAAAGCCTTGTTACAAAGACTTCCTGGCGGAACACCGCCCAAAACGGCGATTTCTGGCTTCGTATTCGTCTGTCGTCAACTTTACAGCACGTGTGATGGACTTATGGTGCTCAATCCTTATGAACTTCATCAGTGTGTAGCGAACGCCTGGATTAAGGTGAATGTGTCTTGTCAGAAAGTCGGTTGGCTCAGATAGTCAGATGTTTTCTGGAGCATCAGATGCAAGTCAATGCCGTGTGTTTTGAAAGAGTTTTCCTTAAGTTTCTCTGGGACCGTAACTGAATGTTTTCCTAGGACATATTCATTCTAGTTTTGTGTCTTTTGTGGGTCAGCGTATACTTAAGACGTCGCTGAAGTGTGGAAAAAGCTACAACTTTGTCTCGAGTGTTCCTTGGAAATGTTCACAGTGCCTATTCCGCTTGCACTGAAATTATTACTAGCGAACTGTCGGGAAGGACATAACCCTATAACAATTTTTACATGAACCTTGGTAGGCTTATGCTAAAACGCTTCGTTGTTATTTTTTTCAGGTACACGAACCAGAATCCCCAACTGAGGCAGAATTAGCGTCTGACGAAACACAGCAGGATTTCATTCAAGACGAGGAAATGTAAGAACTCACACTAGTTTCGTATTTCTTTTCGTTGCCCAGCTCGTTTATCTTGGCGTTTAGAGGTTCAATTTTTGGTTTTTGCCATAAAAAGCGTCATCCTTAACCAGATAATTTTATTTCAGACTTGTTTGGGAAAGTTCGCTGATTGACAATCTGTTAAATTTTGCCGGTACACCGAAAGGATTGCTACTTCTTCAACAAACTGGAAAAATGAATGAATGTGTGGCGTTTATGAATGAACGATACAACAAGAAACTGCAGGTATAAAAAAGGTTCTTAAAGAAAAAAAAGGTCTTTTCCCCAACTGTGACTGTCAAATATGTTACAAAGTCAACAAACTGAAATATGTCAACAAACATGTTCTCAATCTTAAATCTCCTGTTACCACTGAGGCCAGTGATAACAGTGTAGTCTACGTCTTTAAAGACTTTGTCGTTGCCTGTGCTTTTAAAGCAAAAGTAAGGATACACTTACTTTACAAGGTCTTGATAAGCTTATGCTAACGAACTCTACAGTCTGAAGTGAAGACATTTGCATGAAATAATTTACATATGCTTATACTTGTGAATAATTCCCTGTTCGCACCAATTTAATCAAGTTTTATTAAAGGTAAGTTACATGCGTATTACGCGTGTACGTCACATGTTTTATGATATATTTACGTACATTTTTTACGCCTGTAATGTAAAAATTTAACAGCCCTTTTCTGTGTTCCATGGTTACCAGTTGTCATCTTTTTTTGACTTGATGATAACGTTAAGGTACCATGGAAAAGTCATCGACCTTTTAATTCAGCTATTTCAGCTTTTTATAATGTTTTTCATCAAGAAGCTTTTTCAGTTCGCAGTTTATAGTAGATAAATACTATGTTAAAAGACCCTTATATCCGCTTGTTAAAGCTATGAAACCATATGCTCTACTTACGCGGCGTCTTTCAAAACTCTTGTACAGTCGAACCTGTATTAAGCGGTGACCCTGTATTAAGCGGTCGGTTTTCAAACTCCCCAATTTTTTCCACTTAATGACTGTATTAAGAGGTCACGTCTATTAAGCGGTCGCGGTCACCCTTTACTAAGTACTGTTTGTATTGTTCTCCACCGAAATCAGTCAAATGAAACTACAAATAATCTTTCAAGTAAAACTTAATCCATGCTTATCACCCAAAATCAATGTGATTGGTATTTTTGAGCGAATTTTTGTAAATTAGTGGGCAATTGTGGCAAAACATGACTTTTTTTATGATACTCCTATTCTTTAGCACCTGTAATAAGCGGCCACCCCGTTATTCCCCACAGGTGATCGCTTAATACAAGTTCGACTGTTTTAATTGTTTAGGTTAGTAAGTGCGAAAAGTTTGGTTATGGGCTGATGGTGACACAGATAGCTGCTACTGCGCCTGGCATGGTTGCACTGGAAAATAGGGGTAAGTAGAAAGAAAAGTTGCAGTTACGTCGATGCAACAGCTCCACTCTTTTCAGAATCACCATAAAGTGGCGGAGAATATATCAGTCCTTTTTCTCCATTTTAATTGGCACTCTTTTCTTCGTTTCAAGACTAATTTTCTTTGGATTGTAAAGATGCGTCAGTGATCGAAACAAAGATGGATAAATCTTCATTTGTTGTAGTTCATTTCTAAATTTTTTTTAATCCGGTCATAAGCGCCCTCCGATGTAACCACCTCCGTTTACAAGCCAAGCTTAAACCCCAGACGAAGTTGCATAAGACAAGCGCTTGTAAGCAGAAGTTAGTCTTATGAATCTGTCGCATATCAGAGGGAAGGGTCACGTCATGCTCTTAGCCAACTGATTTTTTTTTTGTTTGTTTTGACATGATATTCAACTCGTCTTTCACCTCTAAAGTTTTCGTCTTCTTGAAGAGACATGTTTTTCCTCTCGAAGTTCTTTCATGTTTTCGTCGTAACTATAACCAGTTGCAAAAATGTTGTGACACCTTGAGCAAAAAGTACATTGACCGACTTCATTAGGAAGTCGACAAGAAATTTAGTGCAAAAAAACCAAAAGTCATCCCCCATCCCCAATTTAATCTCGTTCATCGGTTTTGTACGTGATACTGCTTAGTTATATCAACATTGCAGAGGGTGGAGTGGGGGTTACATTATGTTGCATCACACGGTGAACAGTTATCTCTTGTCTTGGTAACATATCTCAACTACTTTTGCAACTTTTTGTAGCATTGGAAATTTTGGGAGTCTCTCAAGGAAAACGCCTTAAAGAAAAAGCTTAACCCTTTGCCCACCTTATCGTTGTTTCGCTCCCCAATTATTGTACCACAGCAAGATGTGTTGTTTCACTCGTGATCTCATCAGGTTTCCTGAAGCGAATGGTACTTGACATTTGGACAGTATTTGAAGGAGCTCAGGACAGAAAACCTGCTCCACCTAGGATTAAACATGTGGATAGCATCGATAGCAGAACCTACAATAAGGTTTGACTGTCACAACATGATTCCCTCGATACGTCATGGATCCGGCATTGTTTTGTTGGTCTAAAAGGTTTGGTGTTTTTGCCTCCTTATTGTAGTCCATGAACAATCTGTTGAGCGTTTTATCAGCGTTTCCTGCTGTATACGAGGTTCTCGCAGACGCTTACCGCCCATCCACCTCTGGTTCAGAGATCGAGGAAGCCGTGACAAATAGAGAAGCTTTCTCTGCTCCTGTCAGTATTATGGTGAGTAGAGCACTTTACATTTTGAATACAGGGCGGTGAGTGATAGGTGTGTAGGACTTATCTTTAGTAAACCGGTGAAGCTCTCTTTCGGAACCCTAGCAGGAATTAGTGGTTTCATTAGGCAACAATCACTCTTTAGTAGTAATGGCAACCAAAAAGTATTGCTGGTAGCGTACAATGTCGATGAAATCAGTTAAACAAAATGCTCCAGGGTTGCTGACTGATAGTAGCATGATAATGAAAGACTCTTAGAAAAAATTTCTTTTCTGTTTGGAAAAAACTTGTGTTCTCGCTCGTTTACCAATATACCGTTTAACTAAGGCACAAGAGGAATGCTATCAGTAAACGGTATTCGTTGCAGGCTGCAGTAATTCCGTCATGAAATTTTCGTTTTCAGAGCTAAGCTCTTTCTGAGAGATCGGCTAAGTTTTCTACTGGTGATACTTATGTATAAGCAAATTGTCTGATGAGAGGAATTTTGTGGTCGAATCTTAGCCATATTTAAGTGTGAGTAGAAAAATCTTAGAGTCCAGGAAATATTGTTTGACTGATCTTTGGTTCTTGTCTCTTCAACAGGATTTAGTTGATCGTTTTATCATGATTGACTCGGAGGAGAAGTTCCATTCGCTTTTCAACTTTGAACAGTCTCACCACTTTGGTCTAAGGTACGTCACTGAACATCTGGCCCCGGTTGTTCGAAGGTTAGATAACGTTATCCACTGGATAAATTTCTATCCGGTGGATAACGCTGTACGTTTTGCTATCTCTTATCTGCCGGATAGCGTTTTATCCGTTGGATAGCGTTGTCCACCTTTCATGCAACTGGGCCCTGAACATTAGCTTAGTTACAGTAAAAAATCACAAAAGAGGCTAGAAGAAACGAATACGGGACATGGAAGGTTACACGTAGCGACACTTTAAACAATAAAGGGGTAAGTTTCTAAAGAAACTGTGGTGCTGCGTCGGTGGGAGAGTATAGCAGGTAATTAAGTGTTAACAACTGGGTTGAAAACGTAAATTAGCCACCGTAAAGGGTAAAAAAGCTGACGTTTCGAGCGTTAGCCCTTCGTCAGAGCGATTAGACGAAGGGCTAACGCTCGAAACGACACTTTAAACAGTTTGTGAAGGGCAAAATTAAAAGTTTTTGCCCCAGCAAATCGTTCAAAATGCAGGATTTCGTGAAATACACTGCTTCTTGTACATCTCAACTTTTTGGTCTCTTTTTCCTCAGAGTTCTTAGTGTGCTGTGTTCCTGCTTGGACACATTCCTCTTTCTTGAATGCCGCTACAGATTTCAAGAATTACTGCTGCAATCTCAGCTGGACATTAGATTTGACAACGGGTAAGGCATTTAAATATATATATATATTTTTTATCAGTAGAAACAGTAGAAAAGATAGCTTGATATTCTTCGATTCCAATTTCTGTCAATTGACCAACCAATGTGTTCTCTTGTCGTTACTAACAGATCAAAGATTTAAATTGAACTTCGTGACTGTTACAAATAAAAACATTTTTACCAACCTAGTCAGAAATGTCTTCTTTTGTTGTTGTTGTCTTCTTATTGTTTGCACAAGGAAGCAAATTCACTTTTCTCGTTGGTGAAATAAGTTACACGCGAATTATCAAACAAAGTCTGAAAAGGTCAGAATTCAGACTTACTTAGGGTGAGGTTATCATCAAACCTTGTTTTTGAAACTGACACAGGTTTTGGCGGTGAATATTGCATAAGGTAGTTTAAAGTCTGTTGCATTCCTTGTTGCAGTGATCGAGTTAATAAGCTGTCTAAGAATGAATTTAAAGTTTCCTTCCGTGAAATTGTAGGAAAGACTACATTATCGACATGTGTTCTTTGGAGAGGAACCATATCTTGGTCAAGACCTATCATGTTGGGGGCACATCTGAGAGGATCATTCCAGGCAGGACCTTAACTGAGGTAACCCAAAAGGTTCTCTTTGGGTGTAAGGCCGTAGCATTTTTTATAGCATGTTTACGGCACTTTCGTTTGGTCTAGTTTACGTGTAGGGGTCTTCTGAAGAAAAATTTACTCGAAACATGTTACAGATTGGCTTTATTTCCTCCTTAGAATGTGGATAATCCTTACCCTTGGCCTTTATTTTCGTCTTATCCTCCGCCAAAAGACTATCTTCCAGGTGAACAGCATGCCAAGATTACAGCATTTGAAGAAGGTAAGGGATATCAGCCCATCGTGTTACTCTTCCTTATGAACTGAAGTCGGGTTAGGTCACGTAAAAAACGCGTTTTTTATGAGACCCGGCCCAATCCTCGCTCGTTTTTTTCCCTTCTCTGCTACTTTGCTCCTTTCATTATTGTGCTTCGTTTCACTACTTGAACGCCTTGAACAGGTTTGTTGTAGGATTGAATTCAAACAACTGATTTGAAACGTTAACTTTGCAATGTTTAATTTCTTCCGCATTTTATGAGGAAGTCTGCCAGTAAGCAATATACCAAAAAGCACTTCATTTATTTGAGTAAGTTGTACATAGCGCATTGTCCGTGGACCATTGGAGGTCCTCTGTGGCCTGAGAGATTTCCGAGTTACAATTTGTATTTTTATGTATAGACAACTTATATAAAACTATTTGAAGAACATAATGAGAATATTTGAATATGTTGCCATCAAGATTTGCGTGAAAAGCCATAATGATTTCTTTCGGGACTGTTCCCAATACTTTTTGTCAATTATAGGTGATACGCTGTTAGAATTTCTGGAAGGCAGTGAACTTATGTCAGCAGACAGGTATCTGAACCGCCTTCGTAAAAAAAATCATTTGTTGATGTAATTGGGTGGAGTTAAATCGAGTGATTTTGCTTACAGGGGGAGGGGAGGATGAGAAGCCAGGGTCTTTCAGATCGAATATTGACGCCCAGCGTGGTACATTCAAAGCAGTAATTGAAAGTATGCTAAACATTTGTCAAGTTTTCAGCGGTTAAACTCGCTAACCTCTGATCCATTTCTCACCCAAACCGAGCGTAGAAACAGATTTCTCCCTAAGGCCACCAAAAGGATCGCATTTTCCTTTCGCCCTTTCCTAACAGACGACTTAGAAAATCGCTGTTATTCGTTGCTTATGTGTTGAATCCTTTTTCCTTCTGTAGTTTCTCTTGGCTCCAGGATTGTCGTAAGACGTTTTGTCAGTCCGTAACGTCTGGAAAAACCAAAGCGAAGGGAAAAGGTCAGATCCAATTATTTCAGTTCTTGTCTGTGTTGTTGGAAAGCTCGTGTGATATTGATTTTATTTTTCGTATTACAATTTTTTCTTATTGCAAAACTCCTAATCCTCAACTTAAGCGAGTTAGTGAATACATTTCATCAGGGATGATTTCTACACCTCTGATAGATAGCAATTAGATGACAGTGTATACAATGAATACTTCTGTTGTTCAACAGTTTTGAAATTGCTACTTGACAAGGTTTGCACAGCTTTGACCAACGTACCCGAGGAAGCCATCTTTCCTTTGATTGACTTTTCAGGTAATAGCATTGGAACAGTAGATGCATTTTGATTGTTTTTCATCTCCATCTCTTAATCTCACGGGTCATATTTGATTTTCATGTTATTTTCATGTTAGCCAGTGAAAGCAGTCTGAAGAATGTCGAACTAACAGACATAGAGAGCTTAGGAACGAAAGTAGCAGTGCGGTACGGTGTTCAGCTGAAGTTACTCCAGTCCACCACGGACGGTGTGGAAGATCTGACTTATCTTCTGAAGTACTGCAAGTTCTTTTTACAAGGACAGCAGCGCACCACAGAAAGCACATTACGTATCCTTGTCTTAACCGTTCCTCATTTGCAATCCATGTCAATTTTGTCAATCCTCAGCGTTCCATGTCCGTTGCTGTTGTGTTCTTGCCTCTCAGCACTCAAAGGAAATCAAATAACTGCAAGGTAGCGGCGCAGAGTAGTAGGCCCTCGCGTCAAAATCGACAGCATAGAGATTATGTAAATGTTCAGTATTTTCCAACATATTTATTGTGTCCGCTCAATAAATGTCTGCTTTAAGCGGGATGTAAAGTTTAGGAGTTTACATACAAGTTCAAAAGGAGCTTTTTTAAGCCTATTCGCTTGCAACTGTAAGAAAGTTTCAAAGTTTGTTTGTATATAGCGGTTGAATCATTGTTTTGAGCCTGAAGTGAACTAATATCACACATAATGAGGTCGCTGACGTGATTCAAACAACATTATTGCGTGACATTTTCTTGACTCGCTCCCTTTCCTGATGAAAGGCACTCTGAGTGGTGAGTATGTCGGTCACGACTGGTTTGTGTCCACCATTTTTCTGATGATGTACGGTGACCCGGATCTGGCCTGGGAATTCCTCTTCAAATTCTCCAGTCTCGTTAGTTCAGGTTATCTTTGGATTCGCAGACTGCATGCCTCGGTAAGATATCACTTACTGTTGGGTCTTCATTACTCTAGCCCTATGCCATTTGCTTGAGATCAGATTTATTGATCATATGATAGTGTATTGAAAGCCCATATTCGGAACAGACTTGTATAGCTGATTAAGCCTACCCTAGAAAGGGGTTCTACTTCTCAAGGGTGGTTTGTTAATCCATCACTGGTTTCCTCCACTATCCCCTCCTTTCTTGGCATTTGGCTCGATTCTCCTGGCTTTTCGCTAATACCATCTTATACTCTGGGGTTGAGTGTCATGCCACCATGAGGTTACCTGGTTGGTACCCACCCGTAGTTTGGTTGGAGAAAGGTAATGTTAGGGTAAAAGTCTTGTCTCCTGGAACACAATACAGTTATAGAGTTATACACCTATAGTATGGTTGGAGAAAGGTAATGTTAGGGTAAAAGTCTTGTCTCCTTGAACACAATACAGTGTTTCTAGGCAGGGCACTAACCTGGATGTTTCGATCCACATTCCTTCGCTTTAACCATCATGCTACCGCCTGTTGCACATTCTGCGGTTTTGTTCGAGGTCTTGGTATGCGATTAGAGTCACATGATGATGCACGCAGTGTTGCAAGGCGTAAAGCACAGGTTTTGATGAGTTTTTCTCTAACTTCTCGATAGCCAATTTGACTTAAGCTTGTGATTCCTATATTATTCCACCGTAGGTGCATTTACCGATGTCACTTACAGTCAGCGGTATTCCTCCACTCTATTCATGCACTTGTCATAACGTGGAGCTTATCCTAATGGTATGTGCGTTTGTTTTTTTATTTTAACTGGCCTAGATACTTAGATCTATCAATTTATATTGCTCGATAAAGTGCAGATATCAAATGTAAGTAGTGCTCGTAGCCTTTTCTTTTCGAGCGCCTTTCGATGGAGAGTAGTAAAAATTAAAACTGAAGTAAGCGATGCAGAGAACCAAAATTATCACAGGAAACCTATGAGATCTCAAAGGTGTAAAAACAAGCAAACTGCTCACAGCCAGCGCGGGAAAAGTGTGAGTGACTGAGTGGCAATTGGTTTTGTTTTACCATCTGATTGGTTGAGAGGAGTTCGTGAGATTCTCTCGACCAATCACAAAGAGAAGTAAGCCAAAACTAAAGCAACCCTGGATTACTCGACACTCAAATGGAAGTTGCCTTAGTTGACAGAGTTGCTTGCTTCGACCAATTTCTCTTTTGTTCATTCCTCTTCAGGCCGAGGTGCCTTTGGTGTATTCTGCCTTTCGAATGTCTGGTTACACACCATCACAGGTGAGTTAGGACGTCTATGCACTTCGGAAAAAACATACGGCAATCTATGTGTGCACTCACTTCTGTCCCTCTCCAACAGTTAGGAACAACATCTTAGCTTCAAACTAGATAAATGGCCAAAACAGTTGTAAAATAATTTGGACCTCTCTGTGATTGTACTGCTTTTGACAACCTCTAGCTGAATGCATTTCCCCTTCAGTCTCTCACTCACTCAGTCATGAGTGCATGCTATTAACTTGTGGGTTTTTTATTGATTGTATTTTTTGTCACAAGATCTGCCAACATTGGTTGCGGCAATGTTTTTGGAATTACCTCGACTGGGAGGAGATCTGTTTGTACATCTGTACCTGTCTTACTATGGGCATAGACTATCAGGTAAAACACAAGTGTTTCCGTTAACTCCCAGGATGTGATTACTCATTCTCTCTATCAGTGGCTATATATTCCCCCTGGTAAAATAGTGGTGAAAATCAAGCGTTTTATCAAGGTAACAGCCTTAATCAGACGGGCCTGATGAGTTTTTTGTATTCTCAATTCTCGCTTGCTGTATACGTCATCGATGAGACGTAAATTATCTATGAGTGCACAGTAATTAACTCATGTGTAGCACAGGAGAACCACTTTGCCTCATACGTGAAATAAAAGTTCGAACGTCATGATATTTCCAAGCTTGTATAATACCTCGCAGAAACAGATGGAAATGAATCTTTAGAATTTTTTCCCACTGATACCTTTGGCGAACCAATAAGTACCTGACACTAAAGGGGAAGGAGAGAATGGAAGGCATGCGTACTACCGTTGTAAAATTGTAGGGTTATTTTTCTTTTTGATCTCCATAATTGTGTTTAACTGGACTCTTGGCTATTCATTACCGATTTTGGGATGTTGTAAATTGTCACGTGTTGCGCCATCGGGCAGAATGCGTGGACATCATTGATTATTCATAACCGATAAAGCGGCAAATTTGAACGCGACCTCGCTTTGAAGAGCCCTAAATTAGAGAAGAAAAGGCCAAAAGTGGGTCACTAGGCTTCGTAAAACTCACCTTTCTAAGTTTAAGAAAAGTTTGCTTCTAAATCAACGCACGGCTTTTTGAAGATTAAAGATGCATCTACAATTTGCCCCTAAAATGAATGATTTTTATGAAGTAGAAGCATTATCCTTTTGCACTTGAAAATGCTCAAACTCAGTATGAGAGTCATGTTCAAGAGCGATTTTCTGAAAACCCATATTACTCACGACAAATCAACGCATGGAAAATGGCAGATCAATTTCTTCTCTAACAGAATCCGTTTTAATTTTGAAAATTGGCCGACGGGAGCCCTTAACCTATTCAATTTAGAAAATTATAGTCGCAGTTACGTTCAAAAATGGTGCGTTTTGAGCGAGCCATTGTCTTCAGCCCATCATGAATAACGATACAGGTCAAACTAAACAATGCCCGTTGTTGAAACCCTTTTACTGGTAAAATTATTCACAATTTCCACAAATTTTAAAACTGCTACGTGCATCAGCTGTCAAACCTTCGCTTTACAGACTTAATTAAATCATGACAGTGTCCATCGACCAGCACGCTGTTAGAGATCGGAGCTCTTTTCAGACCTCACTGAATCCCTTATCGCCCTGCAATCTGTATGCGATCGGTAGCTGATGATCAGTTTCAGTCCAGGGATAGCACGAGCATAAAAAGCTCGATAGAGACTGCGATCCTACAAAATAGCGCATTTGTTCGTATGCTTATCTTCGTTCGCTTTTTCTTTCATCGATTCAAAAAAAAAACTTACGTTAGAGCGATTCAGAAACTTTATTTGTACTTCATTCACGATAAAATTAATTTTAAGATGAGACAATCGATTCCCATGCAGGAAATGATAGAAAACACCCGCTGTTTATCAAACTGTCGTAGACTTGATATGAAGCGAATGTATGTATATTAAGAGGGCTTCTTAGTGAAAAAAAGAGACAAATATCAGCTCGATGCAAAGATGAAAACCAAGTTTCTGCGACGTTCAGATAGACCGCCCATTGTTTTAAGTAATCTCTTTGGACAGAGAGCGGTTGATTTTATGATTACGCCTTGTGAAAGAAGAGAAATAAGCTTTTTCAATGCAGGACACTCAATCCCTCGCCTTTGATTTAATTTGCTTCTTATCTGTTCTAGGTGTATTATTGCATCGCGATCCTACGCCATTTGCAACAGGACATTTTGCGAAAGACACAACAGAAACAACTTTTGATTTTCCTGAAGGTGAGTTCAAGCCGTGTTCGACCGGTTCTTTGCAACATTTTTAGCTTATTTCCGTCTGGTTCAAACGTTGAATTGTTATTTATCTAAAGGCTAGCTCTATTATCCTTTTAAAAACCAGTACTTTTACATTTTTGTGATTAAAATATGAGTAGAACTGTTCAACAGTCCAGGGATGCAACAGAACGCGGGCTGAAAAATACATTCATTTTGGCGGTACTCGACATTCTAGTTTGTTCGTAGTTACGATGGCTTACCACGAAGCTAGGATGCAACAGCAGGTTTTAAAGCACTAAAGAGATTCATACACTATCATATATAGATTTAGGAATCTTTGCAATGCCCAAAACTTGGAATAAGGCACACCTCCCAAAGCCAGACATTGAGCTCTCACAGGTAGTATGGTGTGGCAACCATTAAACCTAAAGCTAAAGACTAACTTAACGTAGCTGAAAGTTTTTTTTTAAATTAATTTTTTTAGGAAAATCCAATAGGTAATTTCAAAGTTGCTGACCAACTGACGTTCATGCAGGAATTAGAGGCAAGATATCGTCCAACCATCCTGTGCGATCTTCAGAACATCACCAAACCATGATGTTGCTCGCTTTATGTAGTTCTCTGCAAGTTGAAAACGAGATCTTTGAATTTCAATCAGCAGCGAGAGAGTATTCTAATTTTATAAAATTTCCTGCAAATTGTCGAGCCTTAAATGAAAGACTGGGAATGACAAAACATGCGCAGCACGTGCACGGAATCGTTTGCGTGAAGTCGAGTCTCTCTGGAAACATCTTGACTATTCGGGTAGCTTTTCTACGTCATGCATTGCCCCAGTTTTCTTGGTCCGAGCCCAAGTGTTTCGAAATTGAACTATTTACACTCGCTATTGATGCACTGGAGCTAAATGATTTTAAACTTTTGTTTAGAAAGGTCGTCTGAAACGGAATTCTTTGTCGTAGAAAGAGTAACATGACCACAATCACTTTTTAGAAATATTTAGATAAGATAAGAATGTATTTAGTTTGTCCAATTTAAGAGAAATTCCAAGTACAAGTAAACAAAATACCCAAAAGGACTTTTAAAGCCTGGTGGAGGTGTTTTTATTGCATTTCTACTTTTATTGTTATATAAAATCATGTTTGTATATAAATGTGTACTATACAATTAATTTAGTTAATTTATTATTTTAAATATTTGTATTTAAAGTTGTATAGTGCTCGTCCATACAAATATTCTGCTGGCTATCATAGCAGAGGAACATTTGAAACGTTCAATGAAAACCTTTTTTTCTAAAAACAATATAATTATTGTTGCTGCTACAAATATGACGCTGTATAGAAGGAAAATAAAGAAGTCGGAAACAAGATAATTAGTATTTACTTAAGTTAATGTTGACGAAATGATTGTAAAATATCTGGCCGGAAATCGAGCGTACTTTCTGTCTGCGCTAATGAATGAGTTTGTTTATCTTTTGTCTGAAATATCTTTATAGCCAATCAGCTTACGTTTGATCAAGGTGTGTCCATAAGATAAAGAAACAATTGATTGTAATTTTTTAGTCAGTCTGAGATATAATTTGTTGTGTATGCAAGAGGATCTAAAACAATTTAAAATCTGGAAGATAAAAGCGACAGTGTGGGTTTCTTACTTATTCCGCACAAAGTTTTAAGACTCAAAATCTGTTCATTTAGTGCATGACTACCGACCAAATTGGAAGGTGAGGCTCTCTTTCAACCCCAATTGTTTCACTAACTGGTGGTTCCAGTCGAATTTTGTTTGGCTCCAGTTCCTCTCTAGATAATCCTATTGATCCAAGTTTCGTGAATGCCGAAAAGATAAAGAGCTTAACTTTTGTTCGCCATCCTACTTTTAAAACGCCTAAAATCTGTTTTCACAAGCTTTGATTTCACCATGCACCGTATCGACGTAAATTTCTTCTTTTGCTCATTTTGTTTTGAACATATTTGACAGGAGAAAAAAAATTCGTTTTCTTGCTTTGAATACTTTTTTTTTCAGGCGGCTGAGTTAGTGTTTTTTATTATTATTATTATTATTTGTTCCGCATGCAGGGCTGGGCAACAACTCCAAAGTCAAACAAGAATTATTTACACAATACCAACAACTCAGAATGTTGCTTTTCACCAATGCTTTTACCTTAAGCAACATCTTTTAACGATGGCACAGAAGTACGTGTTTTAAAAACAAGCTTAACTGTTTGCCACTAATTTCTTTGGGAAAGCTACTCGTGTTTACATTGATAGTACTAAACAACCTACAACGGTTAATCTTAAATTTAATTTTTCGACTAAAAACATGATCAATAATAATTTTAAGTCCCGGATCTAGTACAGAGTTCATCCCAGGGTCCAGTCTGAAGTCCATACCAATGCATCTTTTCCGGCTTGTTTATTTTATCAAGATGTAGGATTCTTATGTCAGACTGCTAAGCTTTTAATTGTTCCACAAATTTGCAATTTATGAAGACGCTCCATTACTTGTTCCATGTGACAAGTCGCTAGTTTTATTCGATTAAAAAAATCGAGGGTAACCTTTGAGCTCTTTTAGTCGTGTTCCAAGATTCCTTAAATATAGTTACACGTGAATGAAGAAATGTAAAATGGTTTCCGTGTTTACATAGCCTGATGTAAATACGCGGGAGGTTGGGAGAACACTCGATAAGCTGGAAACCACTCCGCTTCGCGTCGTGGTTTCCTACGCTTATCTCGTGTTCTCCCAACCTCCCAAGTGTTTAAATCAGGCTATGTAAACACGGAAACCATTTTACATTTCTTTTATAAAATAACTAATGAAAGAGCCTCTTCTTGCAACGAAGGAAAGCGACGTGCTTGTTGTTGTTGTTCATTTGGCTTTTCGGCCGTTTCTTGAATACTGGAAAAATTAAACTCCAAAGAAAAATTAGGAAAATCTTCTTCTTCCATTACTGTACTCAAAACAAACTTAAAAAACTGAGTTACTGCTAAATAAATAGCAAGGAGAACTCGGCGAGAAGATTCAGTATGAAAACCGTGTTTACATACGCTCATGTAAAATAGTTTTATGGCCAATCAGAGCGCGCATACTATTTGAATTATTTTATAAAATAAGTTTGTTATAAGTTTGCTACAGGCTCAGTAATACGCGATTGGGCTCAGAAGAAGCTTTTCCTTATTTTTCCCATTAAAATAGCCCGAAGAATTCGTTGCTGAAAACTATCTAGGATATGACAATCCCTTGAGTATTTTTATCTGATTAATCGTTGAGTCTTTTAAGTGATGCGTCTGAGACAAAGTCAAGCTAAGTGCCAAGAAGGTATTATTACGTAACTTAATGATTGTCACGGTAGACACGAAACTTCCTTATGTTCAAACCTCTGAAGATTGAGGGAATTGAAATGTTATGGATTGGCTTTTTTCGTTACATTTATTATGGCTTTTGGTCGAGTAAAATCGAAAAAATAATAATGACAAAAAAGAAAAATGGCAAACAGACATCATTTAATCAACGGCAGTACTCATTCCTTAGTCAGCGCGAAACCGAGCAACTAAAAGGTTCGCCTCTTTGGAAATTGAAAGTTCCCTGAGGAAAGAGAAAAATAACCAATTAAAGGATGGTTTGGTTCATTTCCAAAGAAAAAAAGGAACGAGACAATTGAATGGAACAATTGAACAGCAGCAAACAAAAGCTGTATACTAAATGATTAACCAGCCTATCAGATCGTATTAAGGCATCCGTGCGTGATCATTCGCACGTTCAATCGCTTGGTACATGTAGCGCTTATTTGTTATTATCAGCGGTGTGGGGCCAAAACAAAGTCGTTTTACCACTAGAAGGATGGATATACACGAGTGAAACTTCATTAATGTGACTGCAGCGAGACTTTGTGTAATCATGAACGATTGGGCGCCTTTAAGAAGGGTCAATTCAGTATTCCCTCCGTTCTCCGAAGTCAACGAACTCGACGAGCTCGACGGCAATGACGATGAAAATGGTTGCCACTCTATACTTCGCAAGCACAAATCACTTCCTCCACCGCGGAAAAAAAGTGTACAGTTTGCAGATGGCTGCGGGAAACCTCTCGTTTCTGTTTACAGCGACGATGAGTACAACATACACGTCGCTTTGCAAATGACCAAACGTGAACTTCAGCGAGCGAAGAAAATTTTACATGTTTGTTTTCCACAACCGGTTGCTTCAGAACAGTTCCGAGACAAGCTAGAGTTGCAGACGGTTTGTCTTGAAAACGCAGTGGCTTCACAGAATTCAATCTGGGGAACGATAAAGGTGAAAAATATCTGTTATCACAAACGTGTATCAGCCAGGTACACTTTAGATAGTTGGATTTCTTCCACAGACTTAGATGCGGTCTATGTACCTGAATCGAACGATGGCGCAACAGACAGATTTTCATTTGCTATAACGCTTCCTGAATACTTCCTCGCTTCTGGAGGAGCTTTAGAGTTTGCTGTTCGCTTTGAAGGCGAAGGAATTGAGTTCTGGGACAATAACAGTGGCCGAAACTACCGCATTGAGTGTTTGGAGGCCACGGCATTGAACGGGGGAAAGTTCGATAGAATGGCGAACTTATTTAGAAATGGTTTTAGGCAGTGAACAAAGTAACAGGAACAAGAGATTATATCGATATTTCCGCAACCAACGAAGTGAAAATAACAAGGGAGCGAACACTTTCGACCACTATCTAACCGGAAATTTCTTTGTTTCTTTGTGTACTCCAATTAACACCACGTTTGTAATTTTTTCTCGAGGCCGCTTTCCAGCTATCTTTTAATACTTCGATGTCAATGTAAAACACCGCCAGGATGAGGACCACATTTGCCACATTCAAAGTCCAGTTCAAATACCGAAAGACGATATATTAGGGATTATCGTGTTTCGTTGCATGGGAAAGGTACGACCTGGACATAAAATGTACTTGAGAATTATCACGCCTTCCGGCGATGTTTTGTGGGGATTGATTTTCACGTGAGTTCTATTATAACATAGTAAATTTCTTGTAATCTTAGCTATTTGTAAGTTGTTGTTTCGATGGGTAAAGCGAAGTCAGGAAAATGAAACTTAATCACTTATCAATATTGACAAAATGACTAGAATTTGAAATTAGTCATACCCACAACGTGACATTGTCACGCAAGATATGAATTTTTTTTTTGTTTCTTTGTTTTAAAGGCTTGGAAATTGTGTCAAACAGTTTCAATTCTTCCTATTACAGTGGTTTCTCAGAAAACTATTTTCTAGTTTAGTTTTTGACCAAGTAAACTTTGACTTTCCATTAATCCTTGGTAAACCTTCAAATATCCTGTATATGATTTCTGTTTTTGATGTAGTTACTGTGATTTGTGAGTTTTTTGGCAGCTTCTTTAGTTCTATATTTTAAGAGAATTTCTGTTTTGATCTCTGGGAGAGCTTTCAGAAACATTTTAAGGCTTTTTTAGAAGCCCTTTCTTTTACTTCGTCTTTCAACTTTGAACTTAAAACACTTTTATGTCTTATCTGTTGTAGATAAAAATTATGATCAGTAGTGATAATTTTCTTTTAGCACAAATCTGATCTTCATTTGCACACTGTACTTTTTCAATGTTGATTGCTGTTGAGAGGCTTGAAGCTTTGCTCTAAAATTTATTATCTGTGATATATTTAATTTCCATTTATTTAGTATGAGTTAGTATTTTTCTACTGATTTTTTCATTATACAAAAAAGAAGCAGTTTTTTTAAAACATTTAACAATAAAAAATTTCGAATAAAAGATTTCGTAAAAGCATATTAGAAATATGTTGAGACGTTTCAACATTTGGCTAATGTCATTATCAAGTCAAAGAGTGAAAGATAAAAAATGTTTAAAAGCTAAAAAGACAGTAGATAATGGAACATTCTTTTAAACAAAGAGTTTTGCACAAATGGAATTAGTCTGCATGTTGAGACAAGGATTGCGCTGCTTGATGAAAAGCATCTCATAGACAGGACAGTCATATTTTTCCTTGACACTTTTAGAATGCAGAATTGGCTTTCTTTGAGGTGGTTTGTATCCCTATGGGCTGTCAAAAAGTGTTTACCGATCGCAGAGTTTTTATGTTCAACAATATGTTGATGGAGGTGTTGAGCTGTAAAGCCGATATAATCTGAATCACACAGATCACATAAAAGAGTGAACATTTTTAATCTCTCACTCTGACTTGATAATGACATTAGCCAAATGTCAAAACATCGTCAACATATTTTCAATATGTTTCTACAAAACCTTTTATTGCAATTTTTTAACATTAAAGATTTCTTCGTTAAATGCAAAAAAAGCAATGTTTGTTTAAACTTAAACATCAGCTAAATGAGTAACTCAATGACAACTGGACAAGAACATTTTGATAAAAATTCCTTTTTAATTGCTGGGAATTAAGGGAAAATCATAAAGAAGAAGTCGCTGTTGGCAAATGAGCACAAATGATACTGCAAATTTTGGATGATGTGAACCTTTTACTGACCAATTTCGAGGTCTGGACCACAAGTTACGGTCCAAGTTTTTTAAACTCTGATTTATGGCCCAAGTGCAAAGCCTGTGGGTCATAAATCTGAGAAGAAAAATAACGTTTTGTAACTTACAGTACGGACCGAGAAAACAAGGTTAGTTAGATATTAACTGTATCTCAGCACTCAAAAGATTTCAGTTGTAACAAATTTTTGAATTTAGTAGGCTGTATAGTGAAATATGGCCCGCTAAAATTGACCAATCACAACACACTTACCAACTGAGAGATACAATGAGTAATGGTATTGTAAAAAATATGTTTATGTATTCATCAGCTTTTCAGGTTGCATAGTGATTGTAAAGTGATTACTCACATCAGCATTAGTAAATGTGGGTGATATTTATCAGACTTGTTTTCAACTCCAATTCTTCAATTTCATCTCCACTTAAGTGAACAGAATTATTGTGGTTTATTATCTAGTCTCCAATTCCAAATCATTGTAGCCATAGCATTGTATCTGAAATCGTGGCCAGATATTCAAAACTCTTTAGGGTTCCTTAGCATTTACCAACTTATTACTTAGTCAAAAATGTTAGAGTAATGTTCAAGGAAATTGTGTTGGAACCAGTTTAGGTTTAATCAGAGGCCTCAATGTTTTGCCAAACATTTGATCTAGAACATGTTGCATTTATATATTACACAGAAAAAAATTAATCAACCATTTTTATCTGAATTAATCAATCACTACAGATAATTCTACTACACACAAAAAACTGAAATACTTTTCATAGATTACTTTCCTTGACTGGAAAAGGGCAGTAAGGAATTCTTGTTTTATGTCTTCTTTCTCTTTTTATGCCTTTTCTTTAGAGAAAAGGTGTGAAATAGTCTGTGTCACAATAACATATACACAGTTGCAAAAACAGCACCATCCAACAGAGCATAAACTATACACAATGTAACAAAACTTGAACCACAAACAATGAGACTGAAAAGTTTCTGTGTAGTGTTCATATATCTTCATATTAAACAGAAATTTAATTATAATCTTTTCCACATAAAATCTTTCAAAGATAATTCTTTCTTTCAGGAAATGGATAGCCTCAATTTTTATAATGTAAATAATCATCTTACCCATAGGGCCTTTCTGTCTCATTGTTCATGGAATTTTTTAGGTGTTGACAATTTTGCAACAGGGTGTCTCACTTTGATCCACTTTCAGATCATGGCAGATTTAGTGACCATCTTGCATGAATCATGCATATTGTAAAGGCTCTGTTAGAGTGAGAGGTGTATAAATTTACTTTGTTGATTTTGTAAAGTGGCTTAGCTGTTAGGCTAAGTGGAGTCACTTATTTCTAAAAGTTGATAAACTCAGTTTTGTAATGTTATTAATGTCATTGTGTTTTAACTTATAAATGAACAGCTTAATACCAGTAGGCCATAACATTTTTTGTAATATATGACATCTTTTAAGTAGGGTTGAATGATGTATTGAAGAAAATATCCTTTGAAAATATTGTTAAATGAATAAAAGTGTTGGAATATGTTGTGCTGTGAAATAGTTCAAATACTGTATGAAAGTATGTTCTGCAATTTGGTGTTAACAACTGAGTTGAAAACGTAAATTTGCCACCGTAAAGAGTTAAAAAGCTGACGTTTCAAGCGTTAGCCCTTCGTTCGAGCGATTGACGAAGAGCTAACGCTCGAAACGTCAGCCTTCTAACTCTTTACGGTGGCAAATTTAGGTTTTCAACTCAGTTGTTAACACTGTTATACTTTCCCACCGACGCAGCACCACAGTTTCTTTAGAAACTTACCCCCCTCCCCTCATGTTCTGCAATATTCATTACATTTCCATTTGTTTCATTTCGTTTTCATGTAGAGTGACTGCTTCATGTCATGCTTCCCTTTATTTTTCTTACAAGACAGACGAGAAATGCTTTGATCTTGTACCCAGATCTCCAAGAAACGAACTGAAACCATCCCTGATTCTCTCCATTTTTAGTCGTGAAAACCACCTCCTTTTTCAAATACCCGTTCTTGCGCATGTCCGGTTGTGATGATAAATATCCACATCCATGCAAGACATTCATTATAGGTGCTGCTATTTATGTTATTTATTCTCGACGGAAATTATCATGCATTCTATCATCGTATATTAAGGTGTGAACGGCTAAAGCATTGCTTTCCAAGACATTTACTGTGTGTCAGTTTTTCCTAGGTTCAGCATGAGCGCCTTGCCTCTCCAACTGAGTGGTTCAGCTGTAGATTTCCACGTCATAGGGTACGTAGGTGTAATCTGTTTTTAGAATGTGACGTAAAATTGACGTTTAATTGCTTCTGAAGCTAACGCCTGTTCAAGAGGCGCGTTGTATATACTTAAGACTGTTAATATCTTCTCCAAGGATAGGCGATAATTTATTGTACCAGCTGACGGCATTCAAGTGGCGTACTCTTAAAGTATGTAGGGGGTATGCTGCGTCGGTGGGAGAGTATAACAGGGTCATTTGGTATTATTAACTAAGTTGATAACGTAAATTGGCTGGAGCAAATGGAAACTGACGAAGGGCTAACAAGCGAAACGTTAGCTTTGAAACTCTTAACGGTGGCCAATTTACGTTATGAACTCAGTTGATAATACCAAATTACCTTGATTAGCTATACGACTGGCTGTCTCGATCTTTAAGTAAGATAAACGATAACTTGTTGCATGCTCTAGTTAACAGCCGCTCCACTCTGTAGACTATCTCGATCTCCTTTTGAAACACACGACAATTACAAATTGTTACTGCAGCCAACGCCCGCTTAAGCCTTTAACTCCCAGATCAAATTTGTAATTCTCCTTACTGTCAACCATACTGAATTCTTATATTGTTAGTTCAGAGATTTTAGTATTGGATCTAATTATCCCCAAATTGATATTTTCTTTGTTCTCATCACTTATGTGGTTGATTTTGTATTGATACTGTAAGGAGAAATTCTTTCTTGGTCACTCATGGGAGTTAAAGGGTTAAGAGGCGAAGTGTGTAGGTATACGGACTGACTCGGTCTTCTCCTAGGTTACTCTTCCGTAAACAATCTCCAGTCACCTGACACCTATCAGAGTCTGATAAATCAAGCCAGAAAATTTGAGCATTGAGCTTTTGTTTGAGCGTTTCCCCTGAAAACATGGCATTATGCTGAAAATTAGGCTTGAAATGATTCATTATGCTCAATTTGATAAATGATGGAATCATAGCTTTTATAAGCCCCTCGACCGTTCCCCGCCTCTCCCCACTTCATTTCTATCACCACCAGGAACCACATGGTAAGACCAGAAGAAGCTTACTGAAGTCCAGAACACGACATTTTACTGAATCAATTTTCTAAAAAGCAGACAAAAAGCGAAGGCTCACAATTGACAGTACTCAGGCTACAGAACTGATCTCTCGTTGAACATCAAAGGAATTTTAATGAAGTTTAGTCATTTTAGCGACATCTTGCTCAATGCTCTGACTACAGCATCATGCCGGCATAATTTATCTGACCTCAAACACCCATCGCAATGAAGGCTGTCACGTCATTACTTCATGCTGTTCTGGTTATAGAAGCTTATTTCACAACTCTTATGGGAATAAGATGAAAATTCATAAAATTCTGACGTAACAAGAGGTAACCGGAACTTGCCAGCACCACCGCTTTGTTAAGAAAATGCTCTCTCATGCTCTCATTGAAAAATAAATGAACGAATAAATAAATTATCCCATTATCCTCTCTTTGTCTGAAGTCTGTGATAAAAAAAATCGATTAAAATCAGTAGATATATGGCTCGAATATAAAGCGGTAGATGATATTTACAAATACTGCCAATCTACAGATCCAAAACGAGTTGGACATCCTTCCCATCCAATTTTCCGCAAACAGAAATTTAGCTTGATGAATTTTTTTTTTCAGCAGCATTCGTAAAATAATTACGCTTTTTGTTTCGTGGTTTTTTGCTTGAAAGCCTTTGACGCAACATTTTTGAAGCTGAAGGCATTGCCGGCCATTTATTTCCACGATGATATGACGTCATTGCGTTTGAATAAATTTATTCACTCATGCATGCACCAAGTCACGAACGGAGTTCAGACGAACTGAGAAAATGTAAACATGCTGCCATGCACGATCGGTAGCGAAAAGCCGCCTTAATGTCGAACCACTTCGTACCGGTTAATGTTAAAGGCAATCCTGGATTCCAATAATAACTTCTCCTTCCCGTGTTTGGGAGAAAAGTTACTTATGAAGATCATGAAAGAACAACAGGAGAATACGGATTCGCCGCTTCTTTCGCCTTCGGATTTGACGTCGAAGCGGCGAGTTCACTTTGCGGATTTTGATGGTCAGGATCTGGTCTCTGTTAAAATTATTACACCGACAAATAGCGAAGAAGACTTGTCCCTGAAAAAGGTTGTGGACATCTTGAATCACTCTGCCACGCCGGTTCATTTAAAACGGTTCAGTTGTTGTTTTACACAACCTGGGCAAGATGAGAACTTTTTATCTCGTGTGATAGAGCGAAATGTTTGCTTGGAGAACGTTGTTTTTTGCGGGTTTGCCATGACCGGGACTGTGAGAGTAAAAAACATCGCCTTTGCGAAAGAAGTCACCGCAAGATACACAGTAGATGGATGGAAAAACTTTCGCGATGTTTGGGCCGATTATGTACTAAAATCATCTGATGGAGAAACTGACAGATTTCAGTTCAGAATTTCAATTCCTCAAGATGTTGATGTTGGGGCGAAACTCGAGTTTGCTATTCGATACCGTACAGCTGGTGAAGAGTATTGGGACAATAATTTTAATCGTAATTATAGTGCAGAATGTTTCCTCCATACGATTGTCGACAAATGATGTACACCGTATCTTCCAAAAGTTTATCGAGCATCCCGCAAGTCACTGTGCATTATTACGTTTACCTTCGACGTCGTCAAGTTATCGTGTCTGTGCGTTTGGAACGACGGTTTCGAATCAGAAAAGGGCAAAAGAAGTGAACAGAAAGTTATATAACTGCTGAAAAATAGTACATATTAAAACAACAAACGTGATAGAGCAATAGTACGGTGGTACAAGTTTTCCGGTAGGATTTTAATATTATATAAACAAGTCACCTCGAATGTAAGCCATTCATATTTTTGTCGAATAGATTTATGCGACTTGTGGCTAAAAGGAAACGAACTTGAGTATTTTGTGCTCCTGTGCGGAGAAAACGTATTTTACATTGTTAATGATGTCAACTTAGGTAATCGAGTTTCGATCGTTGCGTTTTTTCTAATTTATGCGTGAAAGTGAACAATAATCTCTCATGAAGATCATTTCAGTTTAACTAACGACTTTATTTATGGAAAACTCGAAATTTATATGTCATAGTTTATTTTTCCAAATTCTTAGTACCAAACCTGTGGTTTAAATCGAGAATAAAACAAATATTACGAGAGCATAATCGAACGGCGACTCCGTGGTCTTATTTTAATAAGAACAATTCAGTCCAAGCATCCATCGAGAGAATCAGCATACTTAAATTAGACTTTTGTCTTCAACTTCTCTTTTCGTATTATTGGATAAAAACTCGGCATGGGCAAAGATCGATGTGTGCTAACCTAACTAGTTTATATCACAGTGATATTACCTGAACATCTCCTGAGGCGTGACAACTCTTAAATAGCGTGATTTTTGCACACCATCGCGTCCGATAGTTCAGAAAAGGAAAGTGACGGTCAACCAAGGTTCGTTTAACTCCAAATGTAGAGTTTAAACTTTTGCAACGCCTGTTTATTTGTAGGTTGGAACCACCGCTGGGTTATGGTGCTTCGTTCTTTTCTACTGTGACGTTACCTTACCGACCTGGGGTCCCACACACCCTTGTGTAGATGCCTTAGTGTGCGCACCTAGAGCAAGAGCGATTAGCTAACCTCCGAACAGGCCCTTATATTAGCGCTACAGGACGTGAGTTTTTTTCGCCCTGTAAGAGATATCAGATAAGTCAGGGAGAGGTTTGCCGGGGGTCTGGCACAATCAATCAGTTTTAGACTCCCTTGCAGGCCTCACTACGACGCCTCATGCTCTCCCTTGGCAAAGAAACGCTTATACGGAAGCGCTGATGATGAGAACCTATTCAAAGCCTAGCGACTTGTTACAGCTAAGATCCCTTCCCCTCAAACCAGAAAAAATTATTCAGGCATCTTTTAGATACTGATGCAATTTTCATCCTTTTTAGTTCTCTTTCCGGTTTAAACAGGAACAGGTTATTCCCTTTGCTGTCTTCCCAATTTCAATGTTCCTCGGCCAATGTGAGTTCAAGTTAACCCCGTTTATCCTATCCTCGATGCCTGTCGATAATAGGAAGTTTGCTAGCTCCAGGCGTGCGCACGCGAGTCTACGCAAGATTGGAAGCTGCACTCCGGCTTTAACGCCGATGTTCTATCGCAGAATTACTGAGAACTCGATGGTGAACCTTACAGACCATGGTAGCGCAGTAGT